CTGCATATGAGTGTAGTTGTGTCGCGAATTTTTATTTCACTTCTTATGTGCGAGGCTGATTAAATTAATAGTCTTAATGAAGTGGAATTTCTTTAAGGCGCGCGCGATTTTATTTTAAAAACCTTTTTTTCTCTTTGCGTGTTGCACAAAATAACCACTAAAATGGCATTTCATGGTGAAAGTTAAGACTCTATGTCTTGTAAAAAATATATATAAATTTTTGAATTATCATGCTTGATCAGTTTTAGCAATCGCTGTTGTCTTCTTGTAGTTTTAACCATAAAACGATCAATTGTGGATATTTTTGCACGCGACAATCCAATTTCTATTTGTCTATATACCTTTTTCATTCACGATTACAGCATATACCTGAATTAATATTTGATTGTAAAATTATGGGTCCTTAAATATATATGTATGTATATATGTTAAAGAAATCTTATTTAATCGTGTTCGGCCATTTTGGTGAAATGTGAGATTTTTTTTTTACGTTTGTATGTAAAAAATGCGAGAAATAATCTTTGAAAAATATAATTTGTACATCCAGATTTTAAATTCAAATCTCAACAATGGTGAACTAGGAATTGAATAATCGATGAGCACATAGTGAAATAGAAGAAGAGAGGAAAACCATGAGTGAAAGAATGGAGGAAAGGTGGAACGAGTGAAAAAAGTTAATTTGCAATTCAGAACGACAAATTTTAAAATTCTACAACTAAAATAATAAAAAGAAGAAAGTTTGTGACAATTTTTTTTTTGTACCGAGTGAATCCAAGTGTTGATGATGTGTGAGTGTTCAGCAAAAAAGTCAAATTTCAATTTTTTCTTAAAGAGCAAACTTCTGTTTGTTGCGGCTGATTCCCTGAGACCCTAACTTGTGACTATTAATTTAAAGTTTCACAAGTATTGGTCTCCGGTATTGACTAGCAACTGACGTTCAGCAAGACTCAAGAAATTGAAATGTGCACAACTTAAATCTGGATGATCATTAATTTTTTTTCCTGTATGTGATTATGTGTCTACATAACCTCAACAAGAAAATATAGATTATAAATTTTGCTGGCCAGTAGCTAGCTCGACAGACACTAAACCGATAACAAATGATGCAAATGGTTATCGTCCGTACAGGAGACAACGGATGATTGTGGTGATCATAAAACATATGTAAAAGTGTAATTAATTGACCAAAAAATGTTGGAATATACAGTGGACATTAAGTATACAGAAAAAATTGATGTCACATCTGGTGCCATTGTCTGTTTCTCTCTCTCCTTGAAACTGGCTTCAAATTGACTCAATTTGCATTTACATCGATGCAGTAAATTGTATACTTTTGGGAATAAAAGGCAACACTTTATAAATTGTGCAGACATTAAAACCTCTGACCATAAAAAATACAAGGAAAATCCATTGGAAGGAGCTTAACTTTCTCCCATTAATTTCAACTCAAACTGACATTTATCTACACGAGAACATTTTAGACAAAGATGAATGCCTTGAAACCAATGCAATGTTTATTGCGGTTCCTTTTAAACTTCTAAATTGGAATCGTCTCGTACTGTAAGATTACATTATTTTTACATTATATCTGCTTCTGTTTTTAGGGATCTCAATCAACTGAATTAAACCTCATTCTGTCAGAACTAAATTCAATTGGTTACAATGTAGTAACTTACAGCACGTTACAAAATGGCGATTCCATGGACGCCCATACGAGAGTTAATTTGTCTTATAAGAATTCTGTTTGCCAGGCATGATTTACATACGAGCTGTAATGTTTGGATGTGGAACTCATGAATTTCAAATTTGTCGATTTTATGAGAAAAAGGTACACAGAAGTAATCACATTGACTGAATGATTATCATGACTTTGTTATTCCATTTAGATCTAGATGGTAAGTATATTTACATATTATCAAAAACAACAAACTTTATTGAACCGTCTATCTATTGCTGCTGATTGAACATTGTGATATAAATTAATGAAATTCCGTTGAAGCTATAGCCTGTCGCTACATGAATTTGCAAATCATTTCATGTATCTAGAGGAATTTACGTGCTACAATGTTCTGACTCTACATATATCACTCCCTGTTTTAGAAAGAAGAAGTAATCACATTTAGTGCTATGATGTCATGGGTCAAATCAATAAGCCTAAATTGAGTACTTGATGATGATGATGACTCATGTTATTTCAGCATCTAGATTTAATTAATTATTTTCAATAGTCTCTTTCAGGTTTCAGAGCAACTTTTTATATATAACCAAGCCAAAATATATTAATCTCTCAGGGACATCCTAGTGATCAGTGCTTTCCAAAATTGCAAGCATCAAAAACAAGCCTTTCTTTAAACATCAACCATGCAGATCAGCCCAAAATCAGTTTCTAGCTCAGTTGTTTCTTTGCGCATGGCGACATAAAATTTGTTAAGGTTTTGATTGTTTGACTGATTCCGAAAGTGTAACTAATTTCTCACTTTTTATTTTGATTTTCCATACTCAGATTTTACGCTTTTTAGACATAAATGTCGGAAGACAATCTCGATGCATAAAGTATGATTTACTAAGATAAAACCTAATATAAACTTTATAGGAAATTTCCTAATCACATGTGAAATATCCATTGCTTTTTACAGTATGTAAATAATGAAAAAAAAAATAATGGACATTACAACAGATGCGCCTCAAGCATTTATGCCTAAATCACAACTTTCATTCTCTTTATTTATCTCAAGAAGTAATGTTTTATAAATGTGGTGCATAATAAGAATATAAATTATTGCATTGGTCAACAGATGCTTTATTCTCAACAATCTACCTATTCCACAACTTATCCTTACTCTTCTTGCATGAATTGTTTTATGTTTTCGATTTAAAGCTAAAGTTTCTTGTAAATAATGTAAAGCAAGAATGAAATTCATTGCTTTCATTATTATTTGTAGTGAGTTGATCGCGGAAATAAATGGCAAATGCTTGTGAAGAGGCAAAAATTACATATATTATGTTCTGTATTCATTATTTTGTTTGTTTTTTTTTTATATTTCGGGTTCATTAAACTTTTAATGTGCATTTATGTATTTTTGCAATGCACAAACACAGCTGCATTATTTCCATTTCACTTTCTCTCCTTTTCATTCGCATTATGTACTTTATTTTGGATGTATTTATGTAGTTATGAAAATAAATAATTTTAATGCACTTTATGTACTTAAATTTATGCGCATATGTACTATATAAGTTCCATAAAACATAATTTTTTTTTTGTTGTTTTCTTTCCTTCATTTACCCATTTTTGTTCTCTGTGCTGTCGTTCTTCCTGCTGCTTGCTGATTTCAGTTGATGCCAATTTTCTTTGAAAAAATGGACGGTGACGCTAAGTTCATGTACATCGCTATTTTTAAGGGGCATATAGTTTTTTATAAAATAAGAATGTCCACTAAGTTTATTAAAGGCTGTAACTTTATTGAGAGGATGATAAATTTTGTATTAGAAACTTTAAGCTAGAATTTTAGTTCATCGGGTAATTGATAGCTCTTCTGAAAAAAAACGTTAAATAAATTAAATTTTGACATAAAACTGAACTTCTTTTTTATTTTTAAAAATTTTCAGCTTTAAAACAAATGATCTATACGTTGCATTTATGCCTATAAAACAAATCTTTAAGGTCTGTAAATACATTTTTAATGAAGGACTTAGGGGCCATTCACTTATTACGTAACGCTTTTAGGGGGAGGGGGGGTCTAAGATTTTGTTACGTTTGAAACAAGGAAATTTTTTTTTTCATACAAATTTTGTTACGAGGGGGGGGGGGGGGGTCTAAGAAGTCATTTTTTCGCGTTACGTAATAAGTGAACAGCCCCTTAGCCAATTTTTTATTTTTCAGTTCAATGTACGCCAATTTACAATATCATCAATTTACGATCTTAAAAAAATTGGAATCAAAATTTACAACCAAAGCATAGCAGATGGACACCCTAAAACATAAACGTTAATTTATATATATATTTTTTTTCGAGGTTTAAAGGTTTATTGCACTTTTGTGCAACCTTTTTTCATTCCTTCTTTCTTTTCATTTTCAATTCTCTCGAGTCTCTTTTAGTAGAATCAAAAAAAAATCGCCGTTTTGTGCATCATGCAGCTCGTTTTTTGATGCAGCATAAAAATAATAATGCAGCATGATAAAGAAAGGAAAAGAAAAGAGCTGGAAAAAATCGTGAAATGTTGAAAACGAGTTTTGTTGTTTTGTGTTTTCACTTTTTATCTGTTCGCTTGATTTCCTCCTTAATTCCTCTTCTTATTATGTCGTTGTTTCACAAAATTATAAATACCTAACATACACATGAATGCACTTATTAAAATGCATTGACCAGTTATGCTCTTACTTACTTTCTTTTAGATAAATTTCCCACTTTTTTACAGTTCTCTATTTTGTTTTGTATTTTGGAAAGGTAAGTGAACAATAGAGAACACTGGCACAGCATTTGCATAAGATTTTCTATAGATCATATTGCAATTTGCATATTTCCGTGTAGAAATTTTTTTGCTGTGAATTGAGGGAATTTTTTGATTCATTATGCTGACGAACATGTGTTATAATTTCTCTCATCTTTCTTTCTTCCTTTATTCTTTTTTAAGCCGCGAAAATAACACAATGCAAGTTTTTTTTTGGAACCCTTTCTTGTCACATCTTTCTACGAGAATTTGCATATTTATGATATTGTTAAAACAGTTGTTCAATTCAGTATAAAGGAGCTTCTCGTTTTGGTAAAAGTAGTTATTTTCACGTGAGTTCTTTTTATTCATTTACTGTAAGTTGGCAATTAGTTGTGACATGTGCACTTTTTTCTCACCTTATTAATGTTTTTTTTTCGCAATCATTAGTGCTTGATGCTTTTGCTCACGTTCATCTCATTATTTGAAATTGATCAATTTTAATGATCTTCAAAGCTTTTAAAAAGGAACTGCCTGAAATTAACATAGAATGACTAAAAACAAAATTGTTTATCTTTAAAACTCCATAAATTTTATTGAAATAATAGCAAAAAGATCAAATTCATATTGGATCTTCATTCTGTCCATCGATGACTGCAGTTTTGATTCGTACATACATAATAAAGTCTCATTTCTTCTTCAGCTCGACGTGTTTGAGCTTGAAAAAAGACAGCTTCACGATGTCCACATTTTGGACATGGATGCTCCTCAGTTCTTGGCAATGTTGGATCCGAAATAACATCAGGAACGATGTGCGTTAATTCACTGAAAATGAAATATCATCAAATTAATAAATCTAATTTTAATAAGCTATAGTGGCTGTACTCACTCAATTTCGTGCATAATTTTGTTGACATAAATGCAGTAGCTTTCAGTTTCCGTCTTATAATCACAATTTCGACACGCATATAAAAGTATTTTGTTGTCTTTATCTTCTTTTGGGTACAACATATTGTTGCATTCTTGACAAAACTTGATTCCGACGAATCCCAATTCATTATCATAGGCTTTTTCCATTGTTAATTAAATCTTAAAAAACATATTAATGCTCTAAAATTAAAACTATGTTCTGAAATTTTAAAAAATGATTATTTCTTACCAATTAATTGATGTTACTGACTGTAAGTTGATGTTTTTTGATTGTGTCTTCTTTGTTGATTATTATAAAGAGATTACCGCTGTCAAAACCTTTTTGTTTATAGTAGAATTTAATTAAATTTATAAATTTGTTTGAATTTTGAGTGTAAACAAGTTTTTTGCTACGTTGTCAGATTTAACAAACTTACAATGGCGAATTCATTTGAATTCTAAATAAACGTTAGTGAATTCGCCCCGTTAAAATTAACAGATTTTACCAGGATTTTATTCAGGGTTGCAAAAACATATTATGTATCACAGAATATGCGCATATATGTGACATATTTTATGTGTGACACATGAAATTATGTCACACATTTTACATGTTCAAACATTTTTTTCTGCGATATGTCAAACATATTTCCTGTCAAACATATTCATGTGTCATATATTTTTCCTGTCACATAATTTGTTTTTCAAACATAAAAGATTTTTATATTCACACCGTTTCCACGTGTGAATCTATTGGTTTTGTTCAGATTGAAAAATCAGTTTTTAGAATTTTGTGAGGATATGGAGCAAGATAGCTTAAAATGTTCAGAGATGAAAAGTTTGTGCCTTGAATTTCACATCTTTTGCAAAAAACAGATTTCAAATTGGTTGCGGCATTGCTGAGAAAATCGCAAAATATGCTTTCTGTAAGCAAACAAACAAGCAAGCAAGTTAATCAGCAAGTTAATCAGCAAGAAATCTCAATAACGAGACATCGTAGAGACTTCTAGTTTTTTACATTTGATCCGTGATGCTCTATAGAAGAGCTGTATTGATTTTGAGCAAGGTAGGAACAGCCGTTGCTTGAGAAAAAGCAAAAAACTTTCCTTTCTTACAAATTTTTCAAATTAAAAGTTCACTGTGATTTTTTTTTTAAATTAAACTTTGGATGAAAAAAAATATTTTAAGCAAAGAACCAAGAAGGAAATACATTTTCAATTTTGGACTAGGGGCGACCCTAGTCAAAATCAATTTGTCACTTTTTTCTTCGAGGGTTTATACAAATGGATTGAAACTTTGCATAAATATTCTAGTGCTTAAAACAAATACAAATAAAACATCCTAAAATTTTTTTGAGCAAAGAACCAAGTAGGAAATACAATTTCAATTTTGGACTAGGGGCGACCCTAGTCAAAATCAATTTTGTCACTTTTTTCTTCGAGGGTTTATCCAAATGGATTGAAACTTTTCATAAATATTCTAGTGCTTAAAACAAACACAAATAAAACATCTTAAAATTTTTTTGAGCAAAGAACCAAGAAGGAAATACATTTTCAATTTTGGACTAGGGGCGACCCTAGTCAAAATCAATTTTGTCACTTTTTTCTTCGAGGGTTTATCCAAATGGATTGAAACTTTGCATAAATATTCTAGTGCTTAAAACAAATACAAATAAAACATCCTAAATTTTTTTGAGCAAAGAACCAAGAAGGAAATACATTTTCAATTTTGGACTTGGGGCGACCCTAGTAAAAATCAATTTTGTCTTTTTTTTCTTCGAGGGTTTTTCCAAATGGATTGAAACTTTGCATAAATATTCTAGTGCTTAAAACAAATATAAATAAAACATCCTAAAATTTTTTTGAGCAAAGAACCAAGTAGGAAATACATTTTCAATTTTGGACTAGGGGCGACCCTAGTCAAAATCAATTTTGTCACTTTTTTCTTCGAGGGTTTTTCCAAATGGATTGAAACTTTGCATAAATATTCTAGTGTTTAAAACAAATACAAATAAAACATCCTAAAATTTTTTAGGGCAAAGAACCAAGAAGGAAATACATTTTCAATTTTGGACTAGGAGCGACCCTAGTCAAAATCAATTTTGTCACTTTTTTCTTCGAGGGTTTATCCAAATGGATTGAAACTTTGCATAAATATTCTAGTGCTCAAAACAAATACAAATAAAACATCCTAAAATTTTTTGAGCAAAGAACCAAGAAGGAAATACATTTTCAATTTTGGACTAGGGGCGACCCTAGTCAAAATCAATTTGTCACTTTTTTCTTCGAGGGTTTATACAAATGGATTGAAACTTTGCATAAATATTCTAGTGCTTAAAACAAATACAAATAAAACATCCTTAAATTTTTTTGAGCAAAGAACCAAGTAGGAAATACAATTTCAATTTTGGACTAGGGGCGACCCTAGTCAAAATCAATTTTGTCACTTTTTTCTTCGAGGGTTTATCCAAATGGATTGAAACTTTTCATAAATATTCTAGTGCTTAAAACAAACACAAATAAAACATCTTAAAATTTTTTTGAGCAAAGAACCAAGAAGGAAATACATTTTCAATTTTGGACTAGGGGCGACCCTAGTCAAAATCAATTTTGTCACTTTTTTCTTCGAGGGTTTATCCAAATGGATTGAAACTTTGCATAAATATTCTAGTGCTTAAAACAAATACAAATAAAACATCCTAAATTTTTTTGAGAAAAGAACCAAGAAGGAAATACATTTTCAATTTTGGACTTGGGGCGACCCTAGTAAAAATCAATTTTGTCTTTTTTTTCTTCGAGGGTTTTTCCAAATGGATTGAAACTTTGCATAAATATTCTAGTGCTTAAAACAAATATAAATAAAACATCCTAAAATTTTTTTGAGCAAAGAACCAAGTAGGAAATACATTTTAAATTTTGGACTAGGGGCGACCCTAGTCAAAATCAATTTTGTCACTTTTTTCTTCGAGGGTTTTTCCAAATGGATTGAAACTTTGCATAAATATTCTAGAGTTTAAAACAAATACAAATAAAACATCCTAAAATTTTTTCGAGCAAAGAACCAAGAAGGAAATACATTTTCAATTTTGGACTTGGGGCAACCCTAGTAAAAATCAATTTTGTCTTTTTTTTCTTCGAGGGTTTTTCCAAATGGATTGAAACTTTGCATAAATATTCTAGTGCTTAAAGCAAATATAAATAAAACATCCTAAAATTTTTTTGAGCAAAGAACCAAGTAGGAAATACATTTTCAATTTTGGACTAGGGGCGACCCTAGTCAAAATCAATTTTGTCATTTTTTTCTTCGAGGGTTTATCCAAATGGATTGAAACTTTGCATAAATATTCTAGTGCTTAAAACAAATATAAATAAAACATTCTAAATTTTTTTGAGCAAAGAACCAAGTAGGAAATACATTTACAATTTTGGACTAGGGGTGACCCTAGTCAAAATTAATTTTGTCACTTTTTTCTTCGAGGGTTTATACAAATGAAATTATACAATCTTGTGTAATTATACAATCAAAAACCCAATGCGGTTATATTCACACCGTATCATCAAAAGTCTTATGGATAGACCAAGATTTGCTCAGCATAAGTTTGAATGTATGAAGCTAGCGAATCAGCTGAGCTTAGCTCAGCATAAGTTTGAAGGTCTAAAGCTTAACGTCAAAAGTTGAATTTTATAAAAATCACAGTAAACTTTTTTTTTTGAAAAATTCGTGAGAAAGGAAAGTTTTTTGCTTTTCCTGAAGCAACGGCTGTTCCTACTTTGCCCAAAAACAATGCAGCTCTTCTATAGAGCAGCACGGATCAAATGTAAAAAACTAGAAGTCTCTACGATGTCTCGTTATTAAGATTTCTTGCTGATTAACTTGCATGCTTGTTTGCTTACAGAAAGCGTATTTTGCGATTTTCTCAGTAATGCCCGTAAATAATTTGAAATCTGTTTTTTTTTTGCAAAAGATGTGAAATTTCAGGCACAAACTTTTCATCATAGAACATTTTAAGCTTTCTTGCTACATTTCATCGCAAAATGCGAAAAACTGATTTTTCAATCTGAAAAACCTTCTAGAAAAACATAATATGTGACAGGAAAAGTATGTGGACACATGAATATGTTTGACAGGAAATATGACATTTCATCACATATTGCAACCCTGATTTTACTGAAAACTTAATATCTGCAAAAAAAATAAATCCAACAATAAAAGATTTAAAATTTTTCAATGATTTTTATTACTTAAAGTTAAATTTGAGAAAACTATTCCAATTTGTTTGCTTCATATTTTTTGTGTAATTTCATTTCATTCAATTTCATCTAATATTTGATTAATTTCTAAAATTTTTATTAATAATTCTATTCATTTCTCATCATTTTGATGACAAAATTTTTCATTTTACTCCTTTTTAATAATCATTACTATTCCTTTTATATGAACGGAAATTAATCGAATTGGCACATAATTTGCAATAGAGTTGCGTGTGATTGATGAATCAATTCACAACATATTCAATAATTTTGTATCATTTTTTGCTTGTATAGTACGATATGGCTGTTAAAAGTTCCTTAATGTCATCATATTTCAAGTTCTCATCAAAATGAATTGAAAGTAAATTTCATTAATTTTAATTTAATTAATTTGTTTTCATGTAAAAAATCACCACACATTAATTAATGTAATGTGAAAAGTTTATGCAAAACTAAAGTTTTTTTAAAAAAGAAAAAATAATCATAATTTTTTGATTGAAACATAAAAGAGAATGTAAACTTAAAATCATCGTATAACGTGAATAAATTGTACTAAAAAATTAAAATAATTAATGAAAATAATAGTCAGTCATATAACACATAATCCATCGAATTTCAAATTTTCTTTATCTATAAATTATCTACTTATCGTTTATAAATCATAAGTATATTTACTGGAAGTACCGAAATTATATTGAATTTTTTTTTTTGCATTTGCTTTTCCTATTCAATCATTCATACAATTAGCAAGCAGCAGTGTAAAAGTGATTTGTTTTTTGAGAGATCCTCAATCATTAACTTAATTTTATACTTTTTTTTTCATTCTTTCTTTAAGCAAGAACATTTTTGTTTTATAAAATTTAAATTAAACGCTTCAAGCATCAATGCGAAAATTTGAGAGTCGTGCAAGGTTGTTGCTGTGAGGATTCGTGGGAATTCTTAAGTTTTGGATTTGATTAGATTTAAATTGATTGGATTTCGGATATTTTGTCAAATCTGACTTTACTAAAATTTTTGATTTCAAACCAGCTTCACCCCATTGCACGACATTAATGTCACCTAAAAATTTTATATAAACCTAAGCAGAGAAAATAGTCATTCACATTATTTTTTGTTTTCATTTCTTACAGAACTATACTAATAATTAATTTGCATTTTTAATTAAATAGTAGAAAAAGTAGTTTTCATTTAATACTGAGTTATACCTCATTTTAAATAATTTCTTTTAGCGCTTTCCTAATTAATTTTACTTTTCATTTCTTATTAATTAAGCTTCCTGATCATTTTTCCATTTCATTTGTTTTTCTTTCTTTTTATTTGAGAGAAAATTACTAAAATTATTTATTTTTTTTTTCCATTTTTTGTTGTCATTAATTTAAGAATCGCTATCAAATAATAATAAAGACTAATTAATTGGTAGAAAAAAAAGTAAAGACAATAAAGTTCTTTTCAGATCGCAAACTGTTTATGAACATCCCATTTAATCAGAGAAGTAGCTCCTGTGTAGTGGGTGCTTAATGGCAGATTTGAATGATTGGATGGATTTTGTCAGTCAAAGTGGAAATAGAAAGAAGTGTCATTAAATTTTGCTTTTCCTTTTTTACCACGTTTTTTAAGAGAGATCTTTAAATTCAAATTGAATTACGTCATGAAAATCTCGTCCAGAGATTTAAATCCCCGGTTTAGCAAAGTTAAAACCTGAGAAAGATATCCATCCAATTATCCTCAGCTCTGCCTCGAAGCTTAGTTGCGAAAATTTTCAGCATAGATTTTCAAAATAACTGAAGCATGATATCGCGTGTTGCTACACAATTGAGTCCATAATTGGGAGCTAATTCCAACAATTTAGCTAGAAATAGCAAGCAAACCCACAATTATGATCTCAAATGTGTATCAGCATACAATTGAATGCTATAATTAACAATAAAGCAAGCAAATGAGGACAATATATATAAATTTTAAAGCTGTTTGATAAGCATATAATATTGCCGAAGATTTACCCTCATGTCAAGCTTCAGCATTGGCTATTGTTTGCATTTTAATATTATTGAGTGCTTAATTTATTTTAAATTCTTATTAATTATGCTTATTGTGAACTTGTTAGATGTTTTAATCTATTGGAAATTTTTGTGTGTCTGTGAATTATTTATTATTATTTATTTATATAAAAAATTAGATTCACTTAACAAAAATAATTTAATCTATTGTAATAATCTTTGAGTTCTTCTTTCTGTTGCTGTTTATTGTTAATTTAACTTTAATATTAATTAATTTATATATTTTTGGTTTCAGATTTGCTGTGGTTTATTTTTTCAATTATTGGTTTATGGACTTGTATTGTTGTCTATTTTTAATTATTGTTGTTTTATTTTATTTATTTTTTTGAGGAAATGATTTGTTGAATTAGCACTATTGACAATGATCTATGGAGGTCCTGAATCTGTCACATATAATTGACAAGAGTGCTATTCAGCAGATTAGGCTATTGATTAGGAATTGAGGTGGCATTGAAGATGTGTTTTACTTTTCCTACTTCTGGAAACGTCCAGTACCTCTATAATCTTCAGTTCCTTAACAACTTCAATGCCTGGATCGACCCCAATCCGTTTTTTTTATGCTGCATATTCTTTTCAAATTTTTGGTTTTCATGTTTATTGCATTTCTTTTAAACGAAAAGATATTTAAAATTTTGATTTGCGGTAATCCAAACTGGATATACAAAAAATAAACGAAATAAATTGAACAAAAAATTTTCGATCAACAAAAATTTTCTTCCATCATCTTCACATTTTTTTTGCACACAAAATTACCTCGAGAATGTAAAATAATAAAAAAAAATTAAATTCTTAATAATTTTTATGACCTTCTTTGTAAGATTATTTCTTTTATATCATTTTTTTCTCCTTGTCGTTACGTTATGTATGTGGAATGAATATGCGGTTATAAAGTAATATTATTTCTTGCTGTATATATGCGGATATATATGTATAATAATATTATTTAATATTATTCATTTCATTTTTTATGAGATCAAAATTACAAATTATCATATTATTGTGATTATATACTTTTTTTCATCGTTCTTCATGCGCTTTCAACTTTTCTTTTGATTATGCATAGGGTTCTTAGTAATCAAATTAAAAATGTGTGAAGAATTAATTAAAATTTTGTGGGAAGGTTGAAGATTTTGCTCAGTTTGATGGTTTTAAGAGTCTTTTTTGGATCTTGGGTAGTAGAATTGATGATTAATCTACAAGACTACATCTGGATAAAATTCTTTAAAATGTCTGATTCTAAATCTTCAGTTTAATTCAAATCTTGCGACTAAAATCATCCAATGAAGCAAAACTCATCCTCCCCCATCCTATTGTATCATCATTATAAGTCATCATGTTGTAAAACAGAATCAAAAAAGGTAAGAAAATTTACAATCATGAGAAACAAAAAATAAGATAAAAAATAATTTAATGAAAGATCAAGAAGTCATAAAAGTTTCCATCGAAAAGTTATAAAGTGTCTCTTAAAGATCAATAATAAAAGAATAACATCGAATTTATACACATATAAGTTCTTTTTTGTTAACGAAACAAAAGAAAAAGAATCAAATGTAATAAAAATGAAAATATGAGAGGTGAAGAATCACTAAAAGTAAGTTCTTGGATCTTCTTGTTCCTCTTTGTTCTTCAATACATATTTGTAATAATAAAAAAAAGAATTAACTAGTTAAGGAGCAAGAGAAAGGAAATCATGATTTTTTCATATATTTATATGCTTTCCTATAAATTGTGTCATAAATGGTTAGTCATTGCTCCATAAATCTCTATCTCTATCTACTCTTATGATGAATAATGGAGCCAAAAAATCGCTAAAATAATTTTTCATGTCAAATTTAAGTCCTAGAAATATAAAATAAAAGAGAAAAGAACGAAAAGAGAATTTTATCATTAAGCTGACTCCATAAATCAGTTGTTGATATTTTATGAGATGCATGGACAATTTCAGACGGTTGTCGACTGTATATCTTAGAAAGAGGAAGTTGCTGTAATAAGTTTGATTCGAAAATCTTTGAAAAAATTTAAATTTCAAGGACTAACAGTAAAAGCAAGCCAGCCTATGTGATCGACAGCACAAAGATTAGATTATTACAGTAATATCCACATTTTTACATTCTCCAATAATGGTCATAAAATAAAGTAAAGATCGTGTATAAAAATTACCCAATCTCTTTTAATGAACTTGCAGCTATCGTTTGAAATTATCCATAAATGCAGTTAATGTTTGAATCACTTACCACTACCAGTGGACTCTTAAATTTCAGTAAAATCTTTGACGAACTTGACGAACGAGCTTCTTCTTTCCCTTATAAGCAATTGTTATATTCTCAATAAGCCGTGAAAAATGTGCTGGACCATCACGAGCTAGTACAAATGTATCGCGCGCTTTACTCAAGAAATCAATAAAATCGCCATAATGACGCGGTGAAATGTGAGATAATCTATAAATGTATCCAATAGAGAGTGGAAAGATGGATGTTGAAGAACAGCGGCAGCAGCAACAAGAAGGAAAACAGAAAAAAGAGAGAAAAAGAAAAAATATATATAAATTGAGAGGCATTAAAAAATGTTTTATGGAAAATCGAAAATTTACCTCGAATGTGTAGTATTTACATAAGCAGAAATGGCAGCTTCCAATAGCTGATTTAATGGTTCACGATCGTAACTTAATTTATGGCAAGACCTCATATTATTGCCTATAAATAAATAACCATAATAATAAAATATTTAATTGCCATAATTAGTCAATGTTAATTCAACTCATACCTCTGTGATGTCCATTAAAGTGTGACATTCCGGGATTCGGTACACTACAACGTCTTAAAATATCTGACAAAACTGTTGCACATTGAACATTCTTAACAACGATTGGAATCATTTTTGATAATTCAGCCTTTCCTAGTGTATGTGATAATGCACATGCCCAATGAATGTCATTGATTGCTGGATGTGTGTCTTGATTGTACGCCAAATGAACATTTTTCATTGCCAATATTGCGAGATTATATGCTCGAACTGGAAATCCTCGATGCTCCATATATCTTGCAATTGTAAAGAGCTGACTACTCGTCATTATATGATTGGCAGCATCAATCACAATATGATATGCTGTCTCGAAAGCCATTGGATCATTTTCGCATAATGTTAATGCATTAAGTGCACAATTTGGTGGATCTTTTGTTGCACATTGAAGTGCTAGTGTTCTAGCACATGTGGATAATTCCTCTTGTTGCTTTATATTTAAATTTAGTCTCATAATTGTAGAATGTGACATGATTGTTGTTGCAACTGGACCCGTTGCTTCTGTGGGTGTAAATAGCTCATACCAATTTTGCATAATTGATAATGTTGCTTCTAGTCCAAGCTGTGTTGAACATGTTACAAGCCACCTTACCATTTCTCGCCTACGCCAGTTTAAGCATGTTCGAGTCATTCGCATGACTTGCAAACCTAATTCAAATGCAACTTCTAGCAACGTATGAGAACGTGGGCCATTTTCTGGTGTTGCAAACCGGAATGCATCTTGTGCCAATTTAAAGAGGTGTGTTGAGCTATGAATGTTTTGTCGTGCATTTTCAAGGACTGCTGACAATCTGACTTTGTCGCCTTTACTTGCACTTAACATAGTTGAGCTTAATGAGCACTGTTGACTTTCTAAATGCCCTAAAGTCCACCAACGTGCATAAGGCGATGATGGTGACGAAGGTCCATCAACAGAATTATTGCTAACATTTTCGAATATTGGGAATCTCATTGCTCGTAGACCAATTTTAAATGCAAGATCTGGATGTTGATTTAGCAAAGATGCAAAGAGAAATCTAGCTAATGTATGCATTGGAACCGATTCTGGATGAATTGACTCTCCAAAACCACTTGTCGGTCCTCCATCCATCATTTGTGTACTCAAATTCTTTATTATTTCAACGAGTAACTGATCGAGATCGACATTACGTAAGCGTGCAATCAATTGATCTTGTTGTTTGCATATCAAGTGTTGAGAATATAAACCTTGTGGCATTATTCGTTGCTTTCCCAAAGCCAATATTGCTGATTCAAATGCTAATGTGAGGAATGTTTCATTTGGATCTTTCGAGCCTGGAACCTGTGGATTAAAAAGTTTAATTATGACATGAGAATGTTTCATGAAAATTTTAAGTAACGAGTGAGAACTTACCTGGATATGTTTATATTTTGGTGCAATAATATTAGAATCTTCGACGCCATTCAGTCGAACTACATCAGCTTGTGTGATGCATGCTTCAGTCAAGCAATCGAAAATGCATGCAACAGCATCCAGTGGAAATTCAATTTCACATCCTACGGAGCAATCGAGGCATTTTGATACACAAGATGGATTCTTCTTATTAATGCTATTATATGGAAGAAGACATGAGGATGAAGCTGATGATGATGATGACGAGGAACTAGATGAACTAGCTAATGTAACGACTCCCTTTGATGTTGATGCGCCATAATTAATAATGTTATATTTGGCCTGTTCAGCAGCCTTAGTTTCAGCACTAATTGTTGGCTGTTGTGGGATCGGTGGCACTTGTAATTTGATTGGTTGAGTAGATTTTGATTCCGACGCTTTACAATTCTTACACAAGGTGACAGGTTGTTGTTGCTGCTGTTGAATTTGAGGAATTGGTGGGGGCATCATTGGTGGAATTTGAGGTGGAGGAGGTGCTTGATGCATAGGGGGTTGTGGAATCATTTGTGGTGGATTTTGATTCTTTAATAAACAATTGCTTCTCATACACCCATTACAAAATGATGACCCGGATGGACCCGGCATCGGTGGTGGATATTTACTCATATAATCATATTTTGAAGGCATTGGTGCTGTACTACAGTGTGGTCTTTGATAGTATTGATTAGATGAATGGTGTTTTTCAGGTGGCGGGACAATAGAGCAGCACATACTTTTGATGCACGGTCTTTTTGGATGCATTTGACATGGACCATTCATTGGATTTGCATGACATTGTGGCTGTGCTGGTAAATTTTTATGACATTCATAATACTTGCTACCACTTGAGCTAGGATGTTGATACATATTTGATGGGCCAGGCATATTTGGCATTCTTTGTTGATGTGGATGATGTGAAGAAGATGGTTGAGATGTAGGAGGCATTTGATGGGGTGGTGGGGGAGCAGTTGGTATTGGTTGGGGTAAATGGTGTGGTATATTATGTCGATTATTTGAATTTGCATAATGACACATTGGCTGACAATTGCTATTACTAGGTCCGGGCTGTACATTTTTCATGTAAAAGCTTTGACTGGATTGATGATGGTTATTATGTAAATGATGATTTTGTTGCTGCTGCTGCTGATTCTGTTGTTGTTGTTGTTGTGGTGGTGGTGGTGTAAAATGGCACATACATTGAGATGTCATTAATTTTCTGGGTGGTGGTGGTGGCATTTCATGAATTTCATTATAAGGCTTCACAGGAGCTCCATTAGTCGAACTAGATGACGAAGATGATGAGGAGCTACTTGAAGGATTGTTACTATTACAGCTATTATTATTATTACTATTATTGTTGCTGTTATTAGAAGAATGCTTTGGTATAGTTGGATATGGTGGTGGATAGCAATTATTTGTTTTTGAAGTACTTGGTTGTTGTTGTTGTGGAAGAGAATTTGGACCAGTCATTTTGCTACTATTTTCTGTAGATGATGATTGTTCTGGTGCTACAGAATTCTCATTGGATATATCATTATTTTCTGGATTATTATTGGTACATTTATGGCAATCATTTGGATTTTCATTATTTGGCATAGAAGTCTTATTTGATGATGAAGCAGTTGGGGCAGAGATGCAAGGATTTGAAGAGAATGAGGATGTATATGTCGAGGATTTATGAATTGTAAATTCAAAAAGTTTATTTAATTGACAGTCTTTACATTTCGAATTATTGCAATCAGATATAGCGGAAGTGCTACTAGTCGATGGAATTCCTGAACTGGAACTGGATGACGAAGAGCTAGATGTACCAGCAATTGGTTGAGGTTTTGATGTTAGAGATGATTGTGATGATGACGAAGAGGGCGGAGCAGCAATTGCAGGCGTTTGCTTGCGATATTTATGCCATAAAAGTTGAGCATCTTGCTGAACTTGTTTCATCGTGCGAACTACGCTTACACTTAAACGCAAAGCCGCATCAATATGTCCATGTGACCTCAAACTGTCGATTCGTGCAGCACACATTGACATTGACTCATACCATAGAGGCTGGCCGTTTGCATTAAAATTAGATTTTGATGATGTATTATTTGCATTGACCATTTTACTAGAACCCGCAATTTGAACAGAATTCTCGCTTGCTAATGAATATGTGTCACTAGCAAGTATTAACTTTAAATGCTTATTATCCCATGTCATGTTGACAGCATCGAGTGCTTTATGGAAAATTGTTCGCGGTACTTTTGTTGTGGTTTTCGCGACCGATGATCCATTGTTTAATTTCAATTTTTTATTCGGTTTATCGCCAGCATCATTGGCTGGTCGATTTTTCTTCATTTTCTTCTGTTCCTCATCTTGTACCTGATTTTGCGCAACCTCATCGTTCTGCAAGGCATCAATTTGCATTTCTTGTACTGGCTCATGTGGATTCAATGCATCTTCTTCAGTCTTTAATTCAACTAAATGCTCATCATGTTCTTCATGATGTACAACTACGTGATGTCCATCAATATAATTTAAATTGTCCAATTTGAGAATTTCTTTTTGATCCGGCAAGAATTCATCATCGAAATCCTCAAGACCCTTGTCATCCTTATTTCTATCTAAATTATTAATGTTTTCAAGAATCTCATGCTCTTCTCTTATCTGATCCTCATCCATTGATTCCCGACTACTATCATCATTATCGCGCAGTGCTGGAAGTTCAAACTTGAAGCAGTCTTCATCTGGAATTGGACCTTCTTGTGGATCTCTGGCATTATCCAATGATAAATCATTCATTACAGCATTCTCTTCTTCTTCTATGAAATTATTGATTCGTTCAATAAGTCGATCATTATCATCTTTTGGAACTTCATATAAATTCTCAACTGGCACATCCATCAGTCCATGTTGGTCTTGATTTTCCACATCCATATTTCTTGGCTCATTATTCTCTTCCATTTCTTCGTCTGATTCACTCTCTGAATCTGAATCTGATGATGATGATGTCGAATCATCATAATTATTATTAGCTGCATTTAAATAACCACGATTTGGATTTTCATTATTTTGTGGATTATCATAATAACGCTGATTGTAATTATTTTGTGCTTGTTGTTGCTGCTGATATTGATGATAAAGCGCATTGCGCTGATTATTTTCTCGAAAAAATCTATTTCTTTCATATTCACGTTCGCGTTGAGAACGAAGTCGATGACTTTCCCTTGTTGGGGGTCTAAAATCTGGATCTTCTTGAGGACACACATCAATCTTCGACCATGATTCTAACAGTTCTTTCCAGTTATTCCGCTCTCCTTGTGTTGATCGTGGATTTAAAACTATGCACACCCACAAAGATCCGAGTTGATCCCACAGCTGTCGACACTTTTCAGTCATCGGAGTTCCATGACTCTTCCACAATACTAATCTTGGATCATTTAGAAATTGCTCAGTGATGAGTGTCAACATTCTAGCACCATTTGAATCCTGAGCTCGAAGCATTTCACGAACTTTTCCAAATAAGCAATTCAATTGCTTATTGCTATTATAGTAGCTCCCTTGACCCAAATAACTTCGAACTACTTCACAGACTTGTGCCTCATCTAAATGCCATGAATTCTCATCATCTTTTGATGCACCTGCTGTCGGGTCTGGTGCACCACATATTGAGTTGATTTCAGTTTTTTGTCGTAAAATCTCATCAGCAAGTTTCTGAGCTGTTGGTAAGACTTCTGTGTAATGTTCAGCAATCAAGTACTGCACAAACTTTTGTAATTGCTGACGATTCATTTGCAACAAAGTTTCTGTATATATTCAAGTTAAGGAAAGGAAAAAAAAAATAGTAAATTGTGCAATCAACAAACATAAAGTTGTTTGGTCTTAAAATTATTTTTTATGCATAAATGCAAGTTAACATACCCGAAATGGGAACTCGCAATTTAACACTATTCGCATTTCTGATACGATATAGTGCTAACGCCACAACATGATGACACCAAAATATATCTTTTGTATCACAACTGCATTTTACTGAAGTAATTTTGCATCTGTTTAAATTTAATGAATAAAGAGAAGAAATATTATAAAAAAATATTCAAAATGAGATATAAAGTAAGAAAAATGTTTCCATATTATTATAATTTATGATAATAGCACTTCGACCCCTTTCTTTATTTATCAGCCATACGTATAACTGCCACATGCGTATATCAACAACAACTTTTCACATTTCTCACTTTAACTGTGTGTATGCGTGTATCTTTTGCATATATTCAGGAGAATTAGCTGGGCAGGATGACAATTGATAAAAAATAGATTTTAAATTAAAGTGGAAAGAAATTGCCATAGCGCATTGCTATTACGCAGGATTGATCGATAAAACAAGAGAGTTTATGCGAGCATATCTCCCTGATTTTGCATTAATTAAGCATTATTGTATAAGGAAATGTAGCTTAGGCAACTTTTATTTTAAAAAAATAATCAAATCAATTTGAATATCTAACATGCCCTACTTTCCAATACATTCAGACACAACACAGAGCAAACAGTTCCCATCAAGAATGAGCCAGGAAAAAGTTTAAATGCATACATATGGCAGATAATTTTACAAATACACCGAAAAGCTAATCTAATATCAAATAAGGGCGAAATGAATCACCAAATAACGTTCAGCAGTATGTAAGACTATGGAGGGTAGAGATCCAAATTTTGAAGAACGTCACATGAGAACGACCCCATATCGAATATCGCTAATTAAAAAATTTCTTATTCTGTTAAAAGCCACCTGTTTAGTGTCTCATTCACACACATTTAAGAAATTTACATATCATTATTGAATGAAGAAGAAACGTACCTGTCAAAACTAACGGACACTTTGTATTTTTTATTCTCCTCGCCAGCAAATTGAACATTCGTATCATTATTGATACTTCTTTCATATACACCAGCATTAACATTATTATTATTTCCATTATTTGGATTTTGATGTAAAACGTTGATATTATTATGAGGCGGATATTGTGGAAGCAATGGCACAGGTCCATGATGATTATTGTGATTATTTTGTGTAGATGTATTGGATGATGATGATGATCTCGATGACTTATTTGCATCTGACAATAGCGGTGGAAATGTCCAAACCTCACCACTCAAATGAAATCCTTTTGTTTTCCAATACGAATTTAAATAAATTAAAATGGAACAAAGAGACACAAAGATAAAGATTAAAATTGAATTAATAAAGAAAAAGTTCTCATTCTGGTAATTATCTGAGATATATACATAGAAATATTTCTGCCATACGATAAAAAAAAGGATGAAACTCAATTATGAATTCACAAAGAGACTGTACGAAAGAGAGAGCAACTTTATATAGATTTGTTTCTAATGAACGGAATTCACAATGAACCCCCTTCAGAGGTTTCATTCCGTTTCTTTTGCTACATCATCATGTAGTTCGGGGATAAAATAAAATATAAAAAGAGCCAAATGCGAAGAGAGAAGAAAAAAATTTTCCATATTTTTTTTTTATTTTACCCCCTAGTCCCATTAATCAATTACACATTCTCTAGGTCTCTCTGGTAGATATTATGTAAATGAGTATGGTATGGCAAAAAATATATATCTATGCTCTACACATGTAGAAGAAGGAATAAACATAGATATGCACACAACAATCAGAATATGAAATCGGTTGAAACTTCATGCTTGATTAATAGATTTTTGACCTGAAATATAATTGGGGTTTGAGGAGTTCTTTTTTTATTGTTTCCTTAGCAATGATTTGAAGATTTTTCTGTGTTCTAAAGAATTATATTATTGGCTTCTCTATTTTACTTTCTTTGTTATGTGAAGCCTCTCAATTTCTAGTTGAATAAACGTGATCATCTGAGCTTACTGTCTGCATTATTCTATTTTTAATCAATATTTTTTGAGATTATAAAAACATTTGTAAGGTTTTGAAACACTGAAGTTTTGCTTTAAAATTTTGAGAATTTATACTGTTTTAAATCAGTTACAAAAATAAAATAATTTGTAAGGTTTTAAAAATTTCCAGATCAACTTTTAAAATATTTTAAAAAACACGTGTAGCTTTAATAAATGTTCCCACGGAGACCAACCAGTCAATTTAGCAATTTTTCAATCAACTTCACATCCTGCACGAAAGAGGAAAATATTATCAAGTATTGTATGATGTTCACGTACCAACTTGCAGAACATTTTCGACACAATTGCTTTCCAACAATTTTAATCCTTTGCTGAAACTCAAACTTTGTGAATCGGATGCATTGAATGATGATGATGATGCCCTGTGTATTGAATAAATAATTACAATAAAAATTATCATAATGAATGAAGATTTGGGGTTTTCTACAGAATCATCATCACAATTTTCTTTTCATTTCTCTTTCTTTTCTTTCATTATATATCTTCTTTGCTCAATCTTTTCTTTATATTTTTTTTTATTATTATTCCTCTTTCTTAAGCCAAAATTAAAAAAAAAATAAAGTAAGTATACACGATGAGGAATGAGGAACACACGGAAAAAAATAAAAAATAAATAAAGTAAGACAAAAAATAAAGAAAAGAAGTGCTGTTCTGTGTATACACATATATGTATGTTTTTTAAAGTTTTGGATAGATGTACACATATCGCATATGTTTGGTTTATTAGTGCGGAGAAGAAAGAAAAAACCACTTGAGACGAGAACGAAATGGAAAAAAGAGAGAAAGAGAGAGAATTAAAAAATAAAACACGGAGATGCGAAGGAACCAAAAAAAAAACAGACTGATATATTAAAACTATTAAACACCTGTCATTATATTAGTGCATAGAATAGATTCATATGTCTATCGATCCCGTCTATAATACAATATATAATAAAATGGAAGAAGATGATGATGATGATTCGGGATAATTATGGATTAATGATTATCAAGCAAAGCAACAAAAAAAGAAGAAAAAAGTCTGCACACATGTACATGTATTCATCTTCCACCCTTACCTAGAGAGCGAGGAGTACATTTGTATGTCACGTTCATCGCGTGGAAATGAATAGAAAATGATTTTCTGCTGCACAGGTTCGGGTATGCGATCATATTTCTCTTCAACTCTTTGAAATGGCTCATTTTCAGCAACGATTCTCGCTGAAATGTCCAACAAGGAGTCAGGAGTTATTTGAAGTGCCGATATTGACAGTGATGAATTTGAGACATTATTCGATGCTTGTAATTCATCGGATGTGTTATTATTGCTGTTGTTCATTCCATAGTTGTTGCTATAATTTCGTGAAACACTCATGAACTCATCACTCATTGTAATAGAATTTCCGATGAATAATCAAAGACTTTTGATTGTGACTCAAACCTTTAGTTCTTGGAAATTTAATTTATATTTATTTTTTGGATACTAGTCGTGCTAGTTTTATGAATGAAATTTAATCAAAATAAAAATATTTTTGACTGACTGTATTTTTTTTTTGTTCCTCTCATTTAATGCACATCACACACAAAACACACTTGAAAATGTAAATTGAAGCAATTTACAATAAATTTTCTAAAATATTCATATATTTAAAACCATTTTTATTTGTTTGAAAATTCAAAATTGCCTTCTCTCTTCATTTTTTCGTTTCTTCTGCCTGTATACACTTTATATTTTCTGCCTCTCGACTCATAATAAAATCATAAAAAAGGCCCATTAATTTTTTTTTTCTTTCGTTTTCCTTCTTTTACTCTCTTGTGCACATATAAAATAATACAAAGACACCACACACTAAACTTATGTTTAATTTATTTAACACTTTTTCATACTAAATGTACTACCCGAATTTATTCTAATCGAAATATTATGAATCTATTGATTTTTTCATGCAATAAAAATTCACTCCATCCATTGCACTTATTGAGGATTAATTATTTAAATTAGGCAAATTTTTCGTCCATTTTTGAAGAAATGGAATTTATAGCATTTTTCCTATTTTAAACATATTTATTAACTTTACTCCATTACTTTATGCCTTCTTATACTATTAGGCACACATTTGTGCTATTTTTGATTCTTTAAATCCTATTTATCCGAGTTTTTTCAATAATTTTTCACAGAATATTAATGTTCAGTTGTAATTTATCACTTTATTTATTTTTTATTGATGTTGAAGCAAGCGACTCTCTTTGGGATATACCTCCTTCTAATAGCCCACATTCTATGTCTCATTTCTCCTCTCTTTTCTATAAAATGCTATTTGGTTTTCCTTCTTTTTGCAATAAACATGTTCAATGTTCATTAATTATGTGCTTAAATGATCAACACGTGATACTTTTCATTCATAATTTCACTTCCAAAAAATGACACGTGACTGTCACATATAACGACCTTTTACTCCCAATCTATTCAGTAATATTTTTCATTTCAGTTCAGTTTCTATTCATTTCATTTCAGTGTGGTTTCAGCTTATAACAGAAGTTTTAATTGAATAAACTTTTTCAAGAATTGAGCCTTTCGTTTAATGTTCGTAATTCTAACGTAGACCTTAAATTTACTTTTTTAATAATCCTCACATCACTACTTCAAGCCTTTTAAAATTCTATTCGAGCAAAATGCGCTTCAATCTTGTCACGTGTAACTCGTCTAAACTAGTTTCATTTCGGTTCAAAATATTCTAGAATATACAATCTTAGTCATAGAAATTCGCATAATTAACAAAATATACAGCAGGATGAGTGGAAATAATGGAAGTGATCGACCAGAACAGCCAAGACAACCTCATAACTTACAGGGATTGTTAAAATTCGCAATGGAAGGTAAGAAAATTATAAAATAAGCAACATTAACATAAATTTTAAAATTTCACAATATTTTGTAGCCACAAAAAACGAAGATCCAACAGTTCCTTCAGAGTTTCATCAAATGGATCCAGAAAGGAGGAGATTTTTGGAAGAAGCACTAAAATCAATGACTGTTGACGTTGTTGAGGAACTAAATAAGGCAATGAAAACATTAATAGGTGGAAATGCGAGTGAAGATGATCAAGTTCACGCACTAGAAGTCGTTACCAACTTTGTAGCTGATATTGATACAGCAAATGATTTCTTCAAAATTGGTGGATTTTGCATTATATTCCCATGCCTCAACTCGAGTTATTCAGTAGTCAGAAGCGAGACAGCTTTATTGATTGGAGAATTAGCTCAAAATAATCCATTCTGTCAGCAACATTTACTGGATCATCAAGTACTTCCAAAACTCATTGAATTACTTTCAGATGAACCAGAAGTTGCAGTTAATTCCTTTCATGCAATCTCATGTATAGTAAGAAGCTACGAGCCTGGACTTGCTAGTTTCATAGAAATCGGTGGACTTGAATGCATTTTGGGATTAATACAGTGTCAAGATCAAGAAAAATTGATCATTAAGTCTATGTTCCTTATCTCATCATTCTCAAAAGATTTCCCACCAGTTCGTGACGAGCTTGTAAAGCTTGATGCAATTAAAAGAATAGCTGACACACTAGAACCAAAATCTGAGTATGATACGAGACTAGAACAAATATTATCGGCTCTTGATGCTTTAATTGAGACTAACGAAGCAATTGAAAGATGTCGCAACAATAAAATAAATTTAAAAGAAAAGCTTGAACGAGTAATTTCGTTAGGTGAAGGAAAGGAAGACTGTCGTGTAAGTATTATTTTCATCTATTCTAATTTTAAGTACGTCCAATGAACTTTTTAGAGAAATTAGCGACATATGTACTTACTGTGAATAATACATGCTAAATCAGGAAACATAAATTTTCCATGATGTAAATTTCTTTATTACACGACATGATTTTTTTTCTCTGAAATTCTTCCTTGAAAGAGAATGGATGAAAAGAAATAAAGCTTGATTAACGAGATTAATTACCTGCTTTGAATTTTTATAAGAAAACATTATTCAACCGTTTCCTATCATATGAATTTAAACTGCTTTTTGAAATTTAAATTTTATTAAGTTCAAAAATTGAACTTTGTTGCTGACCAAAAAATAATTTCGTATTTATTATCTATTTCTAGGAACAAATTGAGTACAGCAAGAGATTGATTGCAAAATTGTTCAAATAATGGCAAAAAAAAGTTTAATAAAAAAATGGCAAACATAAATAATTGACGTGTTTTTCTCTGCTAGGAAATTTCAGTTCAAAAATATTTTCTCTATCAAAAGCGAGTTATTATTGTTTACAATTCGGCAGAAAATGTCTTTAAAAAGTCTTCTCGAGTTTTTTGATAAGTTATAGTTTAAAATATTACCATTTGCGAATATTAAGTCAAGTAAATAGCTAGTGTTGTGTAATTGAAAATAAATTATTGTCAATATCATCAAAATGAGCGAGAAAACTTATAAAAGGTGTGGATTGGAATTTTTTTCGATGAAAAAAAATCTTTTTTGACCTTGAATTTATTTATTCAAGTCGCAGGTCCATAGAAGGTATAGTGTCACTCTTTACAAATTTTAAGAACCAGAAGACTAGAGAGGTAAGATTTATTGACATGTTAATTAAATAGAAAAATTTAAATATCTATTAATTAATAGGCAGAACAATTGAAATCAGCTCTGTATAATGTTGGTTTATTGCTATTGCTGGGTGCTTTTGCATTAGTCATCTTGATTTTATTACCATTTATACGACCTTTGGCATTTGGAGTTCTTTTTGGAGCCGTTTTATTTCCAGCAAAGAAGAAGCTAGCAAGCAGCATTAATAAATGGATTGACAAAATTGAAAAGAATGATGTTCCAGTAATTATTTCTATTGCTTCAATACCATTTAATGCGTTAGAAAAACTTGGTGAAGTCATAATCTTGTTTATTTTTACACATATAAAAATCATTCTTGGAGGAACTGGATCTATAATTCTCTTAAAAATTCTACACAGCATTTTACCAAAAAAAATACTTACTTATGTCGTGGATATAGTCCTGTGGCAGCATTCTCTCTTCGAATATATTGTCAGCACTTTCAATACTCTTCTATTATTGTTAATTATAATCTCATTCATCATATCTCTCTACTTATTATGGAACAACTCAACGTCAAGCTTATTTACTATTGTTGGTCAATTGCTATGGATTGTGATTATTGCTTATGGCTGTAGCTTCTTTGGACCTTTTCAAATACCAGCTTTTGTCACCATTATGGTCTATGCATTTTTAGCAATGATGTACGATGAAACTACTTACAATGAGCTCGTTGCTAGACTAAGGAAAATATTTAGAAAAGAGGCTAACATTATTGAGCAGTTAGAACAAGACGAAAAAGGTGAGGAAGAGGAAGAAATTCTAGCAACATCAACAACGCCTTTAGCAAATAGTAATGAATTACTGCAGAAGACTAAATCACATTTATCAGAGATGAAGAGCAAATTACAACTTAATGTTCAATCTGATCAGAAATCTTCAAAAAAAGATGAAGAAGAACTAGAGTCGAATTGGTACTTCCAGATCTTATTTTATGCATGTGCTGCAACAATTCTCTTCAAGCATTTGTGGATTGTAGCTTTCTGTGTTATCCCAGTGATATTTTATTCAATTATAGCAATTTGTAAAGCTCTTGGATTATGGAACTATATTGAGGCAATGCTTAAAGACCCGATTGATAAAATTAAGGAGTGGGTAATTCAAAGAAGAGACGCTTTAATGCCAATTTTTTTACCAGGCATGATTCAACTTAATAAAAAAGTTCGTGGCATGTTCTGTAGACTCATGAAATCATATGTTGACGATATAAGTTCTTGTGTGATGATAGTCTTCCTTATTTTGGCTGTGATTTTCATCAGCGTCTTTTCATTCGCACAAATTTATTCAGAAGCTATAACAGTCGTTCAACTTACCGGGGATCTAGTTAATCGTACTCTTGCAGTCCGTCCCGAGCTCGTTGATATGCTTCCAATTAATATGCAATCGATGAATGATGTCATTGATAATGCTTATCAATATAGTCGCACAACAATTGAGGAACATTTAGATAGTTTTTTGAACAATACCGATAAGGAACAAGCCATAAAGTTTAAGACTCAAATATTGTCACTTTGGGATCGTTTAATACAACGATATATGGATCAATATACAGGAAATGAAGTTGCTGGACCGCGAGTTACTAGCGAGTCAGTTTTTGATACAATCGATGAAATTTTCACGTCATCAGGTCTGACATTTACAAGCATCTTCGCTTGGGCTAAAAATAATTTAAGTCTAATGAAAGAAATTGGAGATTCTATATGGATTGTTCTACGCACGAATCTTACACTTTTATTCAGCATTATTACGACAAGTTTTGGTGTACTTATAAGCAGTGGACATTTCATGCTGGCAATTTTATTTAATTCTGTGATATTCTTTACAACTCTCTATTATCTCTTACAATCAAGCAAGGATCGGTACACACCGATTGCCGTAAATTCAAATTCTGCAATGCAATTACGCATACTTGAAGCTCTTGAATCATCTGTCTCGTCTGTACTTATTGCTACTCTGAAATTATCCATTTTTCACGGTTTATTCACGTTTGTCACTCATTCTATATTTGGAGCGCACGTTGTATATCTTCCGGCATTTTTAGCAGGGGTTCTTGCAGCTGCTCCATTCTTAGAAACATATTGGTGCAGCATACCGGCTTTTCTGGATTTATGGCTTACACAGAATCATTTCTATCTCGGTGTTGCGCTTGTTTTAATTCATTTCATTGTACCTCCCAACTTTAATGTCATTATTCACTCGGAAATTAAAGGTTCTGGGCATCCATATTTAACTGGTAAGTACTTAAATGTTAATTTATTATTTTTCAATGTTTATCTGTGTAATTTTTCTTATTCCTTAACTCTAGCCTTATCAATTGCCGGAGGAATCTATCTGCTAGGATTAGAAGGAGCAATAATTGGACCTCTACTGTTATGCTTACTCATCGTGCTTTTCGAATTCACCATAAGCTTAACATCATCCTCGCCATTGAATACATTTACACAGCAAACGTCCAACGAAGAATCTGCATCGCCAATGTGAGTTGAAAAATTAGAAACAAGCATACAAGAATATCATATTTCTATTCGAATACTAATAAAATAAACAATATTTATGAGATTATTTCTTTTAACTCTTTTTCAACTAACACAGGAGTTTACTATTAAATGAGAATCCGTTTTTAAAAAACGCTTAAAAGTGTCCTAACAAATATATATTTTTTTATTTATTAATTTTATATCTAATTGTTAAAACTTAACAACAATAAAAATGAATTGTCCATAAATAATTGTGAAGAATGTTTCCATTGTCATTTTAGTTTACTTCCGTCCAAAAAATATGCATCCTTGTTCATTATAATGCACTCGCAAAATTTGATTTTCCTTTCTCTTCTATCAGTCATTTCACTTCCTCAGTCATACGATTTTTTGCGATCTTTCTTTTTTTTATTAAAACAAAAAATCTGTTTTCCGTCTCAGTTCCACTTGAAGGCATATAAAATAAAGAAAAACACGAAGAAAAAGAAAAGATTCTGAATGTGAAAAGGAAAAACAAAAGCAGATTTTCCATAGACACGAGGCATCATTCTCAATTTGATCAGTGAAGAGACAAGTCGAATTTTGTTTCCACAGAAGGAAAAGAAAATTTTTATTAAGATTAAAAAAGGAGAATTGACAAAGACAAGTGAAGAACTGAAAATAAAAAGTGCGAAATTGAGTAGAGGAAAATCAAAAAAAAAATATATTAACGACATTTTTGCAAAAATAATTAAAAGACTTTTTGAAATAAAAGAAAAGTGAAATAAATTAATTATTTTAAATATCCAGAGGCTGAAAAGAAAGGTTCGTATAATTATCTAGTTCTCTTTGTATCCTCTAAAGCTAAAAAGTTCATTATCATGTGAAGAACAAAAGAAATTCGCACCGAGAAAAGCTTAACACGTAATAAGATGAAGATACAAAGTTCAAAAGAAAATTGCGTTACTTATCTTTCCATCTGTGATGTATATATAAAAAGTTCAGTGAATTCTTAATGGCCTAGAATTTCTTCTTTCAAGCACACGATCATCATTTGTAATATATCGATTCCTCTCTACGCATTGTCATCGTATTCATTTAAGGAAGCAATTTTTCCGTTAAAATATTGCCATTTCTACTTAGTTTGACATTACCCTTACATTTTAAAGGAAATCAAGTAGACAAGTTCTGAGTATGGACAGGATTAGACGCATTCTATGTCAGATTAGAGTTCTTTTTCTGAAAATTAGAGCTCAAAGTATCAATTTGAACTTCAGAGCTTTGCCAAAAAAAATTATAAACCACATAAGCTTCCAGCTTGACGAATTGGATATGCCAGAATTATTTTTACTCAGGCAGAAAAGCATCTGAAAGTGATGAAATACGAGCCATCTAAAAATAAATAGCGATCAGATTGCACAGAAGATTGCGGAAAAACAAAAAAAAAAAACATCTAATTGTATAGGCTTGTGGAAATTGCACGAGATGATGCCATATACTAAATTTCTTCTTATTATCGGTTTGCGATGATGAACATACTTAAAGGAAATTTGTACGTCGCAAATTTGGAAAAAAAATGAAAATATTTGCCACATAGGCTTCCAATAAACGAAAATATGGCACAACGTGTCTGCTTCTAGGAATGAAAAAGAGAATTTGCAAAAAAATGAGGTAAACAATTCACCACTCAAAAACCAGATCGAATCAAAATTGTCACTAAAGAATATTCGTAGAGGGAAAGTTTGATGTGTCATAAAAAAGAATTATGGCAATTTATCAAGTAAAGCTTCTTCACACTTGAAAAAATTGACATCACTTAAGTCATCTGTGATAATGGCCAGACTTAGTGACGACCATTCATTAATTGCATCCTAAATAATTTTATAAGAATTCGTAGCAAGTTTTGCGCTGTAGTGATTTTATAAGGCATTGAAAATTGGGGCGAGTGACATGAAATTTTGTAATTCTAAGCTCAATAAATCATTTTGTTTACAAGCAGGACTTTATAGACGTAATTTTTTGGGGTTGATGATTTTTTTGTGATCATACTAGACTTGGGTTCACAGGATATAGAAGCGGCAAATAATTATGAATTTATAAATTTTTTGAAATGCTTAAGAATTTTTTAAAGGAGCTTTTAAAAGACTACAAAACTTTAATTAAAATTAGCATTCAAAAACTGAGATCGACAAAGTGAATTTTATCTAGTAAATCTACTTCATTTCCTAGAACATGAAGGTATATCTTAGCCTACTCGAAAAACTCGACTTGGCACAAGAAGTATCCATAAAAACAAAATTTATAGCAATAAACTTAATAACTTAATTTCAAGTAAAATTATAAACAATTACTAGTTATTAGATCATAGCGGTTCTTTGTTCAATACAAGATTCATTATTTGATTCAAAGTTCAATACTCAAGAGATTATTAAGCTACAATAGAATCGGAAAATCTCACTTTCAAGTTTTTGACCTCGACAAGGCTAAATGTCAGATTTGCAAATGTTTGACAAAAAGATAATTAGTTTTTAAATCTGGTGACAAGGGATCATTTGCGTATGACGTCAATAGACCAATCTACTCATGTTTTAGTTCCTTTTTTGATCGAATAGATTGCAGGACTTTCTTAGATATTATTTAAAAACTGTTTAAAAACATGAAATTTCCCCACATTGAACATTTATAAGCTTAATGATAAAACTTCCAGTTCTTAAGAAATGAAGATCCAAATCATGAACAAAAACGCATTTAAATTAAAAGTAAAAACATTTTTTTCGGCGTAAAATTCTAAAATGCGAAATAAATACATGAGAAGAAAAAAAACTTTCTATTTATTTTCATGTGATCATATGGAAGCAAGAGAAATGAAAACAAGGAAAAGATCTGAGAGAGAAAAGATCTTTAAACTTCTATAATCATATGTTTTTTTGCCGATTTGCCGATGTCGAGACGATCGTGTGAGATATTTATAAACTATATCAAGATTCGAAAGGTGAAGGAGGAACTGAAAGAAAAATTTAACGATGTCTGACTGACTGTTTGTAAAAAAGGAGGTTTTTGCTCCATTAAAGTTTTGTTTATTGAGCTTTGATGAATGCTTTAATGGATGTGGAAATTTCCACATCAAAAATACGTAAAACTATAATTTACCTAATAAATTCAGAATTTTAACATTAAGCTTGATCTTTTAAAAAACTGCTTCTAAGCTTTTCCTCAACTTTTGTAGAGTTTTTCCTAAAAGAAAATTAATTTAAATCGTAGAGAAAATTTTTCATATTATCAAATTTCACTGTGTCAAAAATTACTGCCAATTGTGCAATTTTCTAATAAATTTAGTTCCACTGCCAATCATATAACTGCCAATAAAATGGATTTACGAGGTTTGTTGATCCCCAATTATCTCTCAATTCTATGAGAAAATCCTTCATCGCAATGATTATAAAAGAAGTGGTTATTGCACTATATCCAAAATATTTATAAGTTTTTCATCGGAAAAGGGAATTAAATGCGTCGCCGAATTAAGAATTGACAAAAAAAAATTCACTGACCTTCTTATTGAAGAAAAAGGAAAAACGTAGAAAAGATTCTCAAATGAGTGTAAATAAAAATAATAATTACTTGTGACATGACAGAAATGATGGGCTGCAATGAAAATGGGTGAATTAATTTAAATCTGTGCCAATTATCTGCGAAAGCTTTATTTTGTCTAATGGGAATTAAATTGTAATAAATCACTCGATTTTGAACTTGGTCTAGATCTTTTACAATCAGTGACGTGCTATTAAAAGTTTTGAGAGTAAGAAGCCCAATTTTCGAGTGTCCAAAAATTCAAAGAAATGATTGAAAGTTCAAGGCAGTTCGAGAAGCTTGCGACTAATCATGAGTTGATGGATATCACATGTTAAGGACCTTCAACTCATTGAAGCTTTTGAAATATTTCACAGACTATGTTTATGCAAGAAGAAAAGACTGTAGACCTAAAGAGACACAAGAATCAAAGAAATTGGGTCAAAAAGGAACAATGAATGTTGAAGAAATAATAAAATTAAGTGTAAATTGTCTTATAATATTTTTAAAGATCACAAATTGGTACATCTGGTGTGTTAATGTTTCTTTTTTGTATATTCATGAAACTGTATCTGACACAAATTTCATTTTTTCATGTAGCATCTCTCAAGCATCTGATGTTTGCAGGATTTGTTTTACTAAATTATTATTATTATAGGAGAAAAAGTATATCTAATTAGTTTTACGCGAGTAAAAGTCACAATTCACGAGACAATAAAGCTTTCAATACACACAATAAAGATACGTCACAATGGATAATAATGAAAATCTAGAAAATATAAATGACAATGAACTTCCGCCTTTACATGAACTTAATAATGAACTTCCGAATTTGATCTACACAGGAAGAGTTATCGCGATGCCTTCTGAATGCTCAACAAATCCTTTACAGCGTGCACTCGCTGATTCCATTATTCGAATGGTGTCGATGGACGAACTGAGAATTTTATTCGCTTGCGGCGCTAAAGTATGTATTTATATCAATCACATGTTCACTTATTGGATGTAATACAATACGAATTTATATTCCAGGTAAACGAACCCGTCACTCAAGGTCTTTGTGCTCTTCACTACGCAGTTTGGCAAAAGAATATCGCAGCTATTCAATTGCTTTTAGTACGCGGTGCAGAGATTAATATAGTTGATGACTGTGGATATTCAGCACTTCATCTTGCAGCAGAACACGGATATTATGACATCTGTAAATTATTACTTGATGCTGGCGCTAAAGTTGACTATCGTGAACCAACTGACGAGATTTTTCCACGAACAACATTGTGTGATGAGCCATTGAGATTGGCATTGAGAAATAAACATTATGTAAGTCTCAAAAAAGCTGAAATCATAAGTTTAAAAATATTAATTAAATTCTTATACTAGGAAGTGGCAAAGCTTCTCTGCGAAAGAAATGCAGATGTAAATAAGAGATATTTTTTCGGAGCAGAAATCAATCTTGCCAGCGACCTTGAGTCATTGGAATTATTATTAAACTTTGGAGCTAATACAGAAATTCGAGATCGTCAAGGATTAACTCCACTTATGAGATATGCTCGTCAAGTCAATGGAATGGAAGCTGTCTTACTCTTAATGAAGTACGGTGCTGATGTTAATGCAATGGCTGATGGACGAAATGATTTCAGGACTGTTTTGCACTATGCCATTTTGTCTGGTAACTATCCAAGTGCTTTTAAGTGTTTTTACTGTCTATTGCGCATTTTTTGTTGTTTTTAAATGAGATAGGTGTGAAAAAAAATTCAGGAACAATTTGTGGAAGCATTTAATTTTGGAATACGCAATATGAGTTTCCGATTGATTTCTCAACCAATATTTTTAAGTTTTAAGCTAATTCAAAACGATGATAAATTGAATGGTTAATAGTTTTATCAACAAAAAATGCGCAGATGTGCTTTTATTTTTGAATCTCTTAACCCAAATTCCAATTAATCTCCTCTCAAAATCCAATACGCTGGTTTTTTGAATCCCTCGATTTATTAAACAAATTTTTCTTTTTTCCAACATTTTTTTTTCTTTTTGTTTTTAATAAAATGTGGACATTAATACCATTTAATAAAGGCGCGGAATATTCAAGTCATGGTAATTTTCCAAAACTAATCAATCATAAGAGTTCACACTAAACCTTTCATACTAATAATAACTAAAATTATTAATCACATCACAATAAATATCATTAAACACAATCAATCCACAATATTTCACTCATCTCATTGTTCCTTTATGTTTATAGGCAATATGCAGCTTGTCACATTATTGCTTAAACAAGGTGCAAAAGTTGATGTTTTACCACCAATGCCTGAACCAGATAGAGCATCTCCTCTTGATTTAGCAATTTTACGTGGTGATCCAGCCTTAGTTCGAATGTTGTTAGAACATGGAGCAAATGTCAACCGTTGCAGCCCAATTATTGGATCTCCTCTTCATGTTGCATGTGCTGACAAAATTTTACATAGAGTAGAAATAATGAAGGTAATTAGAAATCAAATTTGTTGCTTTTTCCATGTTACTAATTCCATTAATTCATAGATGCTACTCTCCTACGGAGCAAACCCAAATCTAAGAGTGTATGGCGAGATGGGAAGTAATGCAACATTAAGACCACCAATAGCTGAACTTTTGATCAGTAATGATAATGTCACATTAGAGGAAGTAAAGCTTCTTCTCAAGCACGGCGCACGTGTCATCATAAAAACACAATTTCGTGATCCAGACGGTATCCTTAATTGCTTATCAAACCTCTCAGCTGATTCACCTGTTTTTCAACACATTGTTGAATCCGCTGAAGAATTTGACCCCTGCATGATCAGACGTACCCAACATATCACAGAGAGACAACGTGCAATGATAATGGCAAAAGCAACCACACCACTCTCCCTCCAAGCTTCATGTCGATCATTCTTCCGCAAATTATTTGGAACTAAATTACCTGAGAAAGTTCCTCAGTTACAATTTCACAACATGCTTCACAAATATCTTCTTTATGAGACATATTGATTCTCAATATTATCTTTAGCTCTTATTTTAAGGTCTAAGACTAAATCTTATTGATGATGCAACTATTTTGCTGAAAAATTCTTATACTCTAATTTTTTTGTTTCTATCAGAAATGACTGATGACTATTCATAAAAAAAATGGAAGCAAAGATAAATTTCTGATAGACTATGTTCCTATCATTGATACTTTTATCCTTTTTTTTGCTCCAGTGAAATTTATTTCACTGCCTTCTTATGACATTAGTTTAACTTGTTTTTAAATGTATAATTGGATAAAGCCTTATTTTGCTAGGCTTCAGGGTTGATCTCACATTATGAATTTTATAACTTTTAATTTTGCATGATCAATCCTTAGAAATTTGTTAATTAACTGAACAAAATTCAATCAACTAAATCCTACAACCCATGAATGTGAAATTTTTAAAGCTTCATTACAACAAATCAAACTGCTGTGATGAACATGCTTTACTTTTGATAGAAATTAGAAAAGTGTCCATTTGTGATATTTGTTTGTAAAAATAATACTTTTAATACTCACTACGACAAATAATAAAGCAGGGAAATAATATTTTGAAGATTATTTGTGAATTTTTTTAATATTGATAAGCTGAAGATTGTCATTGTAACTGGAAACCTCTATACTGAATACCTGAATATCGAGCATTTTTTCTTGAAATTTAGATTAAAATATGGACAATGATAGAGGAATTAAGTATGTACCCAAAAATGTCTAGAATTTTTTTAAGAAACTAGAAAAACTAATTCCATTCCTTCAAATTTCATTTAAGAAATTTTTTGAGAATGTGAATAGACTTTGATGCTGATTCATGCGATGGTGATGAACTCAAAAATCTTGTGCCTATAGTACTGGCGATTCACCTTAACTTATGATTATTATAATATTTATTTGTTTCCATTTTCTAAGTCAAAAATCATTCAATGAAAAAATAAATCCTTGATTCATTTATAGTAAAAAGAGAAATGCCTAGAATTTTAATTATTTATTGAATTAACAGCTATGCATGCTTGACTTCTTTGCAATGTCAGTAAGCAATTTATTACAGTTGACAGACATTCTTAATTTACATGTTATATTTGAAGATTAAATTAGATTAAACCAGACTTGTAGCTCCTCTAAGTGTTAGATATCCTTTACTAATATCTGATGGCATTTTCTTTACTATTTTATATTCCTCCGAGTTATGATAATAAATCTTCGATTGTGGACAAGAGTAGCTTGCTAGTAATCCAGACATATCAGAATATTTCTTGGGCGGTTTGAAAGATGGTGGAGCATTTATAGACGAATCTTAAAAAGAATTTATAATTAAATTTTATTTTTTTTTTATTCTTCAAATCTTTGTCTCACAAATAACTGCCGTTGAAGTATTTCCAAATAAATTTCTCTCTGTCGTCTGTATTTGTTTTAAAGATTTCCACAGTCTCTTCTTCATCCCAGGCTCTTGCATTGTTTTTGATTTAAAAACCGGCATTTCTTCCTGCATCGTTAAGCCAATATTAAAAAAAAAAATAACTCAAGAAATGTAGACTGACAAACTTTATGGACTATAATTTTTTTATAAACCTTTATAAACCTATAAACAAACTTGAAGTTGATTAAAACAATTTAAAAAATTATTTGTCGTTATTTTTTTCACTTTTTCTTCAAACGTGACTGATCGTGACTACATTTAATATTATTTATAAAATTCGCATTATCAATTAAGAGAAACAGTCAAGAGAGAAATATCAGGAAGGGAAAAACCCAAAAATTAATGGGAGCATAATCATTTAAAAATAATTCTTTACTGAGAATACTGTTCGTTCCAAAAATGAAGTCTCTCGACCGTAAAAATTAGCAGCCCATTAATTTCATTTGTGGACTGTCATTGCTGTAAACTTTTTGAGAAGAAACTTCAAGAACTTCTGACAATTGTTTAAAATAAGTACAAACGATTCCATCAACAAGTGTTGTGTAATTATTAAACTTAAAATAATAATAATTATGAAACTCATAATTTAATGTGACCATAAAACGCAAATTACATAAATTTAAACAACAGATTCTTTATTCACAGTTCTTTTTCGTAAAAAAATTACTCCTCCTTGTAACAATACATTAATTAATATTAAATCGCTTCATCCGCATGCATTACTTAATTTTAGTCTTATTTAGTCTCCTATAGAAGAGTAGAAAATAATTTTAGTATGGTCACAATCATTAGTAGCCATGAGCATATCGATATCTTTCATTATATCGATTATTACGATTATTCATGTTATTTACCATAATACGGTTGTTAGAATCACTGAAAATTTCGTTATCGCTTTCATTACTATTGTCGAATGCAGATTCAATTTCTTTTGTTGGTCTGATTGGTGCATATGGATTAATAGATGCTGGATTATGAGGGTTATTAATGTTAGTAGGGTTAGAGGTTTCAACATAAAATGTATTGGATGGACGATCAATATCAATAGAATCGAAATTGACGTTATCTCTGAATGGATTGTTGTTTCCAAATGGAAAGCTGTTTTGGTAACCAAAACTATTTCCAAATGATCCACCGAAAGGCCAATTGTTTCCGAATGGGAAGCTACTAAATCCGATATTTTGACGGAATGGATTATAGTTACCGAATGGGAAGTTGGGATTGCCAAAGGTTGCAGACAATTGACGATTAAGTTCATCCATTTGCTGTTGGAAGAGTCTCTGCTGATAAGCGAACATTTCATTGATTCTTTGTTGATTTTCTTGAAGTTCCTTATTGACCTTTTCCTGTTCCTCTTTAGTTAATTTTTTGACATTAAATGTGTTTCTTCCAGTGCTATCTTCAACATCAATACCGCCATTACGATCAACTGTTGCAATTCTGCTGAATGGTGGTTCTGCTTCTGGATGTGGATTTTTTTCTGTATATTCGGTATCTTCCAATACTTTACCTTCCTTGTCTAAACATTCAGCCTTAGTTTTCATAGAATTGCGATCATCAGCGAGTGCTTCGGATGTAACAACACACTTGAATGTGCTCTCAGGGCATGATAGATTTGTACATGTGACTGTAGAGTAAGGAGTCAGAAGTATATTTTAATGCAATTTCCGAAACAATAAAAATACTTACAGTGATCCCCATCAATCCTTATCTTTGGTGACCCGATGCTAATGTATTTTTCTTCGTTTCCATTACTATCAAATCGTGAGCTAACAACAATGCCATTTCCATTAGAATTAAATACGGAATGTGACTGTTGTCCATAAAAGAAATTGACAGGCTTCTTATTATCTTTTACTTCTGTGCTATCATCGTCATTGCCGTCTTCCTTTTGAGATTCTTTATCGTTCACTGGGGCACCAGCTGTCGTACTTGTAATTTGTTCACCACTATCTTCTTCAAATTCTGTTGCTGCCAATACAGCACCGATAATCAAAAGAATATTAAATAATATCGTATACTTCATTATTGCGAGTTATTTCTCTTTTTCTGCTTGTTATTGTTGTTTTCTCTTCTGTAAAGAATATTAAATGAGTGAATCATGAAGAAATTCATATGGGTTGTGTGCTTCGCTATTTTACACATTATTAAAATGAAAAGATTAAAGGTTTTGGGTTTTTTTGCATTGTCTTGTTGGAAGAAACTTTTTATTTCAAGTCAGATAATAACTATAATTTATATACGATTTAAAAAAGTCACATTTGATCCTTACAAGTTATGCAGAATGCTCTGGTACTTTGAAATGTTGCTTCATAAGCCAGATTAAAACAGAAATATCTGCAGAATGTTCTTGACTAAAAAGCTGAAGATATTGAATTTTACATATAAAATAATTTGCCTTCTTAATAATTTTCAGACTTGACTACAAAAAGAGAAAATTCGCATATGCATATAAATTGCTTCCAGAATAGAACGAGATACCGTAAGCATTTTTTTTTTAAATGACAATATTTGCAAATTTAACTGTATAACATTCCGCATATCACACTTCATGGGTAATTTTTTGAAATCAGTCGTGATGATAAGGAAGTAAGAAATTACGACGATTTAAATAAAATAAGAGTTTAAAAGGTTGGCAGAAAATTGTCGTGATTTCTAGAAAAAACAGAATTGAAGCAATAAAATGCAGAAAAGTTTCCATAATTGCCATAATTTTATCACAAAACATCCACAACCATTAAAATTGAATTAATGTGTATGCATAAGCACTGAAATTTCTAGATTCGTTACACTATTATCACAAATGTTATTTTTTTATCGGAACCACAACCTACCTTGTTAAAGTCTGAACAGTAACTGCCGATTTCTTCTCACTCTATTCACTTAATGTATGAGGGATGTTTTTATTTTTATTTTATTTTACGTATGAATGTGTGATTCACAACAAAACTTATTAATGCCGGAGAAATACAATGAATTATTGCCTCAATAATTTTCAGTGAACTGTACGGAACTCGCTGCTTGCTCTTATTTATTTACTTACTGATTCTCTCAATTTTGCGGCTTATAAACTTGATGAAGATTCACAACTCAAAAACAAATTAAATTGTTTGTATACAGAGCTGATGATTGTGTTTATGTTAATCAATGATGACTTTTTGTCTCGCTCGATAAAGTATGATTGCGACTTTAAGAATCTCACATTTTCGTGACTTTTTACTTAAAATTCTCATAGAATCAACAAGTTCTTCTTTATATTTTCAGTATGTACTATAATAATTAAATTGATTCATGTGATTTTTAGAAACTTTTTCTCACAAGTTTTACAGCTTATTCTTAAATTATTGAGATGTAGTTTATTTGTCATACACATTCTTCAAACTGACGTGTATATATTTTATTCGATACTCACTACCTGTGGCATGTCTATAAATTTTCCATTCAATTACTTTTGTGTTGACTCTTTTTTTTTGGATTGCAGTTTTTGGAATGCAAATTTTTTAAAACGCAGATTAGAGAAAACAGGAATTTTGCATATTCGGTTTGTTGCTGTACTCAATGATCGAGGACTTAATTTTTTAATGAAGAAGATGCAAGTAATTTGAGAATATTTTTCGTTTCACAGAGTCTGAAACTTCGCATGTGATGATCAAAGAAGAAGTTTTTATTTTTAAAACTTGTTTATTAATAACTTTTGGGGGTTTCCTATAAATCAGGCGTTTGCCATCATGAAATGATTATTATTTTCATTTGAATGAAATTGAGTTAAATTGAGTTAAAGCTACAATTTTGTAAAAGAAATATGAAGAAATTATTCTTGTTAATATATCCATAAATAAGAATAAAAACTTTCAGAGAAGCTTTTAAAATTAGGAAAACAAACCAATAATCAATATCGTGAGATTTGCGTATTAATTTGCATTGGGAATCAATAAGCATAAAACGGAATTCCAGGAAATCTTTGTTTAAAAACTGGTCCAGCTGTCATCAAAGAACATATGTTATTAAACTGGTCTTTAAGAATAAAAATTAGCGGTTCTGATGTTTTGAGTTTGTTATATTTGATGACCAATTTAAAGATGCAGTTTTATATTTATTTATGATTTATTTGAATAAAAAACTATGAATGAAAATCTGTATTTATCACTTAAATCTGGTTATAGCTTAAAAAAATCAAACACATTTTGAGAATCCCCAAAAAAATTGCTAATAATCTTGATTGGATCTCTTCATCAGTCTTAAAAGTAGCACATTAAAGATCTGAAGTTTTTTGGAAGGCGTTTCTCTTAAAATTTGATTTTTCGAGCATATAAAATATTCATCAGCAGTAATGCATATTTTCATCGCATTTCTAATTATATTTAATTCGTCATTCGAATTGATAAACTCTCAGATAGTTTATCCAGACTCAATTTCAGACCAGTTTTTTCCATATTCATATTCATATCCATATCCAAAACCTCAACAAACAACAACAGCTAGAACAGTTTTTCAACCATCTCAAAATAGCTATCAACAGTTTGATAAGAGACTAAGTGAGCGAAAATGTGAAGAATATACAAGCAAATTGCAAATGGTAAAGTTTGCCGGATCACTAAGCTTGAAAAACAATGTGCGTACTATCAATATAGATCAATGTGCTGTATCCCAAGGTTTAATAATTGGAGGAATGAATTCAAAACCTGGTGAATTTCCTCATATGGTCGCTATTGGATATAAAGGTCCATTTAGCAGCATAGTTTCATTTAGATGTGGAGGTTCATTAATATCCGAGCGATTTGTTTTAACAGCAGCACATTGTAAGAAATCTGAACGCGAAAATGCTACCTTAGTTCGTATTGGTGATTTGAATTTGTATGTTAAGGAAGATAATCTTCCTGAACTAGATATTTCTATAGATCAATTTATAGTTCATGAGTATTATGACGTTCGAAAGCAAAAAAATGATATTGCTGTAGTAAGACTAACAAGAGAAGCTCCGTTAGGGAAATTCATCCGCCCTGCTTGTCTCATGACACCAAACACTATTTTACAAAATAACAAAGTTGTCGCTTCAGGTTGGGGATTAACAATAGTTCAATCTTATCAAACTTCAGATATTCTAAAAAAAGTTGATCTTTCGTTAATTCGTAATGAAAAATGTACAGAAATTTTAGATGATACAGGTTATTCTATTGACAATACTCAGTTGTGTGCAGGAGAATTGCAAGGTAAGTATAGTGAATCAATTTATTTAATCTAAGTCTATTTCTATTATATCGATAATTTTTCAGGTGGCAAGGATACATGTCAGGTATGGAACAAAAATCTATTTTACTGTGTTCAATAAAGACTAATTTTCAGGGAGACTCTGGAGGTCCTCTACAAATTGTGTCAAATTCAAACAAGTGTGTATATATCATAGTAGGAATTACAAGCTTTGGTCGATCATGTGGATTAAAAAATTCTCCAGGTGTTTACACAAAAGTTTCTGCATATTTAGATTGGATTGAAAATAAAGTCTGGAGATCTTAAGGGTTTACAAAGAGTTAGTAACCGGACATCGTATGTCCTTCTTATATAAATTTAAACCACAAAGTTTATCAGTTTTATTAATTGTGTCGATTATGTCTATATAAATTGATGATGATTGATTCATAGGACATATATAAATTATTATAAACAGTCCACATGCTTATTCGAAACCAATTTGAATAACAGATTTCTATTTTCACTTTTCCTGCAGGCTTAATTCATACATCACACATTACTCATTGTTATTATTCAAAACAATTCATCATAATAAAAGAAATGTAGATGGAAAGAAATTGAACTGAAAAATAATTAACACATGTGATGAGTCATCATTTGGTTGATAAGAAGTCATGCATCCACCGAAATAAGATGAGCAATAAAAAAAACAAACGAAGCAGCACATTGTTTATTAATTTTACAAACACAATCATGTCATATTTTCAACATTCAATTGACATTGCTAATTGTTTCTTTTCAATCTGAAATTTGAAGCTGCATATCATTCAACTGCTTAATAAATCACGATTTTAAGATGAGTATCAAGCACACAATTTTGTTGCTCGTATTGATGATCAGATTCTATGTCCAGAGATGAAATTTTCTAAAGTTTCTAATTTTGAATGGATTAATTCAATGATGACTAGCCGCTAGCGTAAGAGAATAAACAGCTATTCGCAATTGTTTTGCGTCAGATTACTCAACTTTAACTTCTATGAATATTAAGTATTTTTCCGGAACTTAATCTAAATTTTCTCATGCATTGAAATTCCGGAATAATTATTTTACATATAGTCAGCTTGTAATGTCTCAAAAAATTAACAAGTAATTAACTCAGTTTGCCTAAATTAACAAGAAATTAGTCCAACCCTGAGAGTCGAATAAGCACAAAATTAATTAAATATAAAGCAAGCTTATTTTTCTCTTAAAACTGACTCACAACTGTTTGAAGAACTGAAATTCTTATCTTAAAATTTGAAAAGAATCGATCAAAACAATTGAAGATCATTCAAACGTTATTTCTAATGACCTTAACGTCAACTTAATTTAATACTTTGTTCCGAGTTCTAGAACATTTTCAATGCTAATCGAATTTTGTGTACATCTTTATCACCAAGTATGTGTTAAACAATAAAATTGTGATAAGCAAACAAATGCTTGTAATTTGTCGTGCACATTTCTTACTAATTGCTTTAAAAAAATTCAAGGTAGCGTGAGAATTTTCATTGTAAAAGTTCAATTTTTAAAGGCATGATTCAGATTTTAATTGTTTATCATTCCGCATTTATAAAGGTTTAATCTTTAATACATTAGGGAACAGTCCAGAAAATTTTTAAACGATAATTATCTAGCGAATTAGTAAAGCGAATAGCAGTTAGTCATAAAATAAAAAAGCATAAAAAATAAATCAATGTTGATGCAAGTAATGCCATCTATAAGTGAAATTATAAACTAGCTCATACTAAATTTCAAGAGATTTGACAAAAATGTAAATTGGTAGCAAAAATCACTGCTGATTCAATTATTTAAACTTGATTTTTGCAACAAGTGAATGTCCGCAAATGTCATTTTATGTTTGTGATTTTTTATTTAACATTTTATGGTAATTATTTCACTTATAAGATACATCTAAGATTTTTATAGACTTACGACTTTAAAATAAGTAAATTGAATTTTATTCTTGCAAGTTCTTGTGTAGGTCATTTGGAAGCTTTTCACGATAAAAGATCAATTTCTAAAATATTAAATTTCTCCAAATGTTCAACGACGCTTCACGTGTTCAAGAACATTTCTACAATGTGTTTAATAGTAACTTCCGGTAGTAAATGCGGTGATTAATAGTAACTTCCCCACCTTCCTAATTAAAACACAATGACTTCTCAAATTACAAAGGAAATTATTCCACAAGAATAAGCAAGAATGATGATGATAATTAATTATTTAATTTTAGGTTACACGGTAGACTTTGCTGCAAGGACAAGTTTCTATTGACACTTCCTTTATTTTTCTTCATTCATAGACTACTGACCAAATAAGAGAAAGCGCAATAGCTCAATCATTGACCTTCGTAGTTTCCGAATAAAAATGATTAACAGACTTGATGCAAGCTACTCCAAACTATTACGATGAGAATGAAGATTTCTCGTGACATTTTTCTTTGCCAGTAAATAAATTACCCTCACGATCATTAAACATTTAATTAAATTTCTTCGTTCATTACTTCTAAGGATCTCGAATCATTATGTTTAAAGTATTCAAACGGTTTGGAACGTTGAAGAAAAAGTCGTGAAAAATTATAAAAGTTTTCCACGTGTTGTGATAAAATAAAAATTAATCTATTGAAAATAATGAAGCCACCGCTTAAAGTTAATAAAAATATAAAGAAGCTTCCACCACTGGAACGCGAATTGTCAGGTTAATGAGTAATAAAAAACACTTTCATCCACAAAATAGTAAAAATTGTTATAAACACGTTTAAGCTTAATTTTGGAAAGTGCATGAGACTAGAGAAGCTGCTTCATTGGTCCTGAGCCAATAAGTTTCTTAAAGTTGCTGACTCCAAATCAGCAAAAAATTTCATGTCAAATTATCAAAGATTTTAATCTAAAATGGTTAGATTCAAAACTTTAACATTGAAAAACTTCGATTAAAATCAAGCTTTAAAATAATCTTATAGCACAAATCAAGAAAGCGCCTCAAATGGCCTTTCAACAGAATTTTTCATTCAATTTGTTTGCCTTCCTAAAATAAAGTAATTGTCTAATATTGCAGCTAGCAGTAATTCATCGCTGTCGTCAACATTTGACATTTCACCAACAGATTGTGGATGGAGATATGTTCCAAGTTTGGGTGAGTTCTTTAATATTTTGGTGCAGGTTGACGTGTTTGAGCAACAGTAAAAAAAAACTTTTTTAATTTACCCTTCTCACATACTACAAATCTTTTTACATGAACTCTGTTCCTATCCATTACATGACAACATATAAAAAGCTCTGAAATTAAATTGGAATGTTTTCTTGTGAACACAGAAAGTTTGCTTTATTATTATGCTGGGCTTGTTCCAAAATGTGTAGTGAAACTTTTTGCTAGAAGATTCTTTTGGGCAAATCAGAAAAAAGTTTTTTGGACTTGAAAAAGAAGCAAAAGTTCACGAAAAGTTAAAAATAGTAGTTTTTGAACTTTGGCATTCATGCATACAATAAAAATGGATTTTCGGGGGAGCAACATGTTGAGGATTATTAGAATACAAAGACAGGTTCTAGATCCAGACTCAAATATTTTTGATCCAACAATCTTTTGTGCCAGAGAGATGCTTATTTCTGGTAGAACCCTTTAGAAAGAGATCTTTGCTCCAAAGTTATTTACGGCAATTAAATAAGGAAGTTTCAGTTCTTCTTTTACCATTGTTGTCGTCATCTTTTCAATCAATGAACCTTTTTAAAACCCGCCAACCTTCAGCTATTGAGAGATGTCTGAGAAGAAATTATTATTGACATAAAGCTAGAGAAAAAGTATATTTGTGCTTCTTTAAAAGACACAGTTTAATTTGTTTATTGAAAATGAAAATAAAAAGAAGAATAAAAATAAAAATTCATGCAAATTTATCCAAAACTTTCCTTTAACGATGATTTCAACTCATACGTAATCGTGAAGAAAGAAGCCTGGCTTCCATTGAAATATATCGTGATATCAGTTCGATATATTCCTTCAGGAAATAGATATGCTTTCATTTCGATCTGATCATCATTTATTGTTATATTTTTTAAATTATATTCTCCAGAATAAGGACATCTATGGATATATTCTGGAACAACTTCAAAGAGCTTTTCAGCTATTCTTTTAACAAGTGGATTTAAATATCCTCCATCAAGAGCTGAACAACATTCAACTCTATGTGTGTCGATTATTTGTCGAAAGATGGTTCCGTATCGATAGTATATAATGGTGTGACCATAAATTGGCTTTTCAAAAGTAACTAGCAATTTAAAACCGACATTAAGTGTAACAATTTTTCTTGACACAGCTTTTAAGTAGCAATACTTTAGATCAACTGTTTTATTATCAACTTTGCATTTGACTGATTTAAAACGGATTCCTTTGACGTAGACATCTTGTGACTTTTGAGATTTTATACTACTTATGAACTGAGTTGAACATATTAAAATGAACATAATGGTACAGAACCATTTTATGTCCATTACTTATTGTATGAAACTGAATTCATCCATTCATATTTTAATTTTAAAATCGAGAGCATTTATAACAACTGACTTGGAATCGTAACATTAACTGACAGGAGATAAAAATCCGAAAATTATTTGATTGGTAAAAATTATTTCAAGCAATAGTAATGTCCGGTAATCTAAGTAATTATTTTTACAACCTCGTCTGCAAATATGTGGATTGAGAGTTTAAATATTTACAAATTGCATTAATTCTTAACTTTCCACAAGTTGATAGAACGATAAGATGGACAAAGTGTGGACACTAGCTACTATTTCTTGGAAAAATTGTTGAAACCTATAATTATAGCCTCGATAAAATATTTCACTCTTTAGGAGGGAAACAAAACTTGCAAAAATAAGTTATTTCTAGTTTTCCTTAAAAAACAGTTTCAACTTCAGAAACATTCAACATCCAACTAAAAAGAGATTCTTCAATTTGCTGTTGGCTTTTTATTTTGAGAAAACTTACATAACAAAGTCCCGCGGCTTTACAGTGTCTGTACGTGTCGTTTCTTTGGGGATTAATATATAACCCCATCTGAATGGCAAGCCTTTAAAAACTGATAAGATACAATTGAGAATATTAAAATTTATTGAATTTAGCTTCGACACAGATAATAATGAAACTTTTTATGGACTATATATGCTTGATAAAAAATGTTACTCCGCATGATGATTTTCTCTCACGCACAACTTTAATTCCTCTCTCGAGAAAATTGTCGTTATCAGTAAACGTCCACCACGTGTACAGTCATGAATTTTTCTCTCTGTTTTGATAGCCGTTCTGCTTGTGCGAAAAGAAAGTGAAAATTTTCTCTCTCGTAACTCAGAAAGAGGAAAATTTTGTTCAATTTTTTATTTTCGCAAAGCATGAAGCATCAGTCAAATCAGTTTACAACCTGACGCTCTCGCGTGCGGTTGGTAAAAACGGAAGTTGCGAATATATTTTATTCTGTTTAATTTTTTTGATTGAGTTAAAGGAAAATATTGAAAGTGCTTATAAAGATACACAAATTGAATAGATAAGAAAACGAGAAAGTGCTATTGTAAAATCGACAAGTGACAGACAGTGTATGATTTATTATCGTCAACATAATGTAGAAATGGTAGAATACATAAAGTATAGAAATAAAAATGTGTATATGAATGGATTTTATACCACAACATTTCCATACCCATTTATTTCCTTCTAAGATCGCGAATCGAAATTATGACGATATTTGTATAAAATTTCATTTGATTTATGTGAAAATTTCATTCGAATCATTGCATCCAGACTACATTTGCGAAAGTTTGCAACTGATTGCCATTTATTGCTTATTTGCCATTGAGAGAGGAAAAAATAGTTTTTTTGTTATTCAAATTCACTGATAGCAGTTTATCGTGAAACTCATACATCACATTGTTGATTCGAATTGATGATGTCAAGTCTTCACAAACTTTTAATGAGTGATTGCTGTTTGGATTCAGGAATGAAATTTTTGAAGTTGCAATACAAAAAACGCATTTTGATGTCTTTATTGCATCGGAACACGTCCAAAAATTTTTATTCGTTCAACATGTCGATGAATAATTTATAGAGATTTTTTTCACAACTATAAAGCATTCATTAAATGTCCTCGGCGACTGAATGGCTAGTAATTATCTAGTAAATCTTCAATGTCTCCTCCCAAAACGAGATCTATTTTATTGAATGCAATAAAAACATATTTTTCGCTCCAGTTAATCTCCAAAAACAAGGGTGTCGAATTTAAACCCTCAAAAATTTTGTATCATTCAGTTCAGCTGCTCAATGTGATGAAAATTTGCGAAAAGATTATTTTTGTATTTTCACTAGTTAATGTGAGTGAGTCATTTATTATTAATATAGTTCCACTCACGATTGATTAGAGAAGCCATGATGGGAGATTACGTGTCAATTTATTGACAAACATTCTTGAATTATATGAAACGGAATATACCATTGACCCAAATTGATAAAGTATATTTGTTAAATGAAATAGGAACAGATGATTCCTGAAGTTGACAGAACTGTGTGGATAACTTGAGTCATGTAAATTGGTGTATTTTTGGTTTTATTTGAGAATAAATTGTTTAATGACACAAAAATTGGCAGCATATCTATTCAACAAAATATTCAAAATATTTGTGTAATATTACGTGTCATCAGGAACACAACAATGTTAATCATGAACACAATGTTGCTTCTTTTTTCAGACAAACAATTTAATGAGTCTGATTTTGTCCAAATAATTTTCAATTACATACATTATACATCAGGCAAGGATACATTCTATGAAAAAAATTACTAAAGTTTGAAGATCTCAGTTTTTATTATAAAATGTTCAAGTATCGACACTTCCCATTTAACAAAATCTTTTTAAAAACTGAACAAACTTCCAAGTTTTCTCGTGAAACTTTTGTTAATAAAATTATTTAAGTAAAAAAAACTGACAATCTTCATTACGTCAAATCTGATTCCTTTAGTATGAATATATAAATATCCGACTATGGATTGTTTACTTTAAATGTCCAACATTTAATGACGAAACAAGTTTACAGTAAGAGGTTTTAAAATTCTATTTTTCCAAGAGTCTTTAGGAGCGTAGCAAGATGGGTGATTTTATTTTATACTCCAGCTCAACATATCCATGACAAATTCTGGTCAAAACACTGAATATATCTCTATTGAATATCCTGTCAAAAGCACCCATCTGGCATGTAAAATGCAAATTTCTCTCATTAAATTAACAAAAAAAAAAAATGAAAATCTTTTGATCCCAGCTGAGTCAATTATTTTATTATAATAAAAAAATTCTATTTTTTGCCTCCTATTACGGTCTCAACTTTCCTCAATGTCGATTGTCAACAAGTCATTATTTATGACTTCCTTTTCATGATGTGACATTTGAGATGACGGCAAAAAAATTTACCTTTTTTTCTGATAAAAATTCTTTTGGTGAAAGGGAAGTTTAGTTGGGAAAAAGTAGAGATTCAAAGCAAAATTGAAATTAAATTGACGACATCAAAATCAGTATTCATGATATTTTCAGATAATCATTAAAATTCTATGTATAGAAATAGATATGCTAAAATTAGGCTTAAGACATTTTCCATGCTTAAAATACACGGTTATGTAATACGTTATTACTTGATTTCTGATGCCACAGACAATCAGTGCTTGATATGAAAATATAATTAAATTTTTTTGCTGAGCAAATCACGAACGCAGTGACTGTGAAATGAATCTTAAAATATTCCAGTTTTTTGAACATGTAATACGACTGAGAATTTACAATTCTAATTTAGAAAGCATTTTAACGCCTTCATGATTTTCCATAAGCATCCTTTGTAACATTCTTATGAAAACCTAGTAGTATGTTGTATTGTAAGTTAAGTTCTGAATATGACCTTATGCGTCTGATGTTATATGTTAATGCCTTCATTTATATCACTGGCTCTGATTGCCTTGAAAACTTGTGAGTCCACTAATTCAAACAAACCAGACTCAAACTTCAAAACACTATTGAATAGATGTTTAATCTTTTAATGCCTTGATCAACAATGACTGCATTATTTACAATGTAATAGCATTTAGAGATTACTAATAAATATAGTCCGAAAAATCGTTGTAGACGAGATTTTACTCACATTTAATTTGTATACTTGAATTTCAATAGCTATTGACTCCTATCGTTTTCCCAGAATAAATAAAAATAAGTCTTTGAGCATTAGAAAGTATGTAGAGGGGTGGAAGAGCAAGAAGGAAAAAAGCAAATAAAAAAGACGAATAAAAGCTCTGCATGGAATGAACTGCGATTCACATAAAGCTCATAAAGTCAAAGTAATAAAAATTGATCTTTAGAATTTATTATTTATTTGCCGTTTCAATTAAAAGCAGGTGGTCTCAATCTTCTCACTTCCTTAACGGAGAAAAAAAAGCATTGAATTATTATTTTTGGGTAAGACAATTGCTTATTATATATTATTTGTATTTGTTGTTTGGATAACTTTTACTCTGCTAACAATGTCGTTCGCACTCTCGTCTAAACAATAATAATAAGTCTTATACCGAAACAGGCACGTGTAATTAAAGTTCTTTTCTTCTTCCTTCGTTGCGTTGTTTAGATATCCTTTCACTTTGTCAAAATAAAGTGTTTGTGTTTTATCGATTTCTATTCACTTTTGTGTCCCTTGTTATCTTGACATCCTATTTTTGGGACCTTTTCTGTCAACACAATATTTAGATGCTTGTGTGTGACTTGAACACATTCCGTTGATTAAATCTTCCAATTTTCTTATTTTCATCACAAAATTTCCCTTCAATTACCCCAGACAAATTATTAAGGATTGAGTAAGCATTCTAAAGTAAATAAAATGGTTAATGAGCGGAATTCCAGTTCAAGCGCATTTTTCAGTTTATATGTTTTATTGAGTCTGATAGATATGAAAATAATCCATGGTTCATTTTGCAATGTCATCCAACAAAAGAGACCTCTTCCTGTAGCCACAAAATTAATTAAAAAGGAACCAACTTTTCTTAAACATTACACAAGGCTTTTATTGTCTTGGAAAGATATAAGAAGGAGTAAACACAAATCCACGTTTGTGAGGAATTGAGTTGGACAGAAGATGGCAAATTTTCGTGACGAACACAATTCCAAATTAATTCATCCTTGGCTATCAAAATAATAATAAGGAAAGAATGTCAATTACAATTTTATTTTATTTTTATATAAGACATTGTCAGTCTTATTTCGATGTTCGTTGTGTCTACTCGTGACTTGAAAGTTCTTCCACCCTATCCACATAATATAAATATTCTAAAAATGATGAATATTGGAATTAAAAGTTCTGGTAAGCTATTTTTTACTATGAAAAAACCACATGAAATAACAATTTGAGCTAGTCATCATGAAGAAAGCCTTAATGGATGATTTATTATTTTCTATTCATTCCTAACGTATTGTCCATTAAAAACCATTGACGCCATAAATAAAATGTGCTACATTATAAGGATGAGAAGTAAAAATTGTAAAAAGAGTTCTACAGACATTAATTTCCATATAAAGTGTCCATTCCTTACTCTAAGTCTGTGTTTGAGAGTTAATGTCTATAAAAACCCATAATAATATTGATGTCGTCGTCTCCTTTTGAACAATTCTAGATAAACAAAAAGCGTTTCTGTTTGCATTATGTCTTTTGGGTTGTTTGACTATTAATCAACGTAGATTTATGAATTGTCAAGTTAAAATTGTTGGTTGACTTTGTATTATCGCGGGATCTTTATTTATAAACTTTTGTAATAAGTTGATTTGCTGCCAATTTTAAATTTCCAATGATTTGTAAAATATGAGATTTTGGGAATTCATAGACTAATTAACATTTTAGTATATCAAATATAATGAAATTTCTGAAACAACTCTAATAAGAATCACGTTTTTTATTGCAATAAATTACTGCTTTCCATTAAATAAATTTTCATTTTCGAGAAAATTCCAATCAAAATTTTGAAATGTGATCATGTTTCTTATTAGGTATTACATCACTGTTTTAAATGCATCATCATCATCATCATTAAAAATATTTGACATTAATTCTGGCAAAATCTAAGAAATGTTCTTGGTAACAGTTTTTAAAATATATGAGAAATTAAACTTAAACCACGCATACCGAGATATGTGATATTTGCGGTTGAGCATTTTCTAACGTCAGTGAATGAAAAAACAAATCTTTTTAATGATTAGTTCGCCAACATTTATCTTATTAACAGCAATGACGTCACAGGAAATTTCTTATGTCATTTAAAGGCAATTTGAGAAGTTTCTGCTATAATAATGAAATATATACCAAATGTCATTCAATAATGAATTACATTCTGAATTTAAACGTATCATGTTGGTATAGGGCGGGGAAGGGGAACAAAGTTATTTATTGATAAATTTTTATAGCACACAGAAACAGCTAAAAGAATTTTTTCTTATTAAAAAGCAATTCTTCATGAAAAGAGATGAATTCACATGAGCTTCTGGATCTCTGAACTGACAGCAAAGCAAACAAGGCATCAATTTTGATAACATGAGTTGGAGTATTATTCTTGGTATGAAATTTTGTATGCAGATCAAGGGTGTGGTACTGATGAAATGATCAAAAATGATCAAAAATGATCAAAAAATGATCAAAAATTATCAAAAATTATCAAAATGTAATTCTTCAGTTCCACACCCTTGATGCAGATAGATCCAAAAATCAAGATTTTGAGTTCTAATATTATATAAATGTGATTCATCATGAAATGTTACAGAATAATTGAAATTCAATAAAGATTTTAAAGTTGAAGCTTAATCTAATAGTTGCTTGCAAAAAGTAAAATTTCATCAAAATTCTATAAAAAATGGTTACATAAAAATCTCGCAAACTTGCCATAAATCCACCATGCCTTGATCCAAAAAATATTGTTTATTCATCAAAGCTTGTAAGTAAAGAAAATATTCGTACGACATAAACATTGTGGAATGAATATTTTGTTTCTTAAATAGAAAAGATCAATAAAGTACTTTCATCTATTAAGTAATACTATTCTTGTGCATACATATGTATGATATCCAGAGATACGAACGCAATCTCTTTTTATTCTAATTATTTATGTAATTTCAAGATTAAGAGCATCCATTTTATTGAGTCTCGTGGAAATTTTAATGTTTGATTATTCGCATTTAACTCAATTTAATTTTCAAGCATTGAATTGCTAAAAGTTGTGTTAATTTTAGTTTAAGTCTACCACCAAGACTCTGCTACGCACTTTAATTTTCAATGTGTTTAGGATGATTTCACTTCTACATAAATCGCAGAAGCTTTTAGCGTGACAAAAGACTTACAAATATTCTGATATGTCTTGACAACGAATGATAGAAAAATTGTAAAGCTTCATTTATCTTCCCCAAACCCTATATTATACATCATACATATTTTGAGTTTTATTGTGTAAACGTTTCAGCATTGAAATGAATTATTAAGATATCTAAATGATTTCATAAGAAAGGAATCGATTGTGTATGGATGATTCTATAGAAACTCAAAATTGAGGAATTGTAATTTGTGGAATTTAAGTAAACATGAATCGTAAAGATTTTATAACTTTTGTATCATCTTTCCAAAAATCTTTGTACTTGGAACTTTCTAGAATCATAAAAAAATATCAAAAAAAATTCTCTTGAATTTCCTCACAAGTATGCTCATTAAGGATGCTAATAGAATATTTTATTCGTTCCCATTTCCATAGATTTTTATCGGATTCAACATATGAGCTTATTGATGAATTTATAATTTTCTGATTTAATTCTGACATAATTCAATCGCTAATTGGCTAAGAAAAGTATGATTTTGGATTCCATGAGTAAACTATTAAACTTAAAGTAAAAATTCAACAAAAAATAAAATTTCAATTTCAATAGATCCATTACCAGATGAAATTAGCAAAACTTTGAAGCTTCATATATTATTCTTCGTGTCTTTATTCTCACTCGCTCATTTAAACTTCAAAATCCTTAAATTAACCTTTTCCTTCAACCAAAAATCAACATCACAGATATTATTTAAATTTTCCAACAGCATTAATTTTAGCACAATATTTTCAATTTTTATCAAAATCCAATCAAACCATAAGGCATCATTTACATATTCTTTTATAGGTTCAAAAAAACAGTCAACGAAGAATAAAAGCAACTAATTAAATGCTGTTTATTTTATAAATTGGCTGTAATTCTGTTTGTTATTGTATCCTAAGGGAAAATGGGGCGTTTCCATGTTTAAAGCTTTTTTGATATATTTTAATTAAAACATTTTTATAAAAGATTGTCTCAAAAATCTTATCATAACTTATTTTAAAGATGACATGGATACAACGAGACTAATTTAGAATCGAAAATAAGAACAACTTCAATTAAATGTTTAACATTCTTGCATTAAGCTTTTAACGAAGGTTTTTTTTTATAATCAAATTGTAAAGTTTCTGACATTATCTGGAGCTTTTTATGAAGTTCTGCGACGTTGTAAACAATTTCTAGAACATAGCATGGACATTTAAAAGAATCCATAAATTATTTGGAAAAAAATTGTTTACGATCACGTTTGGCTGTTGACGTAGTTCATGTTTTGATTCGGGTTTCTTATTGCTTGCAAATAAATATGAATGCAGCATTTATTAAGAAAATGTACTTGTATATTGAAAACAAACAAAAAGAAACTTCATCATTACTATATGCTTTTAAGAACTAGATATAGTTGCTAATCTTTTTTGTTGTTAATTTCATCTGATATTGACTTCTTGAATCCATTGACTTAAAGTGAAATGAATCGTGTCTATTACCATATTTTATGCACATGTAAACATTCGGACTGTGAAAAAAAAGGATTAGAATTTTAAATTCTTTTCATATTATTGATGATGTTTTCAACTCTCGCTCACATCTTCTTTCTTCTCTCCGCTATTCTCATTTTCTCTTATCTTACCAAAAGTCTCTCTGATTGTGTGCATTATTTTCTTCTGTATGTTTCATGACTGCTTGTAAGACAACGACAAGACTTCATTACACATTCATTCAGTTGCTAGTTCACTATTCATCCAAACAGTTGAAGAGATTAACGTGATTTGAATTTATCTGCTTTAATGCATGTGAGCATTTGCTTACGTAAGGGAAGTGTTGGAACTAGAAGCTATTTATTTAGCTATTATTTATAAATAAATTCAGGAAAACGTGAAGTAGGTTTTGTAGGAATTATTTATGGTGAATTAAATTAGGAAAGTTATACAAAGATCTTAAAAAAAACCTCTTCGTCTAATTTTAGTGCTTCTTTAAGCGTGTTGTGACATTTTATGGGATATCCGGGGGTGTTTTATGTGAACGAAGTGGATAAATATTCGAAAAAATTTCAATAGAAACTTAAAGTAGACTGAAAATCTGAAGAATTTCCACACAATTGAATAATATGTAGTCATATGAACTGCCTGAAAAATTAACAAACCGATTCAGTATCCCACAGCTTATTAGGATCGATTTGCTTGCTTTAAATATCCTCCTAGAAAAAAAAAAGATTTTAACATTCACCACACATGCTTACTAATCCTTATATTGAAGGCAATTAGACATAAGTTTTATTTGCAACAAAACAAATAATCTTCACATGGTGCAATTCTCGTTTCGTGCGTAAAATTCTATGCATATACACATAATCCGACACATAATAAGCTATGATTAAGCAAATAATAAAATCTGGAATGTGGCTATATAAAGGATCAAAATCGCTGAGTGTTACTGATCTAATTAAAATTGAGTGTTTGCATTGAACAGACGATTGTGAATATCCGATGAGTAAATATTAGTGACACTAATTAATTAAATATAAATAAACAGCAAGAATAGAGTGAGCATAAATAAGTTAATAAATTAAAGAGGTCGTGTCTAAATATAATGCAGCATCATGTTGACAACTTTAATGTTACGGAAGAAAAAAAATGCAATTCATAATAATTGATGATGTTGATGATTATAGGACATACTCACAGTCATTTAACTACTATATTGATTGAAAAACGAGTGATAAATTAAAATAATAAAAATATCATCGATGATGTTGATGGACTTACTCTCTTTCATTGTTGACTCAAGTGTATGTAGAGTAGAAAATAAATTTAATGGAATTTAATGGACGTGTCTTATCAGAAGTTGAACAGCGAATGAACGTTGTACTGCATCCATCGATAAAATGATATTTTTTATTGAGTTTTAAAAAATTATGATGGCTTGTTTTACATAAAAAAGGAGATACCAGATTATAAAAAGTAACTTTTATTGACAATTTGTTCACTCGTGAATGGAGTTCATTTCAACAATAATGGAACGTGCTGCGACTTTTTGGAGAAATCGGAGATTTTTCAAGTTTCGTAAGTTCCCCATCCCTATTTATATACCTTTATCCGATTTAATCTTTAGGATAACAAACTTAAACGTCGTTAAAAGATTCATAAAATTTTTCGTGTAACTTAATAATGCTCATCACTCATGTGTGTCACTTCACATTTAAAAGGCTCAAGGTTCTCTTTCAATGTTTTATGAATGATTGAAGAGAAAAAGAGAGCAATGAAATCACTATAGTTGGTATAAAGCTAATGAGCTTTTTTTTATAGGTCTGCTTTGACTTCTTTGTAAGATTCCAAGGAGCTCATTAAATTCTAGTTTTATTCGTTTTATTCATTAAAATTCTTGATTTGAATATTCTCAACAGGAGTTTATTGAAGCAATTGGAATAAAAAGCTGTTTCAACTTTAATGAGAAAATTAGGTCTTTTTTACAAAGGTATAAAAAGTTGAGCTTCAGTTGTAAAATTATATTAACTTCAAGCTAGTTCAAAGAATGCTGTCTCTGAATAAAATATTAATCCTCTTGTTTTATTTTTCAATTCTCATTCAAATAAATAAGATGAGAAAATGTTGTTTGCATTGAAATAATGGAAGGAGTCATATCAAGCATTTAACAACACTTTAGTTGTCATAGAATTCCGAAAAGGATCTTGACATTTTATAAAGATTATGGTAAAAGCTTTTCAAGCAACTAATACGTGGAATTGAATGATATTAAATTTTCATGGGAGCCTAAATTGGATGAAAGGTTTAAAGATGTTCCTCACTTGGTCGTATATCCATTGAAATAGCAAATAAATGCTTTCTTTCTATCTTTAAATACAATCAAAATATGCCTTAATCAGAAGCAAAAAGTTATGAGACAAGACCAATAAAATTGGGTAAAATTAAGCTTATCTTGCTTAGTAAAATGTGGAGATAATGAATGACTGTAATGGAACTGCTGTCTTAACTTAGAAAAGACTTTTGGTTGTACAACATTGAAGCTGTATAAAATGGCAGCATTTTTATGTGTAAGATAATTTAATTACTTTTCATCTCTTTTAAGAGATTTACTTAAGGATTTTGAGCTTTCATCAACATCAGTTTATCAAGGAACTTATTTTCATCACAATAATTCCATAAATTGACTCTTTGTACGACGCTTAAAGTCAATTATGTCAGCTCATATTCCATTATGAGATTAAATTTGTGGGATTTTAAACCCAACGGCACATTCTGTTATCACCGCAAATTGTTACGACAGAATGATAGTTCGAAGGGTTTTCATGCAATTAAGGTTTAAATTGTTAAGCTTTTGTATCATTTAATGAAAAATTTTAATTAATTTTGTGGTTTTTGATCATAAAACAATGCGACAATAAATTGAATAAAATCATTTTCATTTAAGGAAGTAGTACTTTAAGATTCTGAAACTTTATTGAACTTCCAAAGTTTTCTAAAATCTACTTAAATTTTGAAAAGTTGGCAACAAGTCTTGTTGCAAAGTTGGGTATTAATTTTTTTTTGAGCGCTCACTTTATGTCCTGAAGGTAAAATTTAATTTCAGAAACACTCATTTTCCCGGGATTAAGATGAAATGCTGATGATCTGAAAGAATAAATAATAAAATTAAATTAAGCTAAGCAATATTGTGGATTTTTTGAAGAGAAAATCCGTCCTTTGTGCTTATAAAGCACATTTAAAAGGTATCTTTAATATGTATAAGGTCACGATGCTAAACCAAAGTCACAACAATATAAAAATAAAAAATTTAAGATGTTATTGGATTATAAACAGGCTTGATAATTAAAGAACCACATGAAAAAACAAATTGATCCTAAAAGTCTGTAATTTATTATCAAAATTTTCCTTGTGCCTTCACGGATTCTCGTAATTTGTTTCTAACTGCAATATACATTAATTAGAAGCTTTTGCTATCTTTATAAAATTAGCATAATGCCGACGTAGTCATATGCTAATCATAAATTTCGAGAATATATCCCATTTCATTAACACAACCCGTTCACATCTCTGTTTTCTGTGTCGTCTGTTCACATAATCTCCAGCATGTTTTTATCCACAAAACACAAGTTGTTTGTTATACGTGATAATAGAGTCCTTTAATCCACGCTTAGGACGTAATGTGATATTGACAAACTCCGTTATTTATGTGATTATGAGGAAAAGGCAAATAGTCTTTTCATTGGTTTTCAAAGTCAACAACAGATAGGCTATAAATTATGATGAATAGCTACAGAAGTTTCTTCCTTGTCATATCAACTCCTTGAGTCGAAAGTCTGACTGATTTTGGTTAATAGTGTCAAGTATTCTTGAAACTTCATATTTCAATCTTTTATTGACAAAAACAAAGCTACTGGCTCCATCAGTCTAAATTAATGTTTTACAGCCGATAGCTCAATATATGTGCAACTACATAAATTCAAGCTTTAATCATAAATATTTAAATTGCTTGTTTAAACATGCTCAAACTACTTAAAAGTATTAAATTCTTCGTACCTTCCAGAAACCAAAAACAAACCTCTTTAAAATTATTATGATAATTGAATCTTAGATTTTTTGTAGCTATAGACAAACCCTTAGCGGTGAACCGAAAAAAAATTCCCCACAGCATGAATGCTCAAAGAAAATTAAATTACAGTCCACACTTCAATTCGCTATCTTCAACCCTTTCCTAAGATTTGAATAAAAATTAAAGAAGCAAGCCTGAAGTAATGCAAATTATGTCTAGAGCTGCTGCCTCAAAGCATTCTGCTTGGAAAATTATAATAATTAATTTAAATTAAATTGAGTTGAATGCTTTAAGATAAAACAACCCCTCGAAATGGAATTAATCAATTTGATTTAATTTGCATGATTGCTGTCATCATAAGGCTTCTCATCTGGAAAAAAATCAACGCATTTATAGACACAAAGCGAGTTGGAGCATGGAAAATAATAAAATATTTTCTTTTCTACAAAATATTGATGAAATTAATGTGATTTTTTGCAGGTAGCAACAATGGCAGCAGCAATAATACAGCTCAACGAATGTCGAATGATAAGAATCGGAAAGGCACGGAAGGAACAAATTATCAACATCACGGTAACAAAAGCATTATACTTTCTTATTATATGACATTAAATTCTATTTGAATTTTTTGTTTCCCATTCCGTCATTTCAATCAACTTGGTACTTCTTGTTTGTCCTTAACATCAACATCAACATAGATTTTAATGAAGAAGAAATAAATTTCTATTTGCGAAATCATCCGGAAATATTGGAGAAATATCTCATGGATGAGGTAGAATTAGAACAATTGGAACGATGGATGATCCGCAGGACGCAAAAGGCGAAAAAAATGAATTACGCAAATAGAAAGACGAGTTTGAGTCGATGGAGATTTTGTGTTCATGCTGATAAACGACAAATGCTTGAACAACTGACACAACAGCTGCAAAGTAAACCAACGAAAGCACACGTCCTTTTTGAATTGTCATCGTGCATATCAAATGCGGTAAATGCTGATGGTTTTCGTTTATATATTGTCGAGGATGCAGCTGACAATTTGTCTTTTGTAATGGACTCAGAAACATTTGACGAGCATGGGGAGCCAAAAATACAGAAAATTTGTGACGACGCATCAATTGCACGATATGTGGCTTCAACCCGTGAGCCAACTCGTTATTCGCGAGGTGATATTGATCCTAGATTTCCTAATGTCATTTCTGACAAAGAGACCGAGCACGTTTTGTGTCAAGCAATTGTATATCCGGATGGAAGTCTTGTAGCAGTGCTTGAAATGTGGAGACGTGAGAGCGGTGCTCGGTTCCATGAAGAAGATGAAGAAATATCGTATTCGTATCTTGTTTGGGGCGGCATAGCTCTACATTACATGTCCATTTATATCAACTTGAACAAACAAAAGAAACTCAATGATTTCCTTTTAGCTGTTGTCAAGTAAGCAAGAAACCTTAATTAATAGACCATATGTTTACACTAAAACTCGATGGATATAATATTATATGTCTCTAAGTGCCATCATTGTTTCTTTCCCTTTCTCTATTGTTCCTTCTTAATGGTCAACAAATTTATGTCTTGTTTTGTGTTTCGAGTGTTCGGATCAAATAAAACATGAAGCAGCAACACATAAATGTTACGACACAGATTTCCATGTTTCGTTATATTATATTCATTAAGAGCACTCGCAAAAATCATTATTATCTTTTCTAATTCTAAATGGAGTGTAGCTTGATAATTGATTTGATTTATTGAGTTGATTAATATTTGACTCTTGACTTTTCTGTTGTCTCACTCCGTGGATCATATTGTTTTTACAGCACATGACATTTGGTTCCTTCTGCAAATGATTGGATGATGAACCACCTAGAAATAATTTTAAAAAGAGCCTTAACAGCTTGTGTAACTGCCCAGATAACCTTTTCTTCTCTTCCATTTTCAATTTAGATCAATTTTTCAGGATATGGTATCAATGGATATGCTCGTGATTAAAATAATGAATTATGCACAACGTTTAGTCAATGCTGATCGTGCATCACTCTTCCTGATTGACTCTCGTACGAATGAATTGTATGCGACAATATTTGATGTTGGTTTTGAGGATGACATACAAGAAAAGATGAATTCACCGCGAGCAGCGAAGGAAACAACACAAAAATTGAAAAGTGAGGAAATTCGATTTCCAATTGGAACCGGAATCGCAGGTCAATGCGCATTAACTGGTGAAATATTTAACATCATTGATGCATATAGTGATGAAAGGTTCAATAGAAATGTTGATCAACTTACAGGATATAAAACAGATACGATTCTTTGTATGCCAATTTTCATACGAGGCTCAATTATAGGTGTTGTGGAAATGGTAAATAAACGTTCGAGTTATTTTTCAAAAGAGGATGAAGAGGCATTTGAAACGTTTGCTGTTTATTGCGGTCTCGCATTACATCATGCCAAATTGTACGATAAAATTCGGAGATCTGAGAAGAAGTATAGGGTTGCATTGGAAGTGCTGAGTTACCATAACCAATGTAATGATTATGATTTGGAGAAATGTGATAAAATGGGCATTCCATCAACCATTCCAGACATTGATAGTTACTACTTTAATCCATTCGAAGTCGATGAGTATGTGAAGGTCAACTACGTAATTTTCATGTTTAAAGACCTTTTCGGATTCAATCGTTTCGAGAAGAGAGACTTAATGCGATTTACACTGACTGTAAAAAAGAATTACCGTCGTGTTCCATATCATAATTGGACTCATGGCTTTGCTGTTGCCAATTCAATGTATTCAATCCTCAAGAACTCTGATTTGGTCTTTCGTCCGAATGAGGTAAGAAAAGTTTGAATTTCATCAGAACTTTACAGTAACTTTGAATCCTATTTACAGTGCCTCGCATTATTTATTGGATCATTGTGTCAGTAAGTATTAAGCACAACTTTGCATTTTAAGCATGTTCTTATTATTTTTAATTCAAATAATCTCATTTAGCGACCTTGACCATCGAGGCAAGAGCAACAAGTTCATGCTAGATTCTGAATCTCCGATTGCTGCCATTTATTCAACCTCGACTATGGAACATCATCATTTCAATCAGACTGTCACTATCTTACAGCAAGACGGACATAATATTTTAGCTAAACTAAGTTCAACAGAATATAAACAGATTCTAAGTTTGATTAAAGTATGAGTCATTGAATATTAATGCTTAAATGTCTTGTCAACATGAAAACTTTCTCATTCTTTTCTCTCAGCACTGCATACTGGCGACAGATCTTGCATTATTCTTCCCAAACAAAGAAAAATTGATGATTCTAGTAGATAATGAAAAATTCTCGTGGAGTGTATTGGAGCATCGGATGATGGTAAATGCCATTGCAATGACAGCAGCAGATCTATCTGCAAGTTCAAAACCATGGGAAATTCAATCAGAAACAGTTAAGGGAATATTTGAAGAGTTTTATGAACAAGGCGATGAAGAGAAACGTGCTGGAAGACAACCTATACCCATGATGGATCGCAATCAGCCAGATCAGCAGGCAAATTCTCAGGTTAGATAATAATTTTTTAAATATGGAATATGTTCATAAATAACGTCCGATGCAAGGGATTAAACGTTATAAGTGAAATGACCCAATTGATGTTATTGTCGTAATAAGATTCTGTTATCAATTAGGAACAAAAAGACAATGCACTCCATGTGAGTTGTAGTTGTTTAACTTTAGGAAATAAAAATTTGCAATCATTGTCAATAAAAGCTATAAAGTCACTCTAATTTGGCTGATTCTATGTGAATAAAATAGGTTTTGCTAAATAGAATCATATCCTATAAATATAAAGAACATGCTCGATTGCAAAACATGGAAATAAATAACAATACTAATAAAGATTCAAAATGCTTTAGTTTCTACATGAAGATGAGTTATCAACAAATCAACTAGTCAACCACCATGCTAGACTTTATGTACGTAATAGCTCATTTGTATTGCAAAATCTGCACACACACAAAAATATATCCGCAAAATTTTCACTTTTAATGTTTCAACCCTCAAAAGTTAATTAAGAAAATAACTCACTACAGGTCACTACGGTTGACAGCACTTAAGAGCCTATTTTATGCTTCATTAATCCTTTCACGTTATTAAACTTTTCTGTCTTAATATCATTCACAGCTTGGATTTCTCAATGGCATTTGCATTCCGTGTTATTCTCTGCTATATCGTCTAATACCGGAAACAAGACCGATGTTGAAGCAGTGTCAGGAAAATCTTGCTCGTTGGCAGAATATTGATGAGCAGACGAAGCAGAAGGAATAAAATTATTTTAAAAGAGGAAAGAAGTTATCACAATTCAGACGTTTGTAAATGTTTTATATGTTTATGCTGTAGACTCTCATTGATGAAGAAATGAGACCAGCAAAAAAAAAGTAAAATCGATGAGAATTAAGGAAAAGAAAACGTGAATGGGAAGAATTATGAATGTCACCAAAGCTTTAAATGTTTAAATAAATATAAATCTGATGTTATTTGTGTATGCAGAAAATGTTTCCCTCTCATTTTTTTAATGCCTAAAGAGCTTTACACAAACAATTATCAGTTGATTAATTCCTGATGATTGATGGATATTTGTGTGTATCGCTAATGGCCTTTTTTTTACAGCTTATGTGACATGAATATCTAATGATATAAATATGGTAAATTGCTTGGAAATAATTTTTATTCACATCTTTATTGTCCTACACCGGAAAAAAGGAATGACACCATATTTAATTATCACAATATCCAATTCCATAGAGATAATCCATTTTAATAAAATAGACAGACAATGTTTACAGCATAATCATATGCAGTAATTTCAGTCAGTCTTACTGAGATGATTCTGTTTGCTCAATTTTTGAGCACGTTTTGACATGATCCAAAAATATAAGGAAGGCATGAGAAATCGAATGTAATATGCTAATCTTGGTGCTAAACCGCAAAATATGACATCTTTCTTATCCTTTAATACTGCCTGAAGAATATATTTTGCCATTTCGATTGGATCTGTTCCTTGAGCTGTGCTTTCATCCATTTTAGCGTATGCATTACCAGTACCGGTGAAAGCATTAAAGGAGAAATTTGTTGATATGTATCCAGGGCTAATTAGTGTGACCTTAACATTATGTTCGTCTACTTCCGCTCGTAACGAGTCACAAAAGGCTTGAATTGCGTGTTTTGATGCGCTATATGATGCTCTTTGTGGAATCGCAAACTTGCCTTGGACACTCCCGATACATAAAATTTTTCCGTCTCTTCTAGCAATCATAGATGGCAAGACTGCTTTAGTTAATGCAACAGTACCAAAATAATTAGTAAGCATGATTTTTATATCAACATCTACTTTTGTATCAACTGCATTGCTTCTTATGCTAACCCCACCTGTAAAACATAATAGATAGTCAATTTGGCAACTGGGTCCGGTTTACAGGGCTACTCGAGGCACTATAAAGAGTAGTCCTAGAAACCAACCCAAGATTAAACAAACATGGTTTCTAATTAATGCATACCGTTGTTAACGAGAATATCAATATGTCCATAAACGTCTAATACTTGATTAACTTTCTCTGGCAATGAATTAATATCTGTAAGGTCCATTTGAAGAATCATTGGCGAATGAGTTATTCCAATATGGTCAATGTTCATTAAGTCCCTTTTAACTCTTTCCAATTCCTCAATTCTTCTTGATGCCAAAATGATTTTTGCACCAGTCGTATAAAATACATGAGCTAAAGCTTCGCCTAATCCTGAAGATGCTCCTGTTGAGTTAAGTAATGCATAAAGTGTGTGATTAGATAAGATATTAAAGCTGTTTACCTGTAATTAACACCACTTTATTGGGTAAAGAATTCCGAATTTCTTTATCAAAAAGATATTTGTAGAATGAACATGGAAATGACAGGATTTTCATCAGCCAACAAAGAAATCCTCTATTTTTCTGATTAATTGCTACGTGTCCACCATCCATTGTTACAAAAACTGTCTTAATTACTGCACAATTGACTCACAAATAATTATAATTTTTTTACAGAGCAATTAAAAATCAAAGCTGTTATTTTCAAATGTAGATGGCACCAAAATATGTAAACAAAGCATGTGCCATCTGCTGTTTAAAATTTGAATTTTGTAATTTTCTGTCGTCAATCGAAAATTTATTAATTCACAAAATTTTCAGCTCTTGCAGCTTGTATTAAGTCATTTATTAATTTTTGTAAGAGAGGTCTATTGTACTCAATTATATTCATAATGACTGCCTGGAGACAAGCTGGTTTAAAGTGAGTAGAATGAGATATTTAATTCATAAAATAATGTGTTTTGAAAAAAATTATGCAATCGAGATCCAGTGAACATTCAGAAATTTAATGTAAATCATGATTTTAGCTACATCAACTATTCAAATATCGCTGCACGAATTCTTCGTCGCACATTAAAACCCGAAGCAAGAGTTGAAGCTGCAAAACGTGATGAAAGTCATATTCGATTCACTCCTTGGACCAATGGCAAACCAACCCGTAAGTTCTTCCTTAATTTTCCAGCTATCTGCTATACTTATTAAACATTCTATTATTATTATCTTGCAAATATATTTTGACAGATGAAAAGTAAAGTAAAAGAAAGAGTTCCTCTCTTATTGTAAGTCTTTGGCAGGCTTTTTGCCAACGATTGATTATATTTCCTTGTTTAGAACTTCCTTCTTTATCTACAATGACTAACACAAATCCTTTAAGAATGTGTGATGTTTTTTGATTGCGACTAACATAAATTTATGGTTTCACCAACATAAAAAATTCATAAGCTTTTTATGTTGGTTCCTCCTTTAAATTGCTTTCCTGTATCTAAATTATAATGATTTTAAACTAATGCGGTATTTTTTGTAATTTTAGGTAAGGACGCAGTCGAATCTGCTTAAGCTTTCTGATGAACATCCCGTTTTATCTAATTATAATTAATAAAATCCACAAAATTAGCATCCATCATATGGAATAAAATAATTATAAAAACAACAACTTTATGTCTAATAATAAATTTCTAAATGATTTTATTACAGCTACTTAGAAAAAGACATTATCTGAAGGCTTTTGAGCTTCATTTTGATCAACAGAGTTATTAATTTCTATAGAATTGATCCTTAAAACTGTTGTCGGTGATCTTTGGAAATTGATTCTACGATATTGCTTTCGTTTCTTGTACTTGAAATGAGTTCTAGTATGTGATAATGACTTTTCAATTATTGTTGCTTGAATATCCACTAATCCTTTTTGTAAAATTGGACGTCCGACTAAAGTGAAATCTTGTGATCCACAAAGCAGAACTTTCTCTAATCTCAATTGATCGCCATTAGTTGGTTCCCAAAATCCTTCAAGCATAATAACGTCTCCTTGAGTGATTTTAAATTGCTTACCACAAAGCTGAACAACTGCAAATAATCTTCCAGCTTCACTATTCTGGATCTTTTTGTTTACATTCTGTACTGGATCTTTGCCTTCTTTCAAATCAACAAATTCTAATGGCTTATTAACTGTCAATTTGTTATGAGCTGCTGGTGTTGATGATATTAAGCATCTTTGGAACAGATCTAAATTAATTCTCATTATTATTTTTCATTTCTATCTTAATTTACTAGTTCTCTTACTTGATAGCTGGTTGACATTATTCGGATATCTTGCTATATTAATCAATTTGTTGAGGAACATAATTGATTCTGTTGGAGGACTCGTTTAAATACAGTTTTTCTGCAAAATTTTGATTATTTTTAAAATTAAAAAATATAACCAAACTTTGAGGAGCTTTTTTTGCTATAAATGAGCTTTTGGTTCCAACACTTTGTCTGCTGTCTTTTGAATATATGAAGGAAGTAATGGATTTCTTTTTTTACAAATTTATTGTTGAGTCTAGTTATTATGTTCAGATCTATTGAAAATATGTTAATGAACCTTAGCAAAACAGGTACTTAGAGCTACATTAATCAACATACATCACGAGATCCTCAGATATAGATGTCGTATTAGTCGATTGATGATTCAAAACAAAAGAATTATAAAGAAAAAAAGTTTTCATCATTTAAAATTAAAAAATATAAGTAAGAAACAAGGATGCATGGACGATTGAAAGTAAGAACGAGTGCAGAGGAAGCAGCAAGGAAGAAGAAGGAACAGGATTTGAAGGCAAAAGCTTATAGAATTGGAATGGATAAGATTTTTTCGTTGAGATCGTCTGAAAGTTTCGGTAGTGAATTATTGGAACTGACTGGAAAAATTCTTTCCGTGAATCCAGACTTGTCAACGTTGTGGAACATACGTCGTGAATGCATACTCAAAATGACTGAAGAAAACAAGGAAGATTCAACTTTATTTGATCGAGATTTGGGATTTACTGAGTTATGTCTTCAAATTCAGCCTAAATCATATGGAGCATGGCATCATCGTTCATGGATTTTAGAGAATTCGCCGAAGCCTGACTGGGATAAAGAAGTTAATTTATGTAAATTATATCTTAAAAAGGATGAACGTAACTGTAAGTAAAAGAAATTGATTCTTTATTACATCATTCACTTCATTTATGATAATCTTATTTACAGTTCATTGCTGGGATTATAGACGTTATGTAGTCAAGAAAGCAAATGTATCAGCTGAGAAGGAATTCGAATTTTGTGACGATAAGATTCAGAAGAACTTTTCAAATTATTCATCATGGTTCTATAGATCTCAGTTACTTCCAATTTTACATCCACATGAAAGCGACCAATCTAGACCAATATCTGAGGAAAAATTGAAGGAAGAACTAGAAATTGTAATAACAGCAGCATTTACAGACCCAAATGATTCATCAGCATGGTTTTATCAGAGATATTTATTAGGATATTCAGATCCAAAATTTGATATTGCATGCTTTAAGCTCATTAAACAGCACATGATTATTGCATTCACGAAAGCTGTTGATTTGAATAGAGATAAGATAAGCATTTTTATTGACAATAATTGTGATAGTCAATGGATGGCTATATCTGGCAATAAAAGTGACTGCATTTGGATTAATCGAGGCGATTTTGAAATCACTGATGAGATTTTAATTAAAGTCACTCACGCTGATCAAGAATATTCATTAACTGCTAAAAAGTATGACAAAAGTGCCGTAATTGGTTGCAAACTTCCTTCTTTTGGCTATGAATTCGGAATTGCTGTCAAAGAGGAACTTAAAAATCAGCTAGAATCGTGCAATCAACTCTTAGAATTTGAACCAGATAGCAAATTTACTTTACTAACGGCTGCCTTATTAATGCGTTCATTAGATCGATTCCACTATCATGAAGAGACTTTAGAATATCTTAAGAAGCTACAAACAGTAGATCCATTAAGATATGGATATTATAGAGATCTAGCTAGTAAATGGATATTAGAAGTAAAGCTTAAAGAATTTGTGGAAAGTGGAAAATACGAGAAAATCGACTTGACAGCACTCGATCTTACAACTGTCTATTATAATCAATTCTTAGTCATTGCAAATGAAATTGATCTACGTGAAAATCCAGCATTGAACAAAAATTCCTGCAAGTTTTCGCTAGTTGAAGGCTGCAATGTAAGCTTTTAAATCTGTCATCACTTAGCTATCGATCATAATTTGTTGCTAATATTATGTGCTTATTATTTTATGTGATTATTTTTATTGAATTGAACAATAAAGCTTTTATATGCTGACTTGTAGTTTATTAATTTATTCTTAGAATTATTGGAATTATTACAAATTACTGGTCTTTTTGAATTTATAAACTGTTATAAACATGCATTAAAAGCAGTGCTTCATGCGCCACAATCCAAAACTGTTGAATGGTTTTCGAATTTGAATTCCAAAAAGCCGTTAAAATTCAAAACTTTCAATCCACTCATTTTTAACAATTTATTACTTATTAATTGCTTCTGAAAGAATCAATAAATAAAGTAACGAAAAGCTTTTCATATTTTATGTAATATATTTTTATTATAGATATTTTATTACTTTTATCCTTTGTTCAACACATTAAATTTTCAACAGAATGATTTCACTAAATAAATTACATTGAATTGTTGGATATTTCTTGCACATTTTTGTCTATATTAAACACGGGGATCAATAAGCTTACAAATATCTTGATAGATATAAAGTAGCGGGAAAAGTTCATAATGGAATGCCTCAAATATTTCACGTCTTTAACAAAATGATCAACAAAAGATTTTTGATTCCACTTGAAATGATTTAATTAAGATATGAAGAATTTTTATATACAATCAATAAATTTCCTCTTTATGAATAAGTATATGATGAATATATAATACTAATAAGTAAGGTGCGCTAGGGTTAACAACATTTAAGCCTTTCCTGAAATTGTTTTTGCACCGTCCTTATCACCCGGAACCTTCTCACTATCTTTTTCCAATTGTTTTCCTAAATACTCCCAATTATGAACCATCAATTTCTGAACAGCAAGGAGAGCCTCATAACGTACATTAGGGTCTTCATGTCCGAGAAGCTGCATTACTAGTTGTTTACCATTAAGCTGCTCGATGACGCTAAAATTATATTTTTCAGTAAATTAACAATCCTACGTTAAAGAAAAATTGACTTACTGTTTTCCACGAGGAAAGTGACGAACATATTCACCGATATCGTAGCTAGCAACAGACAAGACTAAAGGATCTCGTGAAGTATCTAATAAATGAATTAAAATTCTCAACAATTCGTAATTCTTCTCGTTCAAGCGTTGTGCATTTTCACGCCAGAATTTAGCAGATTTGTGTACTGGTGACCATTCCAAGCGTCCACTCTTAATTTCCGTTGAATATTCATCAAATGATGAAAGATCTTGAACGGATGTTTGCAATTTTTCAGTTAGAAATTCAACATCAGATGTGATATCTTCATCGTCAAAACGACGTTGCTCAAGAATGGACAATTGTTTGAGAACTTTACATTGAACCATAGCAATGCAGTGTTCCTTGGACACTTGTGCATCCTCTGGCTTTTCAATTAAATTTCTAAATACGGCAAGAATAATTCTTGTTACTTTTTCCTTTGCACAATCGCTCAAAATATCAGCGAGAATGGGAATAACATTGAACTTGTTCATTTTCTCAGCGAGCAGTGGATTGAATGTCAAAACCCATAAGCAGAAAACTAATTGATATTGAACCTAAAGACAATTTAAATTGTACTGGTTTTTGAAAATTCAAATTGTAGCGGTTTTGTAGAATTTGAAAATTGAATTTTTTACGTTTGAATTCTACAAAACCGTTTACTTTTGAACTTTACAAAACCGTTTAAAAATAAATGATTATTATTGCCAATTAACAACTTACTTGGAAGTTGACACGTGATGACAAAATAGAAATCAATGTACTGATACCATCGACTGTGACGAAAGCAAAACGATATTCGTCAACACGGAGCATCATTTGCAAGCAACGACCAACAGATTGGATGTATTCATTATCCTAAAATTATGAAACAGTATATTAATAAGGATTAATTTAAATATGTATTAATCATCAAAAACAAGGAGAAAAAAAAACTGGAAAATAAAAAAAATTTGGAACAATTCTCTCGTTAATCAAGTTAATTCAGAATTAAGCACACCGATTAGTTTGTAAGAATTAATTTTTTTAAAACAATCAACACTTTGGCTAATTTTTCTACAGACCGTAATCTTTAAACGAACGCCAGAAGAGACAGAAGGTGAACCAGCGCGTTCACCATGAATAGGTTCATCAATTGCACTTGAGACTTCCCTATATTTCTCAACAATCACGTTTTGTTGTTGATCCTTATTTTGATGATGATGATGAAAATGGAAGAGATGCATATGTTGATGAGGATGGTCCTTTTCCTTATATCCACGATGCTTAATTATCTCTTCCAACTCTTTGTTATATGCTGCAGCCTTCAGTTTTTCATTTCGTTTTTGATTTTATATAATTAATTAATTATTTTAGCATAGATTTTTTTTGCAATATAAAAAAGGTTTATTTTTTGAGTTACACGAAATTGAGAGGAAAGAGAAAAAATTAAGTCATTAGAAATGTTTTCTTTTGAGTGACTTATTCTATACACAAACGTACGTTTCTATGAGAAACATTCAGAAGAAAATGTGTTTAGTTGCGAGAATCCACAGAAATATTTTGAACTTTATGTCAAACTTGTTCTAGTCACAATTTTTTTTTGTTTCTTATTTTGGAAATTATATAGGAAGGGATGAACACATGTGACTGATGTATGCAATTTTGCAGGGTTCTTTATATAGATGGCTGCACCTGGATATCTTTAGATTGCTGATTTAATTATGAGAATTACATGATTTTGGGAAAAAAACATTTATCAAACATAGCCAAACTATCTCAATCTAGAAATCCCTAAAATGTAGCTACCCTAATATGCAGATAGTACTGCCAAGATGCAGATGGTGCTGCTAAAGTGCAGATGAAATTTATTTTCCCTAAAATGCAGATGAAATGCTGTTGCTTTAAAAAAGGTATAATACAGATAATTTTTATCGTATAAAGTGCAGATAAAATGCTGACCAAATGTAGATCGTATAATTTTATTAAAATAAAGATGAAATGCTGTTATAATGATAATTTAACGTTGGATATTAATTTTTTGGGCACCGACGAAAAAAGAAATTATTCGTGAGTGACGCTTTGGTTTCTTAAATATCTCCGAAACCACAATAGTAGGGTTTGGGGAACCTGTTAACAGAAAACAGAAAAACAGCTGTTTTTCGACAAAAATCTGTTAACAGAAAACAGGTCTCAAAAACAGATCTGTTTTCTGTTTTTCATTTTTACATATAATTTACAGAAAAAAAAAATTCTTAATTTTTTGAAGAACTTAATATATTTTTCTAGAATTTTAAATTGAAATGTTTTTACTTTTTTAATATTTTTTGGATGTTTAATAGTTTTGAAATCATCAAATTTATGATTAATCATTATTAATTTTGCAATCGAAGTTTTAAATTTGTTGAACTTTTTGTAGAATTTACTAAAGTTCAAAAATATAATCAACAATTTTACAAGATATTTTTTGATTTAGAAAGATTTGTTTGAATATTTCAAATAAAATATTAGAGTTTACGGAACTTTTTAAATGCAACAATGCAATTTTACTTTCATTAATCACTTTATTAATCAAACCTATTAATAATTCTTAGCTCTAAAATGTATGCTTAACTGCTTTTAACCACCAAAAAGTTTCATTATCTTAGAGAAACACTTAGGATAACTCAGTTTATTTTGAATTCTAGAAAAACAGGAAAACAGCTGTTTTTAAAAATCAAAAACCGAAAACAGACTGTTTTTCAAAAACAGCTGTTTTCCACAAACCCTACACAATAGTGACAAATTTCAAAGTTATTATATCTTGTAAAAAACAAAAATTGCTTTCTTTTGACATAAAACTTACTACCTAAAGTTAAGGAGTTATGTCAAGAAATCACATTAATTAAGCGTCACTCACGAATAATTTTTATAAATTTTGTTATAACTTTGGGAGCTTTCGTTGATGTATCTGCGAATGTATTTTTTATATTCACACCGTTTTCACGTGTGAATGTTTTGTTTTTGTTCAGATTGAAAAATCAGTTTTTCGCATTTTGTGAGAAAACGAAGCAAAATTGGTTATAAAAGGTTTCAGAAGAAAAGTTTGTGCCTGAAATTTTACATCTTTTGCAAAAATCAGTTTTAAAATTGATTGAGGCATTGCTGAGAAAATCGTAAAATACGCTTTCTGTAAGCAAACAAGCAAGCAAGCAAGAAATCTCAATAACGAGACATTGTAGAGACTTCTAGTTTTATACATTTGATCCGTGCTGCTCTATAGAAGAGCTGTATTGTTTTTTGGCAAGGTAGGAACAGCCGTTGCTTCAGAAAAAGCAAAAAACTTTCCTTTCTTACGAATTTTTCAAAACAAAAGTTCACTGTGATTTTTATAAAATTAAACTTTGGATGAAAATTTTTTTTAAAAAAAATTTTAAGAATGTTCGTTAAGTTTAAAACCTTCAAACATATGCTGAGAGCAGCTCAATTGACACGCTAGCTTTACACCTTCAAACGTATGCTGAACAAATCTCTGTCTTTCCATAAGACTTTTGATGGTACGGTGCGAATATATCCGCATTAGGTTTCTACCCGATACACTAGTTTTGTTGTTAAACGACATGTAACATTTTTGCAAGATATATAGATGAGCTCATAAAAAGGATACTCGACCCAATATATACATAAATATGTCATCAGACAAAATAATTACCCTTAAATTTTATCATGGATCATTTAAAGTCATTAACACGCATCAAGAAAAAAATTCATCGAATATTGATGTATTTTAATGAAATTATACGATCTACATTTGGGCTGCATCTTATCTGCACTTTATACGACAAAAATCATCTGCATTATACCTTTTTAAAAGCAACAGCATTTCATCTGCATTTTAGAGAAAATAAATTTCATCTGCACTTTAGCAGCACCATCTGCATCTTGGCAGTACTATCTGCATTTTAGGGTAGCTGCATTTTAGGGATTTTTAGATTGAGGTAGCCAATCTAGGGATTTATGCCTCAAAAACAAGCTTTTGAAAATCAATGACTGATTTTTTACTCTTTAAAAGGAAAACAAAGTCTGATGAATTTATAGGAGGTAGGAAAAAGCTCTTAAAGTCAGGCATGACATTTTTTGTTAAAGAAGCTTTTAAAAAGCACAAAATTCAAATTCTTTGTATAAAATAAAATGATTTTCTGAGATAAATTGACTGTAGCTATTCTAGAGAACAAAGCAAAATTGCACCTGACAATTTCTAATGAACAAAGAGTTGACTAATCCAGTATCTTGTTAGTTTACAAACCTAATATAAATTCTAAGTAGACACACATAAATGAGAAATATTAATTATCGATTCTAAAATATTTTTTCACTAGTTTATGATGTAGATTAGTAAGTATCAACAACAAAACGTGATTATGAGATGCATAATTTGCGCACACACAAATTATTCTTTCGTATAAATTTTTGATAATTATTTTTTGATGAGACGAGAATGAAGGAAAATAAAGAGAGAAAAATTCATCACAAAAAAATTGTTTGAAGCATGAAATGGACAATTAAGATGACATTATTGATGACCTGAAAAGGAATTAAGGTAGGAACTATACAATTTATGTTACTTACGCTTAATGTAAGCTGGTCCTTTAACCATTGCAAATAGAAGTTGAGATCAGATTTTGGCATTTGATCTTGTCCCCAGCATGCAAGTTTTGCAATGATTCTTGAAGTCATGTGAATAATAAATCCATCAGAACGATTCAAGAGTGATAGGAATGGACCCCAAACTGTCTCTTTACGCTTTGAAGCATAATCCAAGAAGATTTCAACACGAGTACGATCTTCAGATAACAAGTCATCAATCATAACGAGAAGATATTGGATAGTTGTATCCTTAGATACATGACTCAAAAGACTGAGGAACGTCTTAGCAGCTTGATATTGATTATCCTTCAAATAGTGCGACTTCTTATCTCCATCCAAAGCCGTTATTGCATTAAAATCTTCATTGGAAATCATTTGAGATTGTTGATATGATTGCCAGTTGATCTTTTGCGTTCTAATATCACTAGCTTGCTGCTGTAAGACACTTGTCGCAGCAATCATGTCTGAAATTAATTTTTTAAAGTTCCAATTTTTTTCACCATCAAAACATTAGCTTTTTCCTTACCAATTTTATCATCCAAGTGAGAAATCATATCATCTATGTTAGCCATGTTGCACTGTGATAATCTAGATGGATTCAAGAATTTTAAACAGCACTTTAATTAACTTATTCACGAAAATTTGCTATTTTCGTAATGTCTGTGTCAGGTGACCAAAAAAATATATATTCGTCAGTGATGTCACAAGAAATTACAAAAACAAAAAATTAAATTCAAATTTTTTTTGACAGTTTTGAAATAACGAATGAATTTGTAAGGTTTTGATTGTTTTTTGTTTACTTTTGATTCAAACAATTATTTCACCAAAAATCACTTAAAATCGTAATGATTCGCAAATCTAGCAACGATTCAGGCTTGATTCCAGCTCCTAAAAGACGGAGACACAAGAATTTTGATGTAAAACCATTTCCAACAGACTGTAAATTGATTGCAACATTCACTGGACTTGACGTTGAAATTTTTGATCCAAAATCCATAAAAATATTAGGTCAATGCGGAAATTATGGGAATAATGCACTTAACTATAGACATAGGCAGCTGTTTGATGAAGAAAAGATCCCAATAGTCTCACAGAATGATTATCAGAGAAAATTAAGGTGGAAAAAGAAATATTTGGATGATAAATCAAGTCCAATTGAAAAGTTAATTAAAGTCGAGGAAGTAACAGTTCAAGATCCATTTCCAATAAGTCAATCTCATGTGCTGATTATAGAGGAAGCAATGTTCCTACAAAAAGAGCTGAATTGTTTAGAAATTATGGATATCGGTGGTAATTTAATGACAACAGAAGATTTATGGAACGAGTTTTGTGATTTAAAGCATAACTTTGTTGAATGCTATGTAGGATATCTCTATTTAAAGAGCAAAAACTGGGTCATTAAGTCAGGAATCAAGTTTGGTGGTCACTTCAGTAAGTTATGAATAAAATCAAAGTAATACTGATCCTGATTGCTTCTTCTGTATTATAGTGACGTATAAGCATGGTCCGCAATACTATCATGCATCCTATATCGTGAAAATAGTGACCAGTCCACGAACATGTAATGAACATCAGACAAATGAAAGAATTGCTGAAGTTACTAAAAAAACAATGCTTTATCTTGAGGTTTATCATCCAGAGGACATTGACAGCACGAAATATTTGGACAACCTTGATAAATTCAAAGTCAAGGAAGTCGTAATTCAAAGATATGATGTAAAAGAAAGATTTATGAGCTAAGACTAAAGTTTTATTTAACATTTTATTCCTCTGAGTGCTTATCATCTCGATTTTTCAGGTAATCGCGATACTTCTTCTGTAATCCTGTCCTCCTAAAATCTGATCTTTCCTTTAGATATATTTCTGTGCATTCCCCAATGAATTTTTCGTCTTTGTACCATTTCGTGAGACATCCCCAAAGCTTTTCATTCTGATCTCTGCATTTCACTACCTAATAATGAATGAGAGACTTAATGTGCTTATAATTGACAAATGACTAAGTAGCTGCTCACCATAAACACTGAAGCATTTTTGCAACACTCTTCAAAAGCCGCAACTTCTTCGATGCATTTTTCTTTTTTTGCTTTATCACGCATGATTTTGGGAATCAACACTTCCTTTTCAACTTTACGTAGCTTACGATCATCTGGATCGCCTATAATAATATTTAATAAGACCACATTAATCGAATAATAAATCAAAAATATATGAAAATTAGCTGAATATTATGAAATAAATATTATGACGACATCTTACCTAATCCTCGAGGTCCACCGACACTTTTAACTGGAAAGTTTGTTGCTTCTGCATCCTGTTCACTATGTGTAAGTACCATTTTTGATTACTTATTTATTTGTTTTTGTAAAATTGCAAGAACGATGGACAAACTGTTCACAATAAACTGTTTCGAAATAAAATTCATAAAATGGGCTAAGATTTAAAACATTTCCGACTGTTAATTTTTCAAGTTTTAAATTTATTTCATAAGGATTAGAATGTTGTTAATAAGAAATTATGCAAATAAAAACTATACAAGGATCAAAGGTTTTTTTGTAAATAATTAAAATTTTAAATCTGCTGTCGTGCTTGCTCATTTGTCATTTTTGCATGTCATAACATATCTGCTGAAATGCGATTAAAGAACATTGTTATCTAATATTCAAATTAGTGACTTTGTGGCTAAATCGTTAAATTTTATAATTTTCATTAGATCATGTGCATCCAAAAATAATGCAACATTTACATGTTTGTTTGGAAACAGCTCGGTATTTAGGCGAAATTTTGCATTTGTTTGCCATGCATAAAGTAAATATGAAGAACCGCAAAAACATGTGACAATGCATCGAAGGTGTCTGTAATATTGGATATGCAGTCATGAAGAGTAAACGAAAATATTTGATAAGTTTTCTCTCTCTCGTATTTATTGTCTGCCCGATATCCACCTATTTTTCAACAGCGAGCGAACGAACAAGCGTATTATCATGATAATATGTATATGCATGTGCTTATATAATTCAAGAAGCAATAAAATTCCAAAAACGATGAAAGAAATTCGAGAGAAATACACCGACTTAATCTTCTTTTTTCATATAACCAACTCTCACAATCATCATTTGTTTATAAAAATTACAGTGAATATATCGGTGCTATTATTTTGCGCTCAGAGACTCGCATTTCCATTCATTTCGAGTCATTTGACGTTAGAATACCGCGACGTGTGCACGAAAGAAATATTAGGCAAGTCGATTTTTTATACTATCTGTTACTTCTCATTTTTCCCAATTATCAATTAATAACATATCGAATATTGTGTTCTATTCCGTAAGTTGTGTTCAAATAGACAGCAAATGAGCACATGTATGTGAAAAACGGATATATCGATTTTTTTTTTGTGGTGAAATATATATGGCTTATTGCTTACCAACTTTGAATTAATCATGACTTAATTGCACGACTGATAATGTATTCTGCTTGATTGGAATGAAAATAAAATGCAACTCAAGTTCTGATCGTTAAGCGGATGTTTAAGACACATTGTTATGGATTAAAGAAGATTTCAAATTTAACGATTTCCTAGCATTCAAATTTTATCGGGTTTCAAAAATTCAAAATTTATTTCATAAAATTCAAAAATTTAAAAAAATAACCGACAAAGAAGAAAATGTGACAAAAAAACTACAATTTTGTACTTTGCCTTTTCTGACGCATTCAGCAAACAATCGAGTCATACTAAGTGAACTGCATTTATGAATAATTTTCTGCTTATACAATAAAATAAGAAGAAAATTAAATGAGCAAGTGATAAGGAATTTATGCTGATTTGAAAATTTAAAGCTAAAAATAGCATTGACCATTATTTAAATATACGAGTAATACTACATGATTCATTAAGAATTCCAAACAATATGTGCGTATAAACATTAATACGTCAGTTGGAATGTAAATTTTTTTTCTCTTGTCTTTTTGGAATCATCGTACGATTCTGATCGACCAACAGCTAAGCTCATAATGAATTAAATCTTAGAATAAGAAGAAGAAGAAGTGGTTTTCTGCTATTTGTGTATTCAAGATTTCAGACTCAAGAGGTTGGATATGAGTACTTTTTTTCACATTTATAAATACTAATTCAAATGAAATTTATAGTACTATACTTGTTGATGACTGAAAAAGTCTAAAGTACTGTCCTTACCTCATTTCGTATTACGTCAAACAAGAAAACATAAACCGAACTTGAAAGCTTTTGTCAACAGTCATGTGCTTTGCTTTAAAGTTCTTTAGTTCAAGGCTATTAGAATGATTTTTTTTATAGTGATTTTAATAAGTTTCGGGTGATGAACCTTGATTGAAGTTTGGTTTTTAATGTCACGTTTATTTTTTGAAAAGCCGTTAAAAATTCTATAAGGTTCAAAACTTAACAAATGTTTAAGAACGGATTTTTAAAAAAATTGAATGGTTTTTGAGGAATTGAAAGGTTTCAAAAGAAGAAAATTTGTGTGCAGAGTTTTTGTGAATTAAAGTAGATTTTGCCATCCTAAGACCTTTAATATCAATTTAAATACATTCATAAACAAAATATCAAGTTGAGGTAGGCAATGGAAGTTTCATGGAAGTTTTTGGAAAGAAGAATTCACAAAAACAAAATATTGAAGAACCAAAACATTAAAAAAATCTATAGTTTGTGTTAAGTGCGTCCAAAAGTCAGTCATAAAAACATTATTTCATCTTTCATTAATCCATTTAATTAAATTGATTGGTAGTTTAACTGATTAATAAGCAGTAAGCATATTATTTCGTCAATATAATTATTACTTGCAATTTACACAATTATTAATGCAAAAATATTCGTTTTTTTGTGCTCCAAAAAGTTAATTGATTACATTTAATTAATATTTTTGAAGCATGCAATAATGAGACAGTTTATTTCGTCTTATCATTTGGTTGCACATTTATTAATATAACATTTGAACTCTCTTTTTGTAGCTTTTTAACACAAAATGGAACCGACAGAAAATGATTTTCGTATAATCGATCCAACAAAGCGCATTAAAATTCGCATAAATCCAAAAGATGAAGTAGCATCAATCGAGCCAGTTACAATTCCTGAAATGATGAAAAAAGTAGCACAAAGATATCCAGATCGTCCAGCACTTAAGCAAATGAATGCAGTCACAAAAGATTGGGAAGTTTTGACATTCTCAGAATATCAACAAAAAGTTGAAGAGATTGCTAAAGTCTTTATAAAGTTTGGTCTTAAACGTCATGAGACTGTTGCTGTTCTTGCATTCAACAGTATTGAATGGTTTATTACAGAAATGGCTACTATTCATGCTGGGTAAGTTATTTAATCCGTCAGTTTAATTTTTAATCTTGTGATTAAACAATTAATTTAATTACAGTGGAATCGCGACAGGAATTTATACAACAAACTCGGTCCATTCAACAAAATATATTCTCGAAAGCTCAAATGCAAGTATTATTGTCGTAGATGAAGCTAAACAAATGGAGAAAATTCGTGAAATAAAAGACTCATTACCGAATTTAAAAGCAGTAATTCAGACATTGCCTCCATATGCTACATATGTCAAACGTGATGATGGATTTTGGCGATGGAGTGAAATTGAGGAAATTGATACAACGGAAGTGGAAGCAGAATATCAAGAACGTTTAAAGTCAATCGTTCCAAATGAGTGTAGTGTCATGGTCTACACGTCAGGCACAACTGGAAATCCAAAAGGTGCAATGTTATCTCATGACAATTTCACATGGCTAGTCGAAAGTCTCAGAAAAAAATTTCCATTCCTGCATGATGGATGTGAAACTGTGGTTTCATATCTTCCTTTATCTCACGTTGCCGCACAATTACTTGATATATTCGTGTCGTTAACTTTAGCTGCAACAGTTTATTTCGCTGATAAAGATGCTCTTAAAGGATCACTTCTTAAGACATTAAATTTAGCTCGACCAACAATCTTTTTGGGCGTTCCTCGCGTTTTTGAAAAAGTCCAAGAGAAAATGCTTCAAGTCGGATCACAATCTGGTGCCTTAAAACGTTCAATTGCATCATGGGCCAAAAATGTTACTCTTAAATATCATTTGGATCGAATGGCAGGTGAACATTACGCTTCAATTCAATATAAACTTGTATCAACAATCATTCTAAGTAAAGTTAAGCAAGCTTTAGGATTCGATAAAATTAAACTTATGTTGACTGGTGCAGCACCAATGAATGTGGACACGAAGAGATATTTTCTAAGTTTGGATATTCCAATTTTAGATGCTTATGGAATGTCTGAATCTTCTGGTTCTCATAGTTTTGCAGCATATTTTGATCCTCATTTTGAATCTGTTGGACGAACATTGCCAGGCCTTGAGACAATGATTTATAATCCAAACGAGGAAGGTCACGGAGAAATATGCAAAAGAGGACGAAATGTCTTTATGGGATACATAAATGATAAAGAAAAGACTATGGAAGCAATCGATGATGATGGCTGGCTACATACTGGAGATATTGGATATATTGACAATGATGGATATATTTTCATTACAGGAAGACTCAAAGAGTTAATTATAACTGCTGGAGGTGAAAACATTCCACCAGTTCACATTGAAGACTTAGTCAAATCAGAATGTTCTGCAATCTCAAATGCATTTCTTGTTGGCGATAACCGCAAATTTCTTACCGTACTGATCGCATTAAAGACTGAAATGGATAAAGATGGTGCTCCGACTGATGATCTTGCAATTGAATCTCTCAAGCTAATGGAGAATCTCGGTTTAAAATATACTAAATTGAGTGAAGTTCTAGCTGAGCCTGATCCAAAAATTACTGAATTTATTCAAGACTCGATTGTTCGGGCCAACAAAAGGTAAGTTAATCGTCGTCATCAATCATTCATTTTATTAATTTGGTTCCTTTCTAAACAGTTCAATCTCCAATGCTCAAAAAGTCCAGAAATTCGCATTCCTCCCAAATGATTTTAGCATTCCAACTGGTGAATTAGGTCCAACAATGAAATTAAAGCGCAGCTATGTAGCTGACAAATACAAAGACGTGATTAATAAGCTTTATTCTTAAATTCTGTGCCTTAACATGACATTATCGAATTGTTGAATGACTACTTTTTTGTACTTGAGAGACATTGAAGGGATTTAAATTTACATCACATGATCAAAAATTAATTCACAGAAAAAAATTATTTTTATATTTACTTAATTAATATGTATGTTGCTATATGTTGGAATTCAGAAGATAACAAATAAAATGAATAGTCAATAGACTTTAATCTTTGAACTTGACGATTGTGATGGCTTCATTGTATGAATTGCAGAATACTTAGTGATGGTGATCAGCTGAAATAATGAATTATTTTTATTCAGACAATGACATCGCATTCCTATTGTTTTAAGCTCCTAGATAATATGTACTTTATGAAACTTTTAAATGCTTAAGAACATGTCTATTTTTTGTTAAAAATCTAGTCATTGACGTCATTGTTAAGTCCATACATCATGAGGTACTCGTTGATGAATTATTACTCTTGTAATGACAGACCACCACTGCTGTACGATCATGGACACACACTATCGATTAGCTCACTCGAGATAATTTTTGAGATCATCCACACATTTTGTCATTTTCCTTTCCGTCATTGCCGCGATTTTAATTGGTGTTGAAATTTTTATACTAAGGCTGTGATTGCGGCGATTCCAAAACAAATACTTTCATGGTTGCGATTCAGATGAGTTTGAAAGTGACAAGTAAAACAAATTTTCTTTTATTTACTGGACATTCATCGACAAAGTACTTGAATGGTGTACACCCGTTTCGTTGATGAGCAGTAATCCCAAAATGTCTGTCATAATTTGTAATGACTTTAAGGCATTTGTTTCATATGGGGCCGTTCCCTTATGACGTCCGACATGTAGGGGGGGAGGGGGGTCTAGGATTTTGTGACAGTTCAAACAATGGAAATTTTTTTCTATAGAATTTTTGTGACAGAGGGGGGGGGGGCTCTAAAAATCAGGTTTTTTGATGGACGTCATAAGTGAACGACCTCTATGATGATTGATATTCTATATATTAGGATATCTACTTTTAACTGAATGTTAACAAAGGTGATGTACCACAAGTTACCTTTTACCTTTTAGAAAACAAGCTTTCAAAGATGCGCTAAAAACATCAATTTAAACAAAAAAACGCAAAACATAATTTTTTTACAATTTTTCCCGTTTATTTTCCTTTAAATGCGATTCCTTTTAAAATGAAACATGTGTAATTTTATGAAATCTAAATTTTTAATCACAAATATTTATGAATTATCAAGTTGAAGAGTTTTTTACAGCATTTCTCGGTTAATATGGAATTTTTTGATCTGATTGAGTAACTCAAGTTATTGAATTTTTGAATTTAAAGAACTCAAAATGCACAGAATTTAGTAGTTTTGAGCTGTTTATTGTTATTTTCTATCTAGGTTTATTACATTTTTTGGGATCCAAATGTTGAGCTTTAAACAAATTCAAAACTTAAAATTGTCTATCAAAAATTTTCAAAAAGCTTTTAACAGTGAAAATTTATGGGATAAGCAAAAAAATAGGGACTTTATCGTCCTCATTGACATATGAAACTTCCATTTTGACCTTTTGATATATTTCTCTATCCTTTATGTTCTGTGAATGCTGATAGAAATGGAAAAACTCGAGAGGAGGAAGAAAAATTGATTTGTAAAATTTGATATACATGAAAGAGCAAATTTCTTAAATTTCTGGCTCTGTAATGTGTAAATGTGGGTTAGAGGAAATAACTTGGAGAAAAATGACGCATTTATTTATAACGAAAAAACTGAACATTATATAATTAATTATATAAAACTCGATTCTGTCCTTTTCTGGATGTTCAAAATGTACAATCAATTATTTTAATTTTTTTCTTTTTTCTTAATTATTTTTTACTTAATAAATAGTTTTTTCTGTTCACTTTAAAAGTTAATTTTATATTACCTATTTTTTAATAAATATGTTTTATTTCACTTTTATTAATTTAGTAATGGAAGACATTTCATTTTTCATTATAATTATTATTATTACTCTTAATTTAATAAAAACTCATTTCCTTCAATCTTTCATTCAATAGTAGATTTTTATCCTTTCATATTTTTTCTTTTTTTTTGTAAGAAGGAGCAAAAATGTTTATTTTTTTGGTTGTTTTCGTTTTAAAGAGGAATTTGATGGAAATGTTTTGAACTTAAATTGGACTAGAATTAATTGAGAAAAATGATCTAGTACTTCGAAACTTTAATAATCTGATTTGCCAATTGAGTATTGAATTAAGTACTAGAATATGTACTTTAAAGTACTAGATTCCATGTAAAAAGACTAAATTTGTTCAAAATTAATCTTTAACTGATCAAAGTACTAGATTTAGAAAAAAAGTATTTTAAATTAAGAATTCAGCTTTTCATGAATCTCATTTTAATCTAGACTGTTTCTATTTCAATTATAATTCAATAAATCTCCATCAAATGCACCAAATAATATTTTGTTTGATTTACTAGTTATTTATTAATTAACATAAAAGCTTTAAAACATTGTTTAAACTAATCGACAATTTCAGACTTTATGTATGTCAACGTATATGGTTTTTAATTTATTTGAGTAATAATTAATTTAGTTTTATAATAAAAGCATTCTCTTTTATTACATTCGTTTATGAGGCTTAAAGTGCAGTGCAAAAATCAGAGTACATTGCAGAGTCGTTTTTGATGGTAAAAGATGTCTATCATCTTAAAATCAGGTTAGTTTTTCATTTGGATTTCTTTTATGTTTGTTTTTTTATGCAACAAGGGTTGGTAAATTTTTTTTTTATTTTCGGCATGTTGTTGTTTTTGGAATTATTCTTAATAAGGTAGTCGTTACGATATTAAAATATATCTCGCATGTTTTTATTCTATTTTATGAAACTCAATGCTTATATAAAATACTTATGGCATGTTGGTTATGATTTAGGAGGTTGATTGATTGGATGAATAATCTCGTACCTCAATATTGAAAATAAGTAAATTCTGTCACAAAAATCTAGTACCAACTGTAGATTTAATTTATTTTTTGAGTACCAGATTTTCGAATTTCGGTTTTTAAATTTTAACAATTCGTACATGATTTTGACAAAATTGGGATTTTCAAAAAAACACTTGTCTCCAAAAAAATGAGCAAAAATGTGATTAATCCTACAATTTTATGAAAAATTTACTCATTCATTTATCACAATTTTCCATTTTTTGATGCGTGCATAATTGAAGTAAAAAATGAAAAAAATTCTACTAAAATTGTGCCTTTTTGTAATCAATAATTAATTTATAGTATTTTGTCCTGTAAAATAATTACACATTTATTGCTGTCTTACTTTGATTTTCCATTTATTTTTTTAATAATACTTTTATATTGATATGAAGGAATAATATTCATTGATAAGAATGTTGAAGAGAAAATCAAAGTTTTTTAGATATAAGATATGAAATGGATATGTTGTGTAAACAAAATACAGTTTTTGGGAATTGATTAAGTTTTACGAGTGGAACTTTTTGGTTATGTTTGATATGAAAACATTTCTCGCATTGATTTTTAACCTTTCCTTTCTGGACTTTAAGAACAATAATATCCAAAGCTTGATAGACTCAAAATATCCTTAAAACGTGATCCAATAACCTTAAAAATTCCACTCAAAAGTAGATATGACGAAAATTTCATCTGATAAGTTTCTTTTTTGGTTTTTCAAAAAAAAAAATGATTATTTCAAAAAGAAACAAGATTAATTTTTTGTGGGGATATTTTCAAACCCTGTAAAATTTTCCTAGCGCTTTTCCAATTGTTCATATTTTTATTCTAATAAAAATTTTCACTCCTAATTTACTTCATGTTTTATTGTCAAATTTAACAGAATGTTTCATCTTGTTGCTTCATATTTCATCCTTTTTAATCTTAACTGAATTGATTTACCTTTTTTTTCCCGACAGTTAACATAACTTTTAGTCATATTTTGCCTACAAATTAACACAAAATTAAAATTTCTTTAATATTCCTTTCATTTTCTAATAATTGAAGCTAATTTTCACTTAATGGATTTTATATACAGCCTGCATTTTTGTATAATTTATAGCAAAACGTTTGCAGGATAATACACAAAATGGAAATAATTATTGGGAACTAAATTGACTCTAATTTTCATCTATCAAGTTTCATTTTTTTTGTATCTTTTTTTTCTTAAAAACAAAATCTTTTTTTAAGAAATTAATTTCCATTTTATTCTTAAATTCAGTGATCACATGAAGCTCTCTCATTCTTTTTGCTTGCAACTCGTTTGTGTGAAATGAAAATTAAAAGCACACACACACATACTTAATTTCATTATTTTCTGTCTTGGTTAAGGGATTTTGGTGCACTTTTTGATACTTTTTTAAAAACTTTTGGAACCATTAAAAAATCAGATCATAATTGAGAAAAAATCTTAAGATTCAAATTTCGACCAAAGTTATGCATAAGTGAAGCTATAGAAAAATTATTAAAGGACAGTCATTATGACATGTGACATCTCTGAACATTTAATTTAAATTAAATATCAAAAAGTGCATCAAAACTTTCAAATCGTAATAAATCCTTTGACCATTTCATTCATGCCAAAAATCTCGTGCCTCAAAAGCTCAAAAAGCTCCTTGCCAAAAGCTTCAATTTTCAGATGCAAAATCATCTGTTTGTCCATTTTCGAATGTTTTTTTTAAGTTACAATTTAATTTATTATTTTTTTATAATTTATAACGATGAACATTTTTTACATTTAAAAGATTTTGTTTTATTAAATTTGATTTTATCTATATAATGGAGAGAATGAACATTCCTTTTTCATAGACTTTTCGTTTTGCTTTTTAATGTGATGACATTTCGTTAATTTCGATTATTTTTTTGGCATTTTTAATTATATTTTGTGCAATTTGTGGCATCACTGAATGAAAAAGTCGTTGTGTGAAGCTGACAAATAACTTTAATTACATCATTCAGTTGCTTTTGAAAGTAAATTTTGTAAACTTTCAATTTCAACCAAGGTTAATGTTTATAAGTCATTCAGTCACTTGCTCCTCCACACAACCTTTTTTTAATTCAACGAAAAGTCAATGAAAAAGTTATTGAATGTAAACTTTTATTTATTTGCATTCATAAACATTTTTTGGTATTTTTTGTTTCAACGGCTGTTCTGTCATTGGAGGAAAGAATTTATTGCATGGTCATTAGAGGAAATGATATCCATATCTATAATGTATTGCGCTAAATGTTAGATTTATTCTTAAATCATGTAGTTTGATCACGCAATTGGATCATTTTCCTTAATATTCACAAAATATTACAAATACTTCCGAATAATTATCCGGTGAGAGTAGGGTTTGGGGAACCTGTTAACAGAAAACAGAAAAACAGCTGTTTTTCGACAAAAATCTGTTAACAGAAAACAGGTCTCAAAAACAAATCTGTTTTCTGATTTTCATTTTTACATAAAATTTACAGAAAAAAAATGTCTTAATTTTTTGAAGAACTTAATATATTTTTCTAGAATTTTAAATTGAAATGTTTTTACTTTTTTAATATTTTTTGGATGTTTAATAGTTTTGAAATCATCAAATTTATGATTAATCATTATTAATTTTGCAATCGAAGTTTTAAATTTGTTGAACTTTTTGTAGCATTTACTAAAGTTCAAAAATAAAATCAACAATTTTACAAGATATTTTTTGATTTAGAAAGATTTGTTTGAATATTTCAAATAAAATATTAGAGTTTACGGAACTTTTAAAATGCAACAATGCAATTTTACTTTCAAGTATATTAATCACTTTATTAATCAAGCCTATTAATAATTCTTAGCTCTAAAATGTATGCTTAAGAGCTTATAACCACCAAAAAATTTCATTATTTCAGAGAAATACTTAGGATAACTCAATTTATTTTGAATTCTAGAAAAACAGGAAAACAGCTGTTTTTAAAAATCAAAATCCGAAAACAGACTGTTTTTCAAAAACAGCTGTTTTCCACAAACCCCAGGTGAGAGGAATGATCAATAAAAAATTCAGTTTGCATTACAAACAGAAATCTTAATGGACATTTAAATGGCAAATTCTCAAGTGAACATAATTAAAGTTTGGCTTTATTGTGTTTTTAATCAATGACTCAATCAAGTTTATTATAGTTTTGTTGATTTTGTGTGAATTTAAAAATGATGCACGACAATCACCAATAATTTCCCCCAATGAACAAAGCCCTAATTCTTTTCATAACTGAAACTAATGAGAAAACAATTAACGCGCATTTTTCAAAATAAATCATTGGTATTTCATATATCCACTTCCTATATAATTGTTAAATTTGTTTTATCATCATAATTTAGAAGAGCTTAAAGAGACGACGTCGGTAGTTTTTGAATTATATATCAGAACACATTCAAGAGGATTTTATTCTCGTAAATTTTTTTTAATCGAATTTTTTTTCGCAATTTTTTTTGATTAATTTTTCGTATAATTTTCCATATTTAAAAATTTGAACAAAAAACATTGAAAAGTCCATCAAATTTTCAACATTTTGGTTTTGTCTTCATTTTTCTTTTAACGTTGTTCATTTAATGTGCATAATTTTTTTTTTCATTTATATAATTTTAATCATTAATCTGTCATTCAGTATTTTCAAGATTTTTATATTTTTCGTCGTTCTTGACGGGGTTCTATACTATTAAGTTAATTATTTTCACCACAGACTTTGATTTTCATTTATTTCTTTAGATTAATCAATTCTTTCGAAGAATCCTCGTCTTATTTTTTAAAATGCAGTCGCGTCACGTCTCAATTTCTTTTAACTCTCTTAATATTGTCCACAAATTTCATGCCAGTATCAATAATAGATCACCAACAAAATGCAGTTTTTAATCCTTTGTTATCATAATGTAAACTTACGCAATAATTTAATTTAATTAAATTTTCATATAAACGCCTAAATAAGATCGAAAATATCACTCTATCATGCATGCATCGCTATGATCCACATTAAAAGTGTTGTCGTTAGAGTTGAGTAGAGTGATGCTGCTATAAGCATTGATGCATGTCCACATTGCTGTATCTCGATCTCTTCTGGATGATAATTTATGCATTTTGGTGGTCGTTTTCGCGGAAGAAGTTCACGAGCTAGTCGACGTGTCCCACAAGCTCCTGAAATATTTTCAACTATTAATTCTGTATATTTATTTTAATGAAAATCATGATTGAACAAACCAGCACCGCCTGGAACTTCCTGTGGCTCAATGTCCAATTGTTTTGAGCCACACGGACATAATGTATCGACTACTAGAAGAATTAAATTACTGTGTGGAATTTTCTGTACACTAAATGGTCGCTCACAACCCGATGCATGACAATTTGTTAATTTACCCTGTAAATCCAATTATATTTATTTTTAATAAGTTTTATCATCACCTCAATCTAAAAATCCCTAAAATGCAGCTACCCTAAAATGCAGATAGAACTGCCAAGATGCAGATGGTACTGCTAAAGTGCAGATGAAATTTATTTTCCCTAAAATGCAGATGAAATGCTGTTGGTTTAAAAAGGTATAATGCAGATGATTTTTATCGTATAAAGTGCAGATAAGATGCTGACCAAATGTAGATCGTATAATTTTAATAAAATACATCAATATTCAATGATTTTTTTCTTGATGCGTGTTAATCAAGTGTTAATGACTTTAAATGATCCGTGATGATCATTTGATTCTTTTATCTTCTTATGATAGACTTAAATTTACGGGTTATTGTTTTGTCTGACGACATATTTATGTATATATAAAGTAATTTAAAGTTATAAAGTTTGCAATGTATTCAAAAATGCATATTTGTTTTCCTGTAACTTTTTTAACAACAAAACTAGTGTATCGGGTAGAAACCCAATGCGGATTATATTCACACCGTACTATCATAAGTCTTATGAATAGACCAAGATTTGCCCATCATAAGTATGAAGGTATGAAGCTTGATAAGTCAACTAAGCTTCGCTCAACATAAGTTTGAAGTTATAAAGCTATCGCGTAAGCTGAGCTACGCCCAGCATAAGTTTGAAGATATGAAGCTGGAGAGGCAGCTGAGCTTCGCTCAGCATAAGTTTGAAGATATAAAGCTAGAGTGTCAGCTGAGCTACGCTCAGCATAAGTTTGAAGATATGAAGCTAGAGAGGCAGTGGAGCTTCGCTCAGCATAAGTTTAAAGATATAAAGCTAGAGTGTCAGCTGAGCTACGCTCAGCATAAGTTTGAAGATATGAAATTAGAGAGGCAGTGGAGCTTCGCTCAGCATAAGTTGAAGTTATAAAGCTATCGCGTAAGCTGAGCTACGCTCAGCATAAGTTTGAAGATATAAAGCTATCGAGTCAGCTGAGCTACGCTCAGCATAAGTTTGAAGGTATAAAGCTTGACGAATATGCCAAATATTCTTTAAAAGTTTTTTAAAAAAAATTTTCATCCAAAGTTGAATTTTATAAAAATCACAGTCAACTTTTGTTTTAAAAAATTCGTAAGAAAGAAAAGTTTTTTGCCATTTCTGAAGCAACGGCTGTTCCTACCTTGCCCAAAAACAATACAGCTCTTCTATAGAGTAGCACGGATCAAATGTAAAAAACTAGAAGTCTCTACGATGTCTCGTTATTGAGATTTCTTGCTGATTAACTTGCTTGCTTGCTTGTTTGCTTACAGAAAGAGTATTTTGCGATTTTCTCATCAATGCCTCAATCAATTTGAAATCTGATTTTTGCTAAAGATGTAAAATTTCAGGCAAAAACTTTACTTCAGGGACTTTTTATTTTCACACCGTTTTCACGTGTGAATCTAATGGTTTTGTTCAGATTGAAAAATCAGTTTTTTGAATTTTGTGAGGATATGGAGCAAGATAGCTTAAAATGTATGGTGATGAAAAGTTTGTGCCTAGAATTCACATCTTTTGCAAAAAACAGATTTCAAATTGGTTGTGGCACTGCTGAGAAAATCGCAAAATACTCTTTCTGTAAGCAAACAAGCAAGCAAGCAAGTTAATCAGCAAGAAATCTCAATAACGAGACATCGTAGATACTTCTAGTTTTATACATTTGATCCGTGCTGCTCTATAGATGAGTTGTATTGTTTTTGGGCAAGGTAGGAACAGCCGTTGCTTCAGAAAAAGCAAAAAACTTTCCTTTCTTACGAATTTTTCAAAAACAAAAGTTCACTGTGATTTTTATAAAATTCAACTTTGGATGAAAATTTTTTTAAAAAACTTTTAAAGAATGTTCGTTAAGTTTAAAACCTTCACACATATGCTGAGAGAAGCTCAATTGACACGCTAGCTTTATACCTTCAAACGTATGCTGAGCGATGCTCAGCTGAGCTGCGCTTTGAAGGTATAAAGCTAGAAAGTCTATGTTTGAAGATATAAAGCTGGTTCATCAGGATTTATACCTTCAAACTTATGCTGAACAAATCTCTGTCTATCCATAAGACTTTTGATGGTACGGTGCGAATATATCCGCATTGGTTTTCTACACGATACACTAGTTTTGTTGTTAAACGACATGTAACATTTTTGCAAGATACATAGATGAGCTCATAAAAAGGATACTCGACCCAATATATACATAAATATGTCGTCAGACAAAATAATTACCTTTACATTTCATTATGGATCATTTAAAGTCATTAACACGCATCAAAAAAAAAAGTCATCGAATATTGATGTATTTTAATGAAATTATACGATCTACATTTAGGAAACATCTTATCTGCACTTTATACGATAAAAATTATCTGCGTTATACCTTTTTTAAAGCAACAGCATTTCATCTGCATTTTAGGGAAAATAAATTTCATCTGCACTTTAGCAGCACCATCTGCATCTTGGCAGTACTATCTGCATTTTAGGTTAGCTGCATTTTAGGGATTTTAGATTGAGGTTTTATCATCTTCATATTACCCCCCTGAGATAAAAGAACTTACCTTAAGTGGATTACTCTGTCCACTTTGGTTTAATCTATCAGGCTGTAGTAAATACAAATCTGTTTTTAAATCACATGGACGTGCATGAGCAGGATCGGGAACTACACGTGGACCACCTGGTGCTGCATTCGCTGGTGATACGATTCTTGGCGGAAGTGGTTGTGCAGGTGTAACTTTTTCAATTTCTGAATGTGTAATGTGATCATCAAAGTCAGGTGGAACGTAATCAGGTTGCTCGTAGTCATCTTCATATGGTGGCATTTCGTCGTCTTCATAAGTGTAAGATGCAACAGGCCATGAAATGACTGGCGTTGTAAAGAATGAAAGCCAAGTCGTTAGGAACGTGAAAACATATTTAAAGATCCACTGAACAGGTTGAATCGGATTAATTCGTTCTCCAGCTGCATTATATGGATTATCGCGATCTGAACAGATGCCTTGATAGTCCATTAAGCCAACACGTCGAAAGATCCTGTCTTGAACGAGTGAATCCATAATTGTACCATCAATTTGTCCAAAGAACTTCCCGGTATGTTCTGTACGTTCTGATAACAACACAAAGCCATTATTGTCAAGGAGATAACAGTCGAGTTCATCCGATGCGCATGTCTTTCGGCAGTGAGAGCTTCCAGTACACTGTTGAGATGTTAAGAAAACATAATTAATTATGAAATAATTACACAAAATTGTTAATCACATACAGCTGATGTGATGTTAATGAAATGTTTTGCCAATGATTCATGAGTGTACTGAAGTCCTACAACAGCAACTGGCGCTTTATGTCCACGATGATCAATGAACATTGCATGAGCGGCTGTAACAAGAACTGAGCTATTCTTGCCATTATATCCCGAATCAAATGGCACACTAAAGACAAAACTATCCGGTTCGATTGTATGATGATCCACAGCTCTCCTGTACCATGATGTGTCCATAGCTTTAGCATTTGAGTCTGCGAAATGTCTGTAAATGGAATTGAATTTAGTTTAAAGGCATTGTTCCTGACAATCAGTCCCACTTGAATATTCAGAACTCGATGCCTTAATTTTTCAGTTAAAAACAACCCAAATCACCTCAACAACTCTTAAGGAAATAAAAGCTAAGAGGATGCTATGAATTTTTAGAGTTGTTTGGGTAAACATACCCAAAAAAAAAAACGTAAATTCAACTTACGGTTCCAATGCATCTTCCGAGTGATTTATATGATCCTTCCATCTCATGAGACCCGAACGTGTTGCAATGAATGATGTTTTAACGCCAAACATTTGATAGCCTTGCCTAAAAGGAGGTGAGAAAAGATTCGATATTAGCAAAATTCAAGGCACAGAATGAATCGTCTATAATTCCATTTAGGCTGCGTTGCTGATTGAAATCACTGTGATTTCAAATAAATTTTCCTTATAATTTCACATTTTACCTTCAGATATATAAAATTTGAATAACAAAAGGTAAGATAAAATAAAAAGAGGTGACGTTGGTGGGGGGGAAGAAAAAGAAAAAAACATCCTTTGTGTATGCTAAATTTTCAAGTTTCCTTTTTTACCTGTGCAAAAGTGCCATTAATGTGGCAATTGGGCTAAATAATTTTTCAAAAAACAATTTTTTTTTTCATCGTGAAAAGAACAAAATTTAAAAAAGTTGTGCGAAAAATAAAGCGATTTTCGTGTTAGTGATTATCATAAAAATATATTGTGCATTAATTTGTGAATGAGAAAAAAACTAAAGATCAGACATGCAAATCTCTCTACTGACAAAGACATTAAACTTACTGTTTATCTTCCTTCTTTAAATTACTTCGCACGTTTTCCTGTCCAAAAGTTTCTGTAACCATTGCATCACGAACTAAACTTTGTACAAGTGTTCGATCGCAATAATATGGCTCTGCCTTGCGAGTATTTTGATTTATTGGAGGTTGATGAGCATAATGACCTACTGGAACACCACCAGACATTGAATGTGCATGGTGTGGCTGTGGAGATCGTGCTCTCAACTGGAATTGAAAAGTTTAAATGCAAATTTAATTAATGCTTGCTTATTTGAGCTCTTGGAATGCAATTTGGAATGGAAATAGACTCAGTGTTACTGACTAAGAGCTATAGATAAACATTTCCATCGCCATTTTATGTTGATTCTCTTTAAAAATACATCAAGTAAACAAAACAGCTACTCACCGACATCCACTTCCAGCCGGGTCTGCCTGCACGTGATAAAAAGTGCAAAACTTGCTCTTCTGGCGTATCAAATGAATCTTCACGATCACGGAAGTATGACTCGCCAGAATTCTCCAATTCTTTGTCCATATCTTTTAGACTATTATACTCGCAATACACAAAATCAGGATGAACTTTCCATGTGTGACCTTTAAAATATTCCGTCACTATAAATAAGAATGAGAAATAAATGTCACAAATGATTCTTCTATTATCACTGACAATATAACTTACCATTCACATGAGAGTGTCGAATTTCTTGCTGTGACACAAATTCATGTAAGCCATACCGTTCGGGTAGCGTTACAGCCAACGAAAATGGTGTTCCTTCAATGGGACCATAAAAGTATCTGCGAGGAAAAAAAAGGATCAGTTAAATGATTATCAAATTTACGACGTGTTTGGTTCTGTCTATAAACATATTTTGTATATAAAGTAATGTTCCCAGAAGCTTTTTGATCACACACAAAAAAAAATATTGAAATCATAAAATGAATTGGATGCAATGAATACTAACATCCACATGCTGTGTGGGTGTTCATATAAAATCTTCTTGAAAAACATCTGATAGACCTAATTCAATAGTATTTTATTTTGTATAGAAATCCATACTCGATTAGTTTCATAACAAGAATCACAGCGTGATAACTGAGAATGATCCTATTGAGGCAATTCATTTTCATGTATTACACAATCGAGTATCAATCCCTTTTAATTTACACAATTTTGGAATACTTACTTTTGTGTTCGCAATGAGACACGCTTCATATCATCCAGATGCGTCAAAATAGTCAACTCCATTTCGCCCTCTTTCTGATTTAGCATCTCTTGACGCATCTAAATATAGACAAGAAAGGGAAAATAAATAAATATTATCTATGTCCATGATATATTTCAATAACTTACATCATGCAAAGCTTGCGTATTTTCATCCATTCGATCATGAGTATTACCAGGATTTCCATTAGCACTCAATTCAATTTCGGGTACTTCAACTTCTGTCAGATCAATCGAATGGTATTTTGGCTTCAATATTGACATATATTCACTATTATCACTCATTGGACGCAAATCTGGATGATATAAAAGTCTTCCATTGTTGTCAACGATGAACGAATATCCATTTGGACCGAGCTTATGTCTTGGAATTACTTTTTGTATTTCCTCAATCGGAACATCGGTTCCGACAACTCCAAGTAAATTTGCTTCACGAGCTGAATGATTTCGACGATCGAAAACAGGAATCGATACAGTTGTTACAAGCTTCCGTTTTCCTTCATTATCTCGTCCGAGTAAACTACTATAGCCGCCCACAAACACCGGACTCCAATGTACAGGATGATCAGCTTGATATAAAACCATTGGACGCGCCATAACTAAAGCGTATTCAAGAACTTTTCTCTTTGCATCTTCAACGGAATTTATTTGTGCATAGAAGCCTTTATTTTGACATGCCATGTTGTGAAGTTTTTCTGCACTGCCCGAATCCTTGCCAATGAGATAGGTAAAGATTCTGACAGGCATGTGTGGAAAGTTGTGACGTTTAATAAGCTAGATTGGAAAATAAGAGAACATGATGAAAATATCTCGAGCATGTATACTGTCCCAGAAGAACATTCTTCTCAGCAGTCGGTTTTAAAGATTATTGGAATTTGTAACTCTTTTAAGTAAACCAGTAAAGCAAGTTTTGATCAAAAGACTGTCTCCACCCAATAGACATAACTGTACATCCTTCAAAAAATTGCACCATAGAATAACAACATGAAGAGAAAAACCTTACCTCAGCATGAGTTTCTGCAGGTCCATCTGTTATTAGCATAATGGCTTGATTGCACTGACTGCCTAAGCCACTAACATTATATCGATGCAATAGTTCAAATGCTTCCTCAAGAGCACCAGAAAAATTGGCGGCATTCTGACATTTTATGGCATTTGTTGCAGCTATAAATTCTCTCTTATTATCAGGTGTTGCTCGTACCATTTTACTTGAAAAGCATGGAACAGCAGAACGAACAACGTCTGAGAATGTTATTAAATTGACGAAATCATCATCGCTTAATGTGTCTAGAATTGCAAATGCTGTTGACTTTGCGAGGTTGAATTGCTTTCCAGACATGGAACCGGATGAATCGAGAAGTATGATGACGTCTTTTGGTGATGATGCTGCATGAATGAACCAATCTTCATTGCGAAAATCATTTATTTCACGACTGCCACGTGAACCTTCAGGTGGCCATGCTGTACCTGGAAATCTCCTCAAGAAGCCTGATTTTGATCCAAAATATTGCCATGACAGTGCTGAATCCTTCTCTAGATTATTCGCAAAAAGTGGATCTAGATGCGATGACCATGAAATTGATGATTGCAATTCGGAATCAGATAAATCAACACCATTGGCAAATAGCACAGAACTTAAGCTAATATTGACGGGTAAGCCCTCAAAGCGTTTCATATGTCGAAGAAGCATATGCTTAGCACCGTCTGCCAATTTCCCATCCGAATCGTAAACATTAATCCGTCTTGCATCATAAAATACATTCGAATGTGATTTCTGTGCTTGATGCTCCGGATCAGATTCTGATTGGGCTGCTTGCTCTGCTGAATCCATTATTCTCTGTAAATATTTGAAACATCAATTAAGCACTTAGTCAATGAATGAATGAATGAATGTTTATTAGATATGTTTCAAGTGATACTCTAAAGAATATTCGCATTTCAATAACGATAACGAGAATGACAATAATGATGATGTTCATAGGAGATGCTATAACGGTCAAATAATCAAACTCAAAAGTCATCAAGGGAGAAGAAAATGAAAGGAAAAAAAAAAATTCATTTCATCAACATAAATAAGAAATGCACTTAGTCTGATGTTAACATCGACTATGACACGATGATTGCTTTCCATTAAAGAAATTTAATATTTTATATCATAAATGAGTGTTTTTTAAGCACGCTTCTTAGGATATTGTTGGAGTAATGATGGCATTTTGGATATGAATTATTGACTGTTATTGAAATGTGGATTGAGAATCTGAATTTGATATTTTATTTTTGGAAAGTTTAAGTGTGTATATTTCTCCTACTTTTAAGTAACAATTTAGAAAATTAATAGCAGACGTGAAGGTTCGATGATGACTTTGTAAAGCTTAAATGCGTTTGATTCTTTTTTATTGACTGTATTTTTTAACTTTATATCCTATACTTTTTTTTCTAGGACTTTGAGTTGAATGATGTGATGACGACTTGTGCAATAAACTTAGAGTTTGATGCACATTTCTCATATTTTCTTGTAAAATGAAATAATATTCTCCTATCCGGTTTTTGAACACAATAATGAAAAAAAAAAATATAAAGTTTCGTTGTGAAAAGAAATGCGATTTATAGTCAGTCAGCTGAATGACAACATAATGAGGATACTTAGTTGTTTGTTAGTAAATGAAATGACAAACTCAAGAAATTCTTCTTTCTACACTTTTTACTGTCATTATTTTCAGTATCTGAAGAGAGTATGGAAAGGAAAGCTTCTATTTGTTGTTGAGTAAAATGATGGGTAGAAGACTTCTCTTCATAATTGAATGAGAATTCTGTCATTTATGAATTTTATTTAAACTTTCTAAAAGGATTTTTACAGCAAAATGAAAAAACTTCTTCTTATCTGTTTTGTGTGGCAAAGGCTTAACTTTGCTGAATGACGATGACTGATTGCTACATGAAACATTGTTGAATGTGTACTCACGGTATTAAAGAGTAATGAAACGCAACTTTAATTATTCAACGAGATTCTTGAAGAATCTAGCGAAGGAGATAAAAGTCCTACAATATCCAAAATATTAATAAAGCATCAAAATTCTATCCAAGCATTCAATTGCCTACATAAAAGTAAGATCAAAATATTTTTAATCAAACAGAATTGATGATTCTGCATGGATGAAACAATACCAGCAGTGTTATTAATCAATTTTCAGGTTGTTTAATATTGAAAGCCTCACGTTCTCATTCCTATTGCCTTACAACCTACTTAGTCTTACTTTTATCTTTTTCCGATATATTCCACTCAATTTTACTTTTTTTCCTTCCTCCTTTTTCTTACTCATCCATGCTATATAGCATTATGCGAGCAGAATGCATAAATAACTACATATCCAAGTGAGTGAGAGCATTCCAAAACAACAAACCGCAACAACGGTTGTTCGGTGAACTTATTGGTTTATTAGAAAGTAAAGGATGAATTTATCAAATACTTTATGGATATAAGAAGGAATGCTAAATAGCAAAAAGATGTTATATATCACGCTAATGGAATTAATAAGCAATTGTGGTCGAAGTCTTCTCTCTCTGACTGTATTTTTGTTTGATTTGAAAGTTCCTATTGTGTCGTTGCTGAGTGATTTCATTTCGATTATATAACCTAATTAAACGGAATTGCTACATTTGTAAAAGCGCATAAAATCACATCATTTAAGCATGAAAAAAATACAATGAAAATATCCATCGATCGAAAAGAATTCTCTTGTTTGTTTTTCTTGCCAATCTTTATCCCTATCGTATACTTTTCACTCCATCTCACTCACTCATTCTCAACAAGCTCATACATCGGATATCTATCTCAAATGTGAATAAGACAAACAATAAGATGTGGAAGAAGAATTGAAACTTTTGTTCTTGCCTGTCAGCCAACACAAAAAGTGTGTTTAACAAAATAAAAAAAAATTAAATAAAACACAGAATGTTCATGTTCAGATCAATATCTCGTAAGCCGTAATTCAATTTTCCTCTATTGATGTGACATAATTTATAAATTTATCTTCACATTGTGAAATGTATGCATGTGCGGCTCTCTCGTAGTGGTTCTGACATGGAAATAGCTGAAAATGGAAGATTTAGTTTTAAAGGTTTGTTGTTTCTGGTTATTAATGGGAAATATGAAAGAATTTCGTAATCTGGATAAGTTCTGTGATTTATTATTAGACTTTTTGTATGCAATGGAATTGAATTTGTTGCTTTTGTGCGTTTTTAAGCCTCTTTGAATTAAACTAGGAGTGGAAGATGTTTTTCATACAGAAATGAAATTATTTTGGACCTGCTGAACTGGGAAAATATAGTTTCTAAAGGTTTACAGCAGTCTTTGCCTCTCCTCAATCAGATTTGAAACCTAATATCATTCAAACTAGTATGAAGAATAATTATTTTTGCACAAGAGTCTTTGGAATTAAAAAATATTTAAAAACGTATCTCAGAACGGAAGTGAATCCCAATTTTACTAACAAACTTTTTAATATTCACTATCCAATCCTCCAAAAAATAAAATCTTTCAACAATCATTACAGAAATCGTTAATGTTCTACAATTTTTGACCACAATAAATTGGAATCCCTACCCTCAACATCTATATCAATATACTTATGTGCAAATGAATGTTATAGCTTCAAATGCACAAGAAACGAGATGAAATAAGAAGAGGCACACATATACACACAAAAAAGGAGGAAGAGAGAAAATAAAGGAATGAACATTCAGCTCACGTTATCACGATGGAACAGAAGTGATGTTGAAAAATAAAAAGGCATGCAAGATGTGTTAGGAAAAGGAATAATATTTTTATTCACAGGGAATTAAAAGAGAAAGGACTGCATGCATGAGCTTTTTTTAACTAAAGTTGTTGTTGCTGGGTATTGTTTCCCTCCTAATTTTTGAGCTCGACAAAAAAGTTGCTTTTTTGAGAATTTTGTTTTATTATATTTTAGAAATTTATCATTTTCTTCTCCTTACTGTGCCTTATTCTGTTGCTTTTTTTAATGAATTGTAAAACGATATTTGCTGGTTTTTGCTAAAGATTATGTTTCATTGATGCACTTAAAGTAGGTTTTTTAGATGTGATTTAAGATATATTGGAAGGAAGCTTCTTATTGTTAATAATTCTGAGGATAAACACTTGGTTACATTTAGCAACTTAAATTTCATGTAAATGAATATTTTATGTCTATTTCATAAGGGGCCATTCACTTATTACGTAACGCTTTTAGGGGGGGAGGGGGGGTCTAAGATTTTGTTACGGTTCAAACAAGGAAATTTTTTTTTCATACAAATTTTGTTACGAGGGGGGGGGGTCTAAAAAGTCATTTTTTCGCGTTACGTAATAAGTGAACAGCCCCTAAGATAAATTTTAAACTTTCTAATTTGCATCAGTTCGAGGAACTGAACATTTCCTTTTATCTTATTTACTGCATGACTGTGCTTTTTATTCAAAAGAGAAAGTTATGCATTTAATATTAACTGATAATCAATAACTTGTGCATTCATGTATATATTTGATCTTTTTTTAAAAGGGAGTTTGCTTCAGTAAGAAGCTTAAGGCTTATTACTATCGATTCAAACTTATAATCAGTTTATGGCAAGTAAAAGTTTAGAGGCATTGAAGTATAAATGATCTATAGTTTGGATGAGCATTAAATTTTACGGAGCTTCACTTACAAGACATTAAAAAGATCCAGTGCTTGTTAAATAGTCAAAAAGGAGAAATTAAAGTTTTTTCAGATCTTCAGTCATGTTTTGTTGAACTAAAGTAAGATTTTACACATTTACGACAGAGAGCACTTAGCTTCAAACTTACGGATATGTATCTTTCCTAAAGTTTTCTATTTGAATTTACACACCAAATCTACAAAACATTTGCAAAAGCACAAATCTAATAAAGAAAAGACGAGCAAATATAGTCGATCCTCACATAGAAACTCTCATAGGAACGCTTTATATCTCACAATTTCTTATACTTTGATCAAATAACAACAATTCAAAATAAGACATGACTGAAGTGCATGGATAAAGTGTTCTCAGAAATGAAAGGGAATGGTTAGACATTAACTATTCATCCATATTATAGTAATTCCTTTGACACAATTAGATACATTTGACAAGTGGATAATACTTGAGTAGTGTTGTCTGTAGCACTTATGAAATACTTTACCTTTACTAAACGATAATATCATTTACATAATGAGCTTATGATGTAACTGGAGCTTTCTTCCTTTTTTTACGCTCAGAAGAGGCTTTAGACGTGCCACTTCTAACACAGTGTTGTTTACATTCAAGGATTATGCTCATTATTATTTGTAAACAATAAGCAAACTCATTATGTGTTGTGTCTCAAGATGGAAGGTTGAGAAGTGTGTATGAGAAGAAAGGGAAGAAGATAGAAATTCATGTTTGACTATTATGAACAGAAATTTTCCTTCATCGCCTCTTGTGTGCGATAATGATTAAATGAAATTTACTTGGGTTTCTGTGGCGGGGGTGAAACTTTTTGGATTCTTACTGATTTAATGGGGAAAAGGTTCGGAAAAATTTTGTGGGAAATTTTTTCTGGTCAGAGATTTTTAAATTTTTCTATCAAAAGTTTTCTTACTCAGTAACTCCGCATGCTATTGCTTTTAAACTCAATAAGTCATTCCCACTCCACACTTCTCTGTGTGCGTTTGACTTGATGTTCCATATACATAAAATGACAATCGAGATGACTTGCTAAATACAAATTACGATTACATTCCATCACCATTTGAGAAAGTAAGTAAATCTACAGGAATGATCATAAACACATCGACCAGGTGTCTAACG